AGCCGAGCTAATGTCGTGGGCCATCCCCAGAGTGAAACACAGTGCAGTCACTTCTGAAGTGATAGCGACTGCACTGTGGCCATGTGCAGAAGGCCCTATTCCCATCACTCACACACACACACACACACACACACACACGCAATCTAGTCGCAGGCAAAGCCCAGGGACACACGGACAGGCTGCCCGTTGTTACTTCAGGAGGAGGCCACGTGGGGATGGTTTCTGAGAACATTTCCTCTTCTCCCTTTTGCTTTAATAATGTTCTGAAACTGTCTCGTTTTCTTTCCGTTACCAGGATATTTATCTTTTTTTTAAACCTTAAGCAAAAAGTTAGCCGAACTGGCGGGAGGTGGGGAAGAATGAAAATATTTAGAGGAACTGTTCAGGGGTTGAGCAGGGACAGGGAGCGAGGACAGAGGCGAGGTGAGGTGGGGGAAGAAAGACGAGACAGATTGCTGTGTGAGTGACATACTCAGCGAGGAACTAAGACAGGAGACGGCCTCTCCCGGGGCCGACTGAAATAGCACGGGTTTGATTTTTACGGGAGGATTGCCTTCTGGAATGTTCACCAAATATCATTCTGCAAATTAGCAGCAGTTCTAGCTCATGGCCTTGCAGCGAGGTTTGCAGCTTCAGTAGGCCACTCCCTGCAGTGTATGTAGCCGCTGCTGAGTGTCCCCATAATTGTCTGCATAGTATTGGTCCTCTCCTAGGAGAAGTGTGGAATGTGCTTTGGGTTGGCTCTTGGCAACCTCCCTGATTTGCTTTGGGAAGCTGATGAGTACAAGACAGACACGGGGGCATTTTCTGTGGCATCTCTGTTCACTTTCTCTTCATTTATAATCCTCTGGGGGCATCAGATATATTTAGAAAATTCTCTTTTGCGTTGGTTGAAAATGTTTTCAAGATGTCCTATAATTTGTGTGTGTGTGTGTGTGTGTGTGTGTGTGTAAATCCTGGACCTGGGAAGAAGAAGCCTTCACCCAGAGGAATAAGGGGAACAATCCCCCCAATCACCTAGACATAAATAGGGTTCAGTGTCTTGACACCTCCATAAAAAAGACAGTAGCAGTCATGCCGGTGGGCATAGGGGTCTGTTCATCTGACACCTGACACCCCCTTTTTCTAGCTCTGCTATCAGTCCTGAAGTCAGTGGCAGCATCCAGGAGGGGTAACCAGGGTGCGGAACAGATTGGTCCACTGCCCCCACACATGTATAGGCTACTATGGGGAGCACCGCCTAGAATTTCTAGAAACTGGGTCTTCATCTGCCATCACGTGGGGGGAAGGATGGATTTACGCTAAGAAAACAAGCTAATGTCAGTCCCGTGCTCCCCTCCCCAGCTCTGGGGTCTCCGCCTCTGCCCCCACCCCCTCTGGTGGGCTCCCACCCTCCTGGCGTGTTCTCAGCGCACACGTGGCAAGGACAGCGGGTCCTGTAGCTCGCCCCCAGGGCGGTTATGCTGGACAGGCCGCCAGAAAAGGGCGATGCTGAAGGCAGGTGGCCTCTCCCAGGCCGTGGGCCCCCCGAGACAGGGCATCGGGGTGGGCGACCTCCGCAGGGGTGGCGGGGGAGGGGTGGGCGGGAAGCATGACAGTCAGGGATCATGGCAACGGGGTCTTTTCTCGTTTGTCCGTCGTTGTAAAGGTGACACGTGAGCGGGTAAAGTTGTACCTGGTGAAGGCCCCGCGTTGGCCCTTCCGCCCCCACCTGCTGGGGCCGCGCTGGGCGGTCCCCAGTTCTAGACCCGCCCCCGTGCGCCTGCCCTGCAGGCTGATTTTATGTATGTATTTATTTTTTTAAATCTTCATCTGAGAATATATATACATATATATGTATGTGTGTGTGTGTGTGTGTGTATTTAATCCTACTCGAGGACATTTTTGCATTTATAATCAGATAGAGCAGGAGGGAGGGAGGAAGAGAGAGAAACATTGATATGAGAGAGACACATCCATTGGTTGTCACCCACATGACCCCAACCAGGGCCGGGGACCAACCTCAATCCAGGTACATGCCCTTGGCTGGAATCAAACCCAGGACTCTGGTCTGCAGGCTGACGCTCTAACCGCTGAGCCACACTGGCCAGGGGGGCAGCCGTAATTTTAAACTATGGAGCAGCTGGGTTTACAAAAGTCAAAGCAAATGAATGAAATTAATTCTATAACTTATTTAACATGATATTTTAAAAATATCATTTCAGCCCTGGCCAGTTCGCTCAGTCTTTAGAGGGTCGGCCCAAGGACCAATGAGTCTCGGGTTCGATTCTGGCCACGGGCACATACCTAAGTGGTGGTTCGTCCCCGGCCCTGGTTGGGGTCATGCGGGAGACAACCGGCTGATGTGTCCTTCTCACGTCGATGTTTCTCTCTCTCTCCCTCCCACTCTATCTGAAGATAAATAAAAAACTATCCTCGAGTGAGGATCAAAAGAAAAAAATCATTTCAATTTTAAAAACGTAGTAATGAGATACTCCCTGTCCTTTTTTTTTTTTAATCCTTATCGGAGGACATTTTTTGTTCAGGTAGAGTGGGAGGGAGAGAGGAAGAGAGAGAAACATCGACGTGAAAGGGACACATCGAGTGGCTGCCACCCGCACGACCCAACCAGGGCCGGGGACAAACTGCAACCGAGGTACACGCCTTTAGCGGGAACGGAACCTGGGTCTCTCTGGACCGCAGGCCGATGCTCCAACTGCTGAGCCAAACTGGCCAGGGCTCCCTGTCCTTTTTATAATAAGTTTTTGAAATCCAGAAATGGCCTGTTGACGGGGGCCAGGGCCTCCTCAGAGCCGGGGGGTGGGAGGACCTCTGTGGTGTCACCCCTCCGTGCACGTGGAGGCGGGCGGTTGTGCCGGGCTCAGGTGGGCAGGTGCTGCGACTCTCCGCACGGGAGTGTGTCTGGCCCACAGGTGCCTGCAGCCACAGACAAGGGCAGGCCCAGGTGGCGGGACCCACAGCCACCTGCCCGCAGCTGTGTGGGACCTCACCCCTCCCCAGGAGCAGCCAGCAGTCAGGATTCTCACCCACACCCTCCCTCTTCGTGAATAAGGGGCGATTCTCTGTATAAACGAGTCAAACCGAGTCCACGTGTGGGCCACATGCGGCCGCAGGCTGACAGCGTGGGGCGTCTGCTCAAAATAGACACAGGAGATCGGCGGTTTCTTTGGGCTAAACTGGTCCACAGTCATTTCACTGTGCAGCCTGCTGTTAATTTTGGCCCAAGAATCAAGGCCACTGAGTAAACAGAGGCTCGCTGAGCAGTGAACCAGCTCCCATGTTTAGAAGCCACTTACTTCTGAGGTGGCAACGCCCTGTGGTCCAGGCTCCACCCACCCCTCTGCCACATTCACCCCATCCTGAACCCCTCCCTCCTGAACCCCTCGCCGGAGGGTCGCCCATCTGCGTGGACATGGGCCCGCACGTCACATTCTCCTGGCTCCTTGTGGCGTCTCGGCTCCCGTCACAGGACACGTCTCCCGGGGCTGGTGCTGGGGTCCCCTTGCTCGGGCCCTTCCCTCGGGATCAGCATAAAGCCCACAGCAGGCCGGACAAGGAGCACGTGGGTGACCACCATGCAACCGTCTGTAAAAGGCTAACCGGTCATGTTCGTAGCAGATGTTTCTTCTTTCCTTTCTTAAAAAAACAAAACAAAAAAACTCTGGCAGCCCCAGTTCCATGCTTTTTAGCCCAGTGGCCTCTGACCTCCCTCCACAAGCTGGCATGGCCCCTCACGGACACCTGGTCCTTGGCGGAGGGGCCGTGGAGGCCCCCCGACCCCGCGTCCGCCCTCCGCGTCCCTGGCCTTTCTGCGCAGCCCTGTCCTCGGCTCCTTGGGGCTCGGACCCCAGCCACCTTTCTCTTTTTGCGTGGTCGCTCATCAGCCATCCCAGGGATTTCCATGACTTTAGTTGCCACCTATACACTGAGTCCCAAACTCCTGCCACCAGCCACGGAGAGGCCTCTGCTGCCGCCTGGAGCCCGGCGCCCGGCGAATGCTCGTTTCCTCCCCACACTGGTCCCCAGCTGCCCAGCTCCGTAAACTGCAGCCCAGCCACCCTGTTCCACCAGTCAGAAACCCAAGGTCATTAACGGGTTCCTCCCGGTCCCTCGCCCTCATCGGCATCGGGTCCATGGCCTGCCTCTCCACCCCCACCAAATACCGCCAATCTGCACCCCACTCCATCTCCCCCGCTGTTGTGCACCTCCAACACCTCTGCCCCCACCACACTCCAGCCTTCCTGCCTGCCTCCCCTTTGCCCATGTTCATGCGTTCAAGGTGTCCCCGGCTTGCCAGTTACTACGGCCTGAAGTCCGGGCCCTGCAGAGGGTGCCCGGCCTGCGTCTCCAGTGTCCCCACTCCAGCTGCAGGCTCCTCCACCCACTGGGTGGCCTCCCTTCTGCTCTGGCCGATGGGAGCCCAGCAGCCTTGGCAATGCACAAACTCGGCCATTTATTCCTTCACAGCACAGGGCTGCGGCGGACTCTGGGGGGGGGTCAGTGGGATGAAGGACAGGAAGCAGGGGTGGGGTGGGACAGAGAGACTGGAACGCTGAGGGCATGCCTGATATGCCCCCACCCCCAAGAGTACTGCAGGCAAAGTGTGCCTCTTGTTTGTCCTCAGAAGATTCGCGAGCCTTTCTGGACACTCAGCAGTAACTTGGAATTTTGAATGGAGGACATTCTTAAGTAAACTTGTAAAAAATCAATCGTTAACACTAAAGCAAAGTACTCCCCCCACGCCCCCTCACCCCCTGGGAAACTGCGTCAGTCACATGCTAGCTTTTTCATGAGAAAAAAGAATGGCTTTCTGTGAGGCCGAGAAGTGGGCTGAGCCTGAAGAGGGCTGGCACGGGGCACTCAGAAACCCTCCGGGGTTGGGAGGTGCCTGCTCAGATATTTTGGGTAGACTTCCTGTCAATGGCATATTCGTTTTTCAAAAGGAAAAGAATGAACTCCGGTGACAACCTGGGTCTAATGTCCACTTCTTTCTCTCCCAGGGACAGAAAGCTTGGATAGAAAAAACCTTTTGCAAACAGGAATGTGTCTTCATCATTCCCAGCACTAAAGACCCTAACAGGTAAATCGGAAGCCACAGTTAGACCGTGATCCAAACCCCACGGTCCACCAGCTGCCAGCAGCTGTTACTCTAGTGTCTGTGGGAGGGGAAGACGGCTGGCCGGACTCTCTTCCCCAGGAGTCACCAGCCAAGGGGTCACTTGGACCAATACGTTCCCATGTTAAGAGGCCAACATGCTGGAGAAAGAGCTACTTAACCCACCAAGTCCGCCTCTCACCCTCCTGTGAACTCACACGGGGATGCCCCGCACCCCAGCTCCTGAGTCTCAGTGAGATCACAGAGCTGAGGGCTGGAGACACATTTCCAGGGTAACTGTGTGAGTTTCCTAATGCCATTCAGATGCAAAGGAGTTTCCATCACAGGAAAGATCTGTGTGGTGATGTGAACTAGACGTACCTTTATGAAAGCGCTCACACCTACACAAACGTGTGTGGATGTGCAAAAGAACGGATTTAGACTCCTGTCTCACACCATGTATGACGATGAACTCGAAACGGATAAAGTCCTAAATGTAAGAGTGAAAACTATGAAACTCTTAGATGAACACACAGGAGTAAGTCTTCATGACCTTGGATTCAGCTAAAGATTCATAGATCTGACATCAAAATCTTGAGCAGCAAAAGAAATACACTTTTTTTTTTCTTTACTGATTTTAGAGAGAGAGAGAAATATCAATGAGAGAGAACATGGATTGGCTGCCTCCTGCATGCCCCACACCGGGGATCTGGCCCACAACCTGGGCATGTACCCTGAATGGGAATTGAACCAGCAACCTCTTGGTGCAGGGTCGACACTCAATCACTGAGCCACACCAGCCGGGCAAGAAATACACTTTATTTTATTTTACTTTTTTCCTTTATTGATTTTTTAGAGCTAGAGGAAGGGAGAGGGAAAGAGAGAGAAACATCAATGACAGAGAACACTGATTGGTCACCTCCTGCATGCCCCCCACTGGGAGTTTGGCCCACAACCTGGGCATGTGCCCTGACCGGAAATCAAACCAGCGACCTCTTGGTGCAGGGTCAACACTCAACCACTGAGCCACACCAGGTGGACGAGAAATACACTTTAACATTACTTATATTGAGAAATGTTTTACAAGGTAATAGAAGAATTCAATATATATATATATATATATATATATATATATATATATTTTTTTTTTTTCCCAATTCTCACTCAAGGACATTTTTTTCTATTTATCTTCAGATAGAGTGGGAGGGAGGGAGAGAGAGAAACATCAATGTGAGAGGGACACCTTGACTGGCTGCCTCCCGCACGACCCCAACCAGGGCCAGGGATAAACCACAACCGAGGTACGTGCCCTTGACCGGAATCGAACCTGCGACTCATTGGTCCATGGGCCGACACTCTAACCACTGAGCCAAACCGGCCGGGGCCCAACAATATTTTGAAAAACCTTGGAACATGACTCTACCCAGAGGGCATGATTGCATTCTGCCACAGAATGTTCAGTAATTGGTGCCACAGTGACATTTTCAAGACATCAGAAAGGGTTCAACTACGTCCAGTAAGACTTGGCTTGGGGTGGCGAGCCCACACCACAATATACAGATGATGTATCGTACAACTGTACACCTAAACCTATATAATTTTATTAACCAATGTCACCCCAATAAAAAAATGTCCAGTAAGGAAGGGCACCATCCAACGTGCTTATCATGGCCTGGTGTGGAAACACACGTGTGCTGATGGTCGGGAAAGGGCCATTTCTGCCCGAGAAGCTGGGTCAGCAAGGTTACGTCTCTCTGTTCAGGGGAAGGGCCGTTGCAGAAAGACTGTTCAGCCTTTGTTTACAGGTGTTGCTGCGGCCAGCTCACCAACCAGCACACTCCACCTCTGCCCAGTGTGACATCCGGCAAAAACGGGGAGGAACACAAAGAGGGGGAGACGCAGCCTGAGAAATGGTCTGTGGGCAAACACACCCAGAGCTCCCCCACCGACGCCTACGGGACCCTCGAGTTCCAGGGTGGGGGGTACTGCACTAAAGCCATGGTAAGACTGCCTTAGACAGGATGTCACCCAGCCCACGCCCGTCAGAGACCCCGCCTCCCAGACCCCACGTGCAGGCCCCTGGGAGTTCTTTCGGGGGTGGGCTCAGTCATCCCAGAAATATATCTGCATGCTCAGATGTTTACATTTTTTGTATATTTATTTATTTTAGATTTTATTTTTATTTTTTTTGGTACGTGCCCCTAGCGGGAACCGAACCCGGGACTCTCTAGTCTGCAGGCCGACGCTCCAACTGCTGAGCCAAACTGGCCAGGGCTATTTATTTTAGAGAGAGAAACATTGATTTGTTGTTCCACTTATTTAATTTTTTTTTTTTTTAGAGAGAGAGAGAGAGAAACATCAGTTGGTTGCCTCCCGCGCATACCCTGACTGGGGACCAAACCTGAAACCTAGATATGTGCCCCAAACGGGAATCGAACCCACAACCTTCTGGTGTACGGGATAACGCTCCAACCACCTGAGCCACACCGGCCAGGGCTGCTGTTCCACTAGTCACTCAGTCATCAGCTGACTCCTGAATGTGCCCTGACTAGGGATCGAACCCACCACCCTGGCGAAGCAGGACGGCACTCTAACCACTGCACTACCCGGCCAGGGCTTGGCCGCGAGGTTTAGAAACTGGGCATTGCTCCCTTAAACCCACACCGGAACCGTGAACCCACAGACGATGCGCTAGCCCAGTCTGCGCCCTTATTCATCATCCCACCTCTAGGGATGAGGGAGAAATTACGTTATTTGTTTTTTGGGTTGTCTGGGGTTATTTTTTCTTTTAACTGTGGGCCTTCCACCCTGCTGAAGTGGGTTAGGAGTGTCTGGAAATACTTCCCTCTGCACGGCATCCACAGTCTCCCTGGCCTGCGTTCAGCTGGCCAAGAAGACGGAGAACTTCCCCGCTTTGCCTCTGAGCAGGGAGCCCCCCAGGGGAGGTGTCCGCATGGCGATCCCTTTCGGCGAGCTGAGTAACACCCCACACCCCCGGTGAGGTCCAACACCCGTTCAAATACAACTCTGTGTTCCAAGTACCAGAACCTAGTGTCAATATCCTCATGGACACGAGAAGCCGGTCATGGGGCCAAGGCCGTTAACCTCTTCTTCACCTTGAGGGGAAGGTCAAGTCTGAAGGTTGGCCAGTGATCCTCATTATCATTCCCCACTCAATCTGACAACATCCTGTCCAACCTCCAGGGCCCTGGTTCTAGCTGAGCCAGCTTTGGGGTTGCATCCTACAAGATTAGGGTTGTCAGGCAAAGTACAGACACTAGTTAATGTCAGAAAAACAACGGATGCTTTTTTATTTTTTACTTATTTTTATTTTTTTACATTAATCTTCAGATAAAGCGGGAGGGAGAGAGAAAGGAAGAGAGAGAGAAACATCGACGTGAGAGAGACACATCGACTGGTTGCCACCCACACGACCCCAACAGGGCCGGGGCCAAACTGCAACTGAGGTACGTGCCCTTAGCAGGAACCGAACCCGGGACTCTCTGGTCCGCGGGCCAATGCTCTAACCGCCGAGCCAAAGGGCCAGGGTGTAGATACTTTTTTAGTATGAGTATGTTCCAAATCTTGCACGGGGCATGCTTACACTACAACATTTTTTGTTGTTCATAGGAAATTTAAATTTAACTGGGCGTCCTGGACTTTACTTGCTGAATCTGACCCCCCCTCCCCAAGTTCCCTTCCGTCACGTGGCCACAGGCTCATGTAGAGACCCCAGCACCTGAGGGGCGGGGCCACAGGGCTCTCTCTTGGACACGAGCCCTGTCCCTTGTACCAGGTGCTCAGCGTCACACACTCTTACAGTATATTCGCGTGTCCTATGACACGAAGCCAGATTCGCTGCTCCATCTCATGGTGAAAGACTGGCAGCTCGAACTCCCCAAGCTCTTGATATCTGTGCACGGGGGCCTCCGGAACTTTGAGATGCAGCCCAAGCTGAAGCAGGTCTTCGGGAAAGGCCTGATCAAGGCCGCCATGACCACCGGTGCCTGGATCTTCACCGGGGGCATCAGCACCGGTAAGAGCAGAGCCTCTCCCGTGCTATAAACTCGCCAACCCAGAACTCATGGTTCCCAAACAACTTTAGAATAACCAAGATTGAAGAAATCCAGATGTATTGCATCCTGATAATATTTATGACAGAAGGGAAGTATTTTTAAAAATATGGTTTTTGTTGATTTTTTAGAGAGAGGAGGAGAGAGAAACATCGACGTGAGAGAGAAACATCAATGGGCTGCCTCCTGCACGCCCCCTACTGGGGATCAAGCCCACAACCCAGCATGTGCCCTGACTGGGAATTGAACCGGGACCTCTCAGTCCATGGGACGATGCTGAACCCTCTGAGCCACACTGGCCGGGCTGTTTTCTCTTTTCTAAGAGCGAACGCGCGGTGACTAGTTATTGTGAAGTCAGACTTGCGGTGGACTTCCTTTTCATGGTCATGGTGAAGAGCGTGATGTCTCATCCGTGGTTCCACACCGAATGGAGTGGCTCAGAGAAGGGGTCCCTGAAGTTCACAAAGAGGATGCGATGGGAGGGAAAGGGCCCACGAAGGTGACTTATGGCTGCCCACAGGTGTCATCAGCCACGTCGGGGACGCCTTGAAAGACCACTCCTCCAAGTCCAGAGGCCGGGTCTGTGCCATCGGGATCGCCCCGTGGGGCATCGTGGAGAATAAGGAGGACCTGATTGGAAAGGACGTAAGTGTTTTCTCCCCGGACAGTGGCAATTTTTTAAAAAATCAAAATCTGCCCTGGCTGGTTTGGCTCCGCGGTTAGAGCGTCGGCCCGCGGTCCAGAGAGACCAGGGTTCGGTTCCTGCTAAGGGCACATGCCTCGGTTGCAATTTGGCCCCAGTCCTGGTTGGGTCATGCGGGTGGCAGCCACTCGATGTGTCCCTTTCACATCGATGTTTCTCTCTCTCTCTCTTCCTCTCTCTCCCTCCCACTCTACCTGAACAAAAAATGCAAAAAGCTCCTCGGGTGAGGATAACAATAAATAAATTAATCAATCAATCAATTTAAAAATTTTTTTTTTTTTAGTGGGAGGGGGAGGGGAGAGAGAGAGGACCATCAATGTGAGACAGACACATCAATTGGTTGCCTTCTGCATGGCCCCAACCAGGGCTGGGGATCGAACCTGCAACTGAGGTACGTGCCTTGACTAGAAATGGAACCCTTGACTCTATGTCTGGGGGCCAACACTCTAATTGCTGAGGCAAACTGGCCAGGGCAAAAAAATCAAAATCTTTGCTTTGAGATCGTTGTAGATTCCCCTGCAGTTACAAGAAATAAGAAGGAGAGGTCCTGTACACCCTCCCCTTTCTGCACCGGGAGCATCTTGCAAAACTAGGGCTCAATAGCACAACCAGGATCGACGTTGATACCATGAAGACAGAGTGGTTCCACCACCACTCGGACCCCCGTGTGCCCTTGAACACCCACCCAGTTCCCTCTCCCATCCCCGGCAGCCACTGACCTGCCTCCTCTACAACATCATCATTTCAAGGATGTTGAATACATGGGACCACATGACACGTAAGCTTTTCATTCCACAGTGATTCTCTGGAGACCCTGCTTTTTTGTGTATCCGCACAGTTTTTGAAAACTGTTTTCACTGATTTTTTAAAGAGCGAGGAAGGGAGAGACAGAAACATCGATGTGAGAGAGATACATTGATCGGATGCTTTCTACACGCCCCCTACTGGGGATCAAGTCCCCAACCCAGGCATATGCCCTGACCGGGAATCGAATCGGGACCTCTCAGTCCATGGGACGATGCTCAGTCCACTGAGCCACCCTGGCCGGGCCAGGTCTGTCCTCTCCATTGCTCAGTGGTATCCCACAGCACAGATGAGCCATGGTCTGTTTAACCACTGACCTCATGGTGTGCATGTGGGCAGCTTCCAACCGGCTATTACAAATAACGTGCCGTGAACGTTTATGGACAGGATTTCACTTAGGTACGTTTGTATTTCTCTGTGAGCAATGCCCAGGAGTACAATGGCTGGGCTGGCATTATCTAAAATAACATTATTCTTTTCTAATTTAATATAGAAATTCGCACACACAAAAGTCCTCCTACCCTGGCTGGTGTGGCTGGATGGTTAGAGCGTCGGCCCATGAACCAAAGGGTCACAGGTTCGACTCCTGGTCAAGGGCACGTACCTGGGTTGCAGGTTTGATCCCCAATTGAGGTCTGTGTGTGTGCGGGAGACAACCAATCAATGTGTCTCTCTCACATTGGTGTTTCTCTCTCTCCCCCTCCCTCCCTTCTACTCTCTCTAAAATCAATGGAAAAATTATACTTGGGTGAGGGTTAACAACAACAGCAAAACCCAAAACACAGACAGAACAACAAAACCCTTCATTCGAAAGGAAAAGAGAGTACCCGCTGTCTGAAATGCACACAGTTAGATGGAGCCGTTGCTACATAATCCATATCCTGGCTTCCCCCGCCGGTGTGACCAGTTCTGAGCTGTGCTGTGTATTCGGCAGGTGACGAGAGTGTACCAGACCATGTCCAACCCTCTGAGCAAGCTGTCTGTGCTCAACAACTCCCACACGCACTTCGTCCTGGCCGACAACGGCACCCGGGGCAAGTACGGCGCCGAGGTGAAGCTCCGGAGGCAACTGGAAAAGCACATCTCTCTGCAGAAGATCAACACAAGTAAGTCTGGCCAAGGCCACGGACAGGGCCACCAGGAACCAACTGCCCCGGGTGTACAGCCCTGCCCTCGATTCCCGTCAGGTCCATGGAAGATGACTCACCTCGACCCTTCTCCTTATCGACCTACAAAGCACTCATTGAACTACATCGTCAGGAGGCTTTGCCCCGAGGTAACTAGGAGGGTTGACACAAAAAACAGCTCTGTGGCGGTTGCCATGGTGATGGCACTGCCTCCCACGCTGTCCAATGGTGCTTGTTCCCCAGAACTCCTGTAGTTATTTTTCCGACGTCTGAACAAAAAATATTTCTCAAAGACTTAGTCTGATTTCCTCTATCCACTGTTATGTGATCAAGTTGAATAGATTTAGCTCTGGTCTCTCACCTAGATCCAGACGGGCCAGGTGGAGAACCCCTTGGGGAGGGCACTGCCCAGGCTGGTCCAGTAGCGCCTCCCGGGGGAGGATGCTGAGGTCCAGCCAGAGAGAAAGGAGTGAGGTTCCAGCAGAAGAAATGCCAACAGTCCGTCGGGACGGAAAGAACCGGCGTAGCCGCTGGGAGCAGGTTCACGCTCCCGTCATGGGCAGACGACTGTTGGAAAGTGATGGGAGAAAGTATTGTTTTTTCCACGCCTGCACGATTTCTGTGAAAGCCTGGAAAAGGGTCACGGCGAGGTAGATTGGAGGGGCTGTGGCTGCAGAGGTTAGAATGGAGGACCGACGACGAACACCGAGGGTGTCTGCGGCATCAGCTCGCCTCTGACGGACCGGCCGTGACTGTGTTCTGTCCCCACGGGCTCTGATGTTTCTGACCTGCATGCTCCACTCTGCCCAGCTTCTCCTGTGACTGGTGGGCTTCCCTTTGTCATCCTTTGCCTGGGGCTCTGAGTGGGGCAGGGACAGCAAAGGGATGTTCAGTTGTCATCTCTCGCAGCGAGGGGTTTTGGGGAGTCCTGCCTACACCACGAAGAATTAATTCCACTCTGTCTCTACACAAGACGGCGAGGTGGCCGCCATCATCCTGCGGACCTCAAGTGCTAGGCCTGGCTTGGGCTGGGAACCCCAAAGGCAGGGTCCCGGTCATCTCGGCCCATTTCCCAGTCTCTGAGCCGGGGCCAGGCAGAGCTGACCCTCAGGTACACATCTGCTGAACTGAACGTAACGAGATGACTCTGGTCAGAGTCGGTGAGAGTGTTTGGAAGTTCCTGGCGGCAGAAATGCACAAGGAAGCGCACGAGAACTCTGAACCCCCCTCGAGAGTCTGCGCTCTCCTGGCGCAGGCAGCAGACTTGAGGTGCACAGAGCGCTCAGGTCCCCCGACAGTTTCCGGTATGCCCTCATCACCCCTCTGGGAGATAAAGCAGGCACGGTCATGACTCACCGGGCAGATGGCCCTCTAAGGCTCATGGTGGCTTGTAACTGGCCCAGTGTCATACGGCCAACACCGGAGAGGCCAGAAATTGAACTGAGGTCCCCCATCACTGGTCCCCCTTTACTGTGTCATTCTTTTTTTGTTTTAATCCTCACCGGAGGATGTTTTTCCCTTTATCTTCAGATAGAGCAGGAGAGTGGGAGAAAGGCAGAGAGAAACATCGACGTGAGAGGGACACATTGGTTGCCTCCTGCATGACCCTAACTAGGGCCGGGGACGAACCGCAACCGAGGTATGTGCCCTTGACCGGGATCGAACCCGCCAGTCATTGGTCCACGGGCCGATGCTCTAACCACTGAGCCAAACCGGCCAGGGCTACTGCGTCATTCTTTAGGGGACAACGATCCAGGGTGCAGATGTCAGATCCTGAGGCAGGGCAGCAGGGGAGGTATTTTATTTTATTTTTAGCAAAAGGAATCTCCCAGTGTCCCTCACATCTCACCTTGAAGCAGCCCCATGCATGCCAGGTGGGTTCTCCACGGAGCTTAACCACAGCTGCTTCCAAAGGCCCTCGCCGTCTGGTACACTAGCCTCTCCCGGGGAGGCCGGAATACGGGGTTGGCACCAGAACAAACACTCACCCAGCTGGGACGTCTGCCCAGCTGTGAAGGTGCAGGCTCAGACGGGACCAGGAGCGGGCAGTGCGGGGGTGCTCTGACGGCGGGCGGTGTGTGTTGCAGGACTGGGCCAGGGTGTGCCCGTCGTGGGCCTCGTGGTGGAAGGGGGCCCCAACGTCTTCGCCATCGTCCTGGAGTACCTCCGAGAGGAGCCTCCCGTCCCCGTGGTGGTTTGTGACGGCAGCGGACGTGCCTCGGACATTCTGTCTTTCGCGCACAAATACTGTGAGGAAGGAGGGTAGGATTTCTGACGTGGTCCAAAGGGTGGGGTTTTTATTTACTTTTATCTTTTTGTTAATCCTCACCTGAGGATATCTTTTCTATTGGTTTTTTGAGACAGTGGAAGGGAAGGAGGGATGGGGGGGAGGGAGAGAGAGAGAAACATTGATGCGAGAGACACATCGATTGCTTGCCTCCCACACGCCCCCTACTGGGGCTGGGGATCGAACCTGCAACCCAGGTACACGCCCTTGACCGGGAGTCAAACCCATGACCCTTGGGTGCGTGGGCCAACGCTCTAACCACTGCGCACACCGGCCAGGCAAGGCTGGGATTTTAGCTGCTTTCCTGTTAAACCAAGAAGGAAGCCTTAGCCATTCCAAAAACACTGACCCCCATTTACTAGCCCCCCATTTCCCAGGTCGGCAGGAAAGGGAGCTGTGGAGACCACGGTGCTGCTAACAGAATTCTTCCTCGGCGGCAACACCCTCTCTTCCAGCTTCATTTTCCCTTATAAGGCTTTCAACAAGCCTGGGATTTAGGGCAAGTGTGAGTCCCGGGACCCCCTCCAGGGGAAAAGCTTCCAGTCAGAGATGCCAGACGGACACACAGAGCTGTCGGGTTCCGCACGTACACAGACCTCACTTCTCCGTGGTGTTTCCTTCTAACAGGACCATAAACGAATCCCTCCGGGACCAGCTCCTGGTCACCATTCAGAAAACATTTAATTACAGCAAGACGCAGTCCCATCAGCTGCTTGGGATGATAATGGAATGCATGAAGAAGAGGGAGCTCGTAAGTGTCTCGCGTTTACGTCCAAGCCGGCTCCACAGAGGGAATCGGGTTTCCTTCCTAATTCTGCCCATGTGTGCGGGACGGAGCTGTTCATATTCTTCCAAGAGGTGGGTGACGGAGTCCGCACCACCCTGGCCGTCAGGTCCACGTGAAGGAAGCACGTGAGCTCACGCAGAGGCAGGACCCAGGAGCTTTCAGAACTTAGTGGACGTCAGTGACCTCACGCCATGTCAAGCCAATCCTAAGGGTCATGACATTAATCCGACCTCCAGATTCGAGGAGACATATACCACCACCCTTTTTAGGGGAGCTGGTAAAAGTCTATCACATCACTTTCCAAACCAAACAGGCCGACCGGAGACACCACGGGTTCGGTTCTAGACCGCCGCAATAAAGCGAGTACCGCAACAGAGCGAGTCGTACCTTTAGCTGGTGGAGGCCTTGCCTTCCAGGTGTAAAAAGCGCAATACCTGCGAGGCGCAACAGAGCAGAGCACGACAGAATGAGTTGCCTGTAGTCTTTTCCCACTCCTTGCCTCCTCAGTTATGCTTATAAGGAACAGGCATTGTTGCTGCCTCCTCAAAATGCGAAGTCTGCAAGTTCCCTACAAACACAGGCACACTTTGGAGATACTGCAGGTTTGGTTTCAGATGACCACAATCAAGCAAATGTTGCAATAAAATGAGTCACACAAATTTCCCCCCAGTGCATATAAAAGTTGTTTACACTATACTGTAGTCTACTAAGTGTGCAGTAGCCTTACGTCTAAAAAGCAATGTAGGCAGCTCAATTAAAAATTACTTCATTGCTAAAAAATGCTGACCATCACCGGAGCCCCTGCACAGTTGAAGTCTCTCGGCTGGTGGAGGGTTTGCCTTCCGTCTGTAAACAGTCCCTGCAGAACACAGCACAACGAGGTTTGCCCGTACATCAGATCTAGTAGCGGTGACCCTGTGGTCTCCCGTGGCCATTCAGACCTTGCCGCGTGGATCCCTAGTGAAATGAGAGAGCGGGTCCGCGTTCAGTCTGGGCCAGAGCACTGGGCGTAAATGGGTTTGCTCCCAGCATCACTGCCTGGTGTCCATGTCAGCCTCTGGGGGCCTCTGTGTAAGACTCCCCCGCTCTCCTCCTCGTTCCCAACTGTGCTTCACGTGGTCTCTTCACGATCAACCTGTTTGCAGGTCACCGTGTTCAGGATGGGAGCTGAGGGGCAGCAGGACATGGAGATGGCGATCTTAACCGCCCTGCTGAAAGGTGAGCCCGGGGACGGCGGCTCTGGCCTCCCAGTGCAGGCCTGGCCGGCCACCTGTCTCCTCCTGCCGGGAGTTGTGTGGGTGGTGACGGCGCCCCGAGTCAGCCAGCTGCCTGGAGGGGCCCCGTCTGAAGCCAGGGTAGAAAGACAAGGCTGGAGGTGGGTTTCCTGGTCGGGCCGCTTTCTGTGGGGCCTGTGGCCCGTGATGGGCTGAAGTCACAACCGGTTTCCATCTGTAACCAGTTGATTAAGGTTTCGACTCCTAGAGGGTGAACACCAAGTGGTTGGTTGGTGTGTTATTCGGGCAAGCACTGCATTCTGTAGTGCGATGTCCAATTTCCTGCCCCTCTCCTAAGGCAGGCTGCGACCTGGCCACTCAGGGGCTGCCCGGGGACACTCACTTCCTGTCTGTCTTTGGCCAGACTGGGACGGTGAGGAGAGCAGGAGAGGGCAGGGTGTCACCATCAGCTGGCTGCCTGGCCCGGCTGGGCCACTGCTCGGGGCTGTGCTCACCTCCAGCCCCATCACCTGCAGACCCCGCCCCAAGGCTCCAGATAAGGGTCCGGAGTCACGGCTCCTCCTTCCCAAGCAGCTGGCTGGGAAGGGGCTGCCTGCACCCTCCTCCGGGGCAGCCTTGGAGAGGATGCAGTTCTTAGCTCGGGCAACAGCAAGGGCAGCCGGCTTAGTTCCAGCCCGGGGGCGGGGCCGGGAGCCTGTGCTCACCGCCCACTGGAGAGCCGCGTGGTCCAGGCTCAGAGAGCGGAGCCTCCCTTCTGCCTTTCCAGGAACGAACGCATCGGCTCCGGACCAGCTGAGCTTGGCGCTGGCCTGGAACCGCGTCGACATAGCGCGAAGCCAGATCTTTGTCTTCGGGCCCCACTGGCCGGTGAAACTGTTTTCCACTCCATCCCTCTTGTCGGGCCTTGCCTGGATGATGCGTTCCATGTGCGCCCCTGGGACACGGGTCCCGGGAAATGAGCTGGGATTTCTCCTGGTTCAGCTCTTAGATTATTAGGAGACGCTGCAGTTTAACCTCCAAGAACTGGGAGGAAGTGAGCTGCCCACGCTAATCCGACTCCAACCAGGGCGCGCGTGAGGACATGACCCTAAATACCCGAGCGCGGCTGGTGGAAGTGGGCGTTTACCCCTTTAAACCAAAGACGGAAAGTAGCTCATTAAAATGAATACAATGATTGCATTGAGAGCACTGGTTTTTCAAACTCGGTTCCATGACACCCCGGAGGCCTAGAGAACTGTGTGTGAGCGTGTGCACGTACCCGTGTTCACATGAGTGCATGTGTGTGCTGATGTGTACATGGATACACGCGTGCACGTGTGCCTGCGTGCAGAGCTGAGGGTCGTCTAGACCACCAGCTCTAACACTTTCTCCCAATTCTGCTTGCTGTGGACGGCAGCCCCTGGGGAGCCTGGCCCCCCCGACGGACAGCAAGGTCACGGAGAGGGAGAAGAAGCCACCCACAGCCACCACCAAGGGGGGCAGAGGGAAAGGAAAAGGCAAGAAGAAAGGGAAAGCGAAGGAGGAGGTGGAGGAAGAAACTGACCCCCGGAAGCTCGAGCTGCTGAACTGGGTAGGTGGGGAGTCTCGGCTCCTGTTTCTGGGGATCACTGAGATCATGGAGCCAAGCGCTCCTGCTCGGGGGGGGGGGGGGGGATAAAGCCGCGGAGGGGGGTGCTGCCATGCGGTCAAGCTCGACAGCAGGTCTCTGCCCGGCACACACCAAAGACGCTCGGTGTGAAAACGTGGGAAATGCTCCAACTATCGCAGAACAAAACGAGAAGCCTGAGGCTGGGTGGAGGGAAGTGACAGTGCCCATATCCAGCCTGCCACTGAGGGGACCCAGGCCAGGCAGGCGCGGGCCTCTGCGGTGACATGCCCTGCACTGTCGCTGGCCCCACCCGGCCCCACCCGGCCGCCACAGGCAATTCTAGGTCGAGGACACACTCTCCAGCAAGCCGCCCATTGTATGAGGGCCACAGGTTGCATCGTTTATGGACAGAAACGTAAATGATAAATAAAGTGGCACAATCTACCACCTCAAAAAAAACACTGCCCACGGAGGCAGGAGCTTGAAGATTTAAGTGCTGATCACGGTTTTATCTGGAAAAGCAGCCACGACTCGTGTGGGTGTTCTTCCTTGTGTTTTTATATATATTAAAAAAATGTTTTTTCTTTATTGATCTTTATTTATTTATTTATTTATTTTTTATCCTCACCCGAGGACATTTTTTCCATTTTTTGTTCAGATAGAGCAGGAGGGAGAGAAAGAGAGAGAGAGAGAGAAACATCGACGTGAAAGGGACACATCCACTGGCTGCCACCCACACGACCAACCAGGGCCGGGGACAAACTGCAACCGAGGTACATGCCCTTAGCGGGAACTGAACCCGGGTCTCTCCGGACTGCAGGCGGACGCTCTAACCGCTGAGCCAAACTGGCCAGGGCTCTTTATTGATTTTTAGAGAGAGAGGAAGGGAGAGAGAGGGAGAGAGAAACATCGATTGGCCGCCTCCTGCATACCTCCCACTGGGGGTCGGGCCCACAGCCTGGGCATGTGCCCTGATCGGGAATTGAACTGGCGACCTCTTGGTTCAGGGTCGGTGCTCAACCACTGAGCCACACCGGCTGGGCTAAAGCAAAGCTAATAAGCTAGTTTAATTAAAACAGAACTGGAGCCCTGGCCGGTTTGGCTCAGCGGTTGGAGCATCGGCCTGCGGACCAGAGAGTCCCAGGTTCGGTTCCCGCTAGGGGCACGTACCAAAAAAACAAAACAAAAGAAAAACAGAATTGGAAACTGGAGGCAGCCACAGCAGGTTGGCTGTAATTCTGCCTTGTCTGCAACTTGTTTTAAAAAGGAGACTATCACTTATCAGAGTTGGACCGCTGGTCTGATAGATAGAGGTCAACCTGGCGAGGAAGGAGAGGGGCGTTTACTGAAGACAAAGAGCAGAGGGCAGCCTGCTCAGAAAGCTCAGGGCCTGGGGGTCAGGACAGGCTGTCTGAGATGCTTCCAGCCCGCCTCCTCCCTGCGCAGGTGAACGCGCTGGAACAAGCCATGTTGGACGCCTTGGTCCTAGACCGCGTGGACTTCGTGAAGCTCCTGATTGAAAATGGGGTCAACATGCAGCACTTCCTTACCATCCCGAGGCTGGAAGAGCTTTACAACACGGTGCGTGTCCGAGGGAGGCGGGCAGCCAGCCACCGGTCCCGGGCGCGCTGCGTGCGTGAGGGCCTGGAGTTACGGAAACAGCGTTTCTGCTCGGAGGGCCACCACTTGATGGCAGGCAGGCATTCTTTTTTTTAAATTTTTTAATTTTTATCCTCATCCGAGGACATATGTTTCCATTTTTTGTTCAGATAGAGTGGGAGGGAGAGAGAGGGAGAGAAAGAGAGAGAGAAACATCGACATGAAAGGGACACCTCAAGTGGCTGCCACCCGCACAACCAACCAGGGCCGGGGACAAACCGCAACTGAGGTACACGCCCTTAGCGGGAACCAAACCCGGGTCTCTCGGGACCGCAGGCCGACGCTCTAACCGCTGAGCCAAACTGGTAGGGCCAGGCATTTTTTTTTTTTAGTTTTAAAAAATTCTTTATTTGAATGAAAATCTGGGCAAGGTCCATACTTTGCTGCTGACATGTCTCTTAAACTTTGAAGTCCATCGTCCATCTCTTTTCCCTAATGGATTAATTAGCTCATTAATTCGTGTGTGTGTGGGGGGGGGGGCGGGGGTTTGTTTTTCAGAAAGCAGGTCATTTGTCCTGCAGAGTTTCTCAAAGTCTGAATTCTGTGGCGCTTCTCCTGGTGTGATTTAGGCTGTTCCTCAATCCACTGTATTTCCAGTAGACTGGTTGTTAGAGATTTAATCAGGTTTAATTTTATTATGTTGGCAAAATGAGTTCCTAGGTGGTTCTCGTGCCTTTGCGAGGAGGCACACAGTGTGGCCTTTTTGTGATGTTAGTAACCAATGATGACCATTGTCTAGACACAATTTCGACCTGATTGACATTTTGGGCCAGAAAATTCTTTTTTTCTCGTCAATTACAGTTGACGTTCAATGCAGCAGTATATTAGCTTCAGGCGTATGGTGCAATGGTTAGGCACTTATACAACTTACGAAGTGATCCCCGATGTTTCCAGAACCCACCTGGCCCCCCGTAGTCATCACATCGTGACTGACTACTCTCTGCGGACTTGACGCCCCGTGGCTGCTCCGGCTGGACAGCCGCGCTCACCGCTGGGCCACAGCGCAGGCCCTGCTCTGGCCGCCGGCCCAGCCCGCCTCTCTGCTGCAGTGTCGCCTCCGGTGCAGAACACGAGGGCTCCTCCCCGCAAACAGGGAAGCCAGCTGCCCACGTCAGCTAGGTTTCCGTTAGTGAAGTGGAGAGTTTCCGCGGGGAGCAGTCACTTCTGCCCTGGGACCCCTGTTTTTTATGCGGCTCCAGTGCAAAGCGTAGCAGTGAGCTTCCACGGCAAGGGGCCCCGCTGTGCGGGAACAGAGGCATCTGCTTGGTGACGGGAATTTGGGAAGCCCACCCTCCTTTCTGAAATTTCCAATAGCACAAATGTCCTCAGCACTAGAATGTGGTGACTTTTTAATTCTTTTTTATTTTTTTTATCCTCACCCAAGGACATTTTTTCGTTTTTTTGTTCAGATAGAGTGGGAGGGAGAGAGAGGAAGAGAGAGAAACATCAACGTGAAAGGGACACGTCGAGTGGCTGCCACCCGCAGGACCCAACCAGGGCCGGGGACAAACTGCAACCGAGGTACATGCCCTTAGCGGGAACCGAACCCAGATCTCTCTGGACCGCAGGCCGACGCTCTAACCGCTGAGCCTAACCAGCCAGGGCGAATGTGGTGACTTTTTAACACGATGCTGGGATGTCCGAAGATGCTCTCTGAAATACAGTTACTCAATCAAACGTATTTCACCTACAGGAACGTGTCAGACACTTCCTAACCAAGACCAGTCTGGTTGTAAAGAGATGGGCTGGCCCCGGCTAGTTTGGCTCAGCAGTTAGAGTGTCGGCCCGCGGAACAATGAGTCACGGGTTCGATTTCAGCCAAGGGCACGTACCCCGGTTGCGGTTCGTCCCCGGCCCTGGTCGGAATCATGCAGGAGGCAACCAGTCGATGTGTCTCTCTCACATCAGTGTATCTCTCACCCTCCCTTTCTCTCCCTCTCTATATAAAATATTTTTAAAGAAGAGAGAGAGACGGCTGACCACGGTCACTCCCGCAGCTCCCGGTCTGTAGAGCAGAGCAGGGTCTTCTGCTCCGAGCGGGAGAGAAGCCATAGTGATCGTAGCCGGACTCTTGTCTTTCAGAGGCTGGGTCCACCGAACACTCTTCACTTGCTGGTCAGGGACGTAAAAAAGGTCAGTCTGCTGGTTCATGATCCTTACTGTGGGCATCTGCCAATAACATATTTCTTTAATTGTATTTTCCAATTACAGTCGACATACAATTTCTATTAGTTTCAGGTGTACAACACAGTGATGAGACATCTTTATAGCTTACAAAGTGATCCCCCCATAAGTCTGGTGCCCCCGCCCTCCTCCCATGCTGCCCTGCACCCCTCGCCCGCCCTGTGAGCTGCAGCCCCAGAAGCTCTCCTGGCCCAGGGCCTTCATCCCCTAGGACTCAGCTTCAGCGAGAACTGTCCGGTGCAAACAGGAACATTCCCCTCCTTTAAGCCGCCGCGGAGCATGCCCACCCTCATCCTGTGTCCGTCGTGCCTCAGGCCTTCCCTTAGTGACCTAAGGCCACACCCATGTCGCAGCCCGAGAGGCCTCGGAACCAAAGGGTACATTTGGAATGTTCAGCTCCCAGCTCTGGACCCGTTCCCACCGCTTCTGTTTTGTAGCAAAACTCTGCCCCTCACCGACTCCCCATCTTCCTAGGTAGTTTGTGGGTTTGGGTTCTTCCTGAAATCTGCAGGCACCCCAGAAAGTCACGGGGCACCATGGGAAGCTGTCCCCCTTCCCACAGCCTCCCCTGGAGCCTGCCTTCCTGTTAGCTGGTCACTTCCTCCTTCTGCATGTGGTCTAGACCCCAGCCCCCCAGGGGGCTTCCTCCCTGCAGAGCAGCTGGCAAACACCTTCTCCACAGACCCGTCTGCTTGGACAGACAGCTCACACCAGCTGCACAGCGAGTTCCCGTGACGTGTCCCACACGCTGACGCACGCACGCACAGACCATTCCATCTGAGCTCGGTCTGCTACCCCACAGCCTCCTGGGTTTCTAACTGCCCCCCGGGAAAGTTCAACCCCTTTCCGAAGGATGGCTCAGCCCATCACCTCCCTCAGTCACATGGAAACAGACTGAGTCTTGTTTGATGCTCCGCCGTTACACGGGCACTCGAGTGACCACAGGTGGCCAGGGGTGGCCGCAGGGCCTGAGGGGTGTGACGAAGCCCAGGTCTCTTCTCTTCCAGGGCAACCTGCCGCCCGATTACCACATCAGCCTCATAGACATAGGGCTGGTGCTGGAACACCTCATGGGAGGCGCCTACCGCTGCAACTACACCCGCAAGAGCTTCCGGACCCTTTACAACGACTTGTTTGGACCTAAGAGGGTAGACCTGAGCGGCCGGGTGTGGTGGTTGGTGGTCCCGAGCCACGCGTGGCTCCCCACTGCCTTTTCCAACGACCCAGCCCGTTCGCTCAGAGCAAGCTCAGCACCCTATCCCCAAGCTCCTGCCCTTCCTCTGCAGGGACTCGGGTGGAGGCTTCACCCGGGCACTGCCCTTATCCCGAAGCAGGCGGATGCTCAGCCCATCTGCGGCACCTGGCCCATGCCCTTTGTCCACAGTGGCCTTCCTTCTGGGTTCCCTTGTCTCTGCTGCCTCCATCCTACCGCTGTTGTGACCCTACTCTCCAGAGCGAGGGACCACCGCCACGCTCATGTCAGGCGCCCAAGGCTCTGACAGCCCACAGTCATCCCTACCCTGTCCTGGGGGACCTGCCAAAATCAAACTGTAGGACTGCGCCGGCCACGGCGTCCCCTGCTCAGAACCCCTCCCTGCACAAGCCTGACTCAAATGCCGGGTCTGCCTTGCGGCCCCTCGCCCCTCACCCCTCGCTTAGAGCCCGCATGTCCCTGGTTCTGCACACCTTCGTCCTCAGCCGACTTCGGCTGCAGGAAGCCGAGTTTCCACAGTAGAGCACGCCCTTTCCTCGGCTGTTGTCCTCCAGCGATAACCTACTGCGGTGTCTCTTAGCAACGGCGGGCTGAGTCCTGCTAACATAGTCGTCTGACTGCACCGATTTTCCCTCCCCTGCACCACGCAGCCGAAAGCCCTGAAACTCCTGGGGATGGAAGTAAGTCGCTTTCTTGTCAACCGTTCACGATCTGTTGGTCAAACGTGCGTGTCGTCCTCGTTTTGTATTTGCGCGGCACAAAGTGGAACACATCTGTTTTCCACCGGGAAGCCCACCACGTCACCCGCACCACGTGCACTTAGACGCGTCAGTGGCATCAGGGGACGACAGCGTTGTCTCCCCGCAGGACGACGAGCCTCCAGCCAAAGGGAAGAAAAAGAAGAAGAAGAAAAAGGAGGAGGAGATCGACATCGATGTGGACGACCCGGCGGTGAGCCGCTTCCAGTACCCGTTCCACGAGCTGATGGTGTGGGCCGTGCTGATGAAGCGCCAGAGGATGGCCGTGTTCCTGTGGCAGCGCGGCGAGGAGAGCATGGCCAAGGCCCTGGTGGCCTGCAAGCTCTACAAGGCCATGGCCCACGAGTCCTCCGAGAGCGAGCTGGTGGATGACATCTCCCAGGACCTGGACAACAACTCCAAGTTAGTGTCCAGGGAGCTGCACCAGGAGACTCGTCCTGAGTCTCTGTCCCTCGGGGGGGGGGGGGCACCTGTCTTTCTCGCTTCAGTACAATGACATTGAACGCGCGTGTGTGTGAATCACTTTGTCCGGCATGTTGATGTTTTTCCTTCTACCTTGCTGGACTGTCATTGTTTTTTTTTCTACTGGTTTCTCGTGCAAACACAATTTTTTTTAATCCACACCTTAGGATATGTTTTTCATTGATTCTGGAGAGAGAGAGAGAGAGAGAGAGAGAGAGAGAAAGAGAGAGAGAGAGATCAGTTGGTTGCCTCTTGTACGTACCCAGACAGGGGATCAAACCCACAACCTGGGTATGTGCCCTGACTGGGGATCGAACCTGCAACCTTTTGGTGTACGGAACAACACTCCACCCACTGAGCACCTGGCTGGGGCTGCCCCTGGAGTTTCTTTTTTATCCTCACCCGAGGACATTTTTCCATTTTTTGTACAGATAGAGTGGGAGGGAGAGAGAGGAAGAGAGAGAGAGAAACATCGACGTGAAAGGGACACATCGAGTGGCTGCCACCCTCACGACCAACCAGGGCCGGGGACAAACTGCAACCGAGGTACATGCCCTTAGCAGGAACCGAACCCGGGTCTCTCAGGACCGCAGGCCGACACTTTAACCGCTGAGCCAAACTGGCCAGGGCTCCTGGAGTTTCTAACTCAGACTTGTCCTCACTGAGCCCCAGCAACTAGTCAGTTACAGGTCAGACCTTCCTGCCCCAGAGCTGGTTCCCAGGTGTGGGCTGGTGGTCTCTGCTCCGGTAAACTGTGGTTCAAACGGATCACACCAGTACGACCAGCGCCAGGTCAAGACGCAGGACCTTACCTGCACCTGGGAGCCCTCCTGGTGTCCCCTCTCAGTGTCCACCTGTCTGCCTCACAAAGCGCTGCCACCCTTCTGACGTCCAACCCCACAGGGCCTTTGCTGCCCTCTCTACTCTGCATCTCTGTCCTGGGAACGCATGAGGAAAGGGACTTTGTCCTCTGGGGTCTGAAGGGAAAGTCTGGGGTCAACCTCAAGCTCCATTTGCAGTAAGAACAGCCATCCCCCAACATGACTGAGCCGAGCCCCAGCTGTCCCCTCTGGGGACGTGCCCGGTGAGCTTCAGGGATTTCCACGGCTCCATCATGTCCCTGTGGCCACTGCGGCTTCAGCCCAGCTCCACCTCTCCCACCCAGAGACTTCGGCCAGCTGGCGGTGGAGCTGCTAGACCAGTCCTACAAGCACGACGAGCAGATGGCCATGAAACTGCTCACCTATGAGCTGAAGAACTGGAGCAACTCGACCTGCCTCAAACTGGCCGTCGCAGCCAAACACCGTGACTTCATTGCTCACACCTGCAGCCAGATGCTGCTGACCGACATGTGGATGGGGAGGTTGCGGATGAGGAAGAACCCCGGCCTCAAGGTACGTGTGACGTGCGTGCTGTCAGACTGGTAAGGACCAGACGGTGACAAGCGGCACCTGTGAGCCGGCACACTGCACCTGGCTGAGCCAAGCACCTGCTGTGGATTATTTCACTTACGTACTCCACTGCACAATTCCGTGAGGGAGGCACCGTGACAGCCTTGTCTTTCAGATGGAGAACCTGAGCCTTCGAGGTTAAGTGACTTGTCTAGGATGTGAGTTAGTCAGGGGTGAGTCCAGGGCCTGAACCTGGGTGGTCTAACGCCACCGTCTGACCTCAGCAGCAGTCCTGGCTCACAGAGCTCAGCAGCCACCCTGATAAAAATGACAAGGTTTTCCACCTACGAGCAGGGCATTCTTTTGCTGTCTAGACTGAGCCCAGTGAGTCCTTTTGTAAGTCACATTCGTTTTTCAACTCTTGGCCCATCTAAGTGATTTCTCTACAAAATATTTTTGACCTACTTCACTAGAAGGATTTCTACAATGTTATACTTACTATTTACCATATTATTATATTTTAATTTAAATATTTATCTGCTTTGGAACTTTATGCATAATCTTTTGCTTTGTAAGTCAGGATTCCACACCATACTGCTTCTGTTCATCCCGAAAAAACTGGGTGGACCTTCTTACATTTTTCTGTCTGCAATTCTGCCAATGTGTAACTGAATCGCACATTGGCTGCCTGTGACAACAAAAGCCAAACTCGTGAGACAGGTGCTGGTGCAAAAGGAAAGAGATTTATTCAGGTGCCACAAACTGGGAGAATGGTGGACTCCTGTCTCAAAGTCCATCTGCCCTTTCTACTCAAGCCTGGGTTCATATAGGGATAAGGAGGGGGTGGTTTTTGTTTTGTTTTTCCTATCCAATTATCTTGCTAGCTTTTGGTATGCTCAGGCCCTGACCATTCATCTTTCTAGCTTTTGGTGTTCTCAGCATAAGAACCTCCCCCTGTGCCATTTTGGCAAATGGGGGAGACTTCCTGGCATTCCCTGACTGTCTGTGGTAACAAATGAACCCAATTAAATTAGCCACAGAACACAGAAGCAGACATAAACCTGTTCCAGGGCTCTGAGGTTATTGAGTAAATTTGAAGGTTATCATTTAAACATTTTATTTATACTGGGAAAAGTTTTAGAATTGACATAGCTTAAAAACCCATTTTTCTCATCATCCATAGGTTATAATGGGAATTCTTCTCCCCCCCACCATCTTGTTTTTGGAATTTCGCACCTATGATGACTTCTCTTATCAAACATCCAAGGAAAACGAAGATGGCAAAGAAAAAGAAGAAGAGACTATGGTCAGTGTTACCTTGCTCATCCAAGAATCAATTGCTCTTATTTTCAAAATCATTCAGATTTCTTTTACTCTGAATTTAGAAACTGCAGTAATTGAGAAAATTTCTGTAATTATTTTTAAAGGCGACCGTCTGTTAAGTATTGTCCTGGGAACATTGTATTTCCCACTCAGCAACCTGCCTGCCATGTTTTCCAGGATGCAAATGCAGACACTGGCTCAAGAAAGGGGGACGAGGAGAATGAGCACAAAAAGCACAGAAGTATCCCCATTGGGATGAAGATCTGTGAATTCTACAACGCTCCCATCGTCAAGTTCTGGTTTTACACAGTGAGGCCTCCCCTTAGCATTTGCCATGTAGCCTGGTTTGAACAGTGAGACGCATTAGAATCGAGAAAAATATCAAGGCCAGAAGATGGCTAGACGTTGGGTGGCGAGCATATAGAACATATATCTGAAATTTACATAATGTTATTAATCAATGCTACCTCAAAAACCTAATTTTTTATAAAGAAAAAAAAGTCAAGGCTTTTAAAAAGTATTTAATATTCACTGAATTAAAGTGAATTGTGAAAATAAAACTGGAGCTAATTCCGATCCTCACCTAAAATTGGGTCTACGTAGTTATCTTCTCTCACATTTATATGTATGTAGGGGTGTGGCCATCCTAGCCCCAAATACAGTCATATTCTATTTGCTCAAGACATTGTTTAAATGTCTTTAGTAATGCAAACTTAGAAAATTGTAATTTAATTTAAAAAGAAATATGGATGACTAGTGATTTAAGAAGCAAACCTACAGATGCCATTTTTCAGGAAACCGACAGGGTTATTACAAGAGTGTGGTTGAACCCAGGTCATTAACCCCTAGAATAGGGGAGCAAACCAAGGCCTGTCCACTCTAAGAGCACACCAGACTGGCCCACTAGGCCACACATTAGCCTCCAGCCCCCTTAGGTGGCACTGTCTCAACAGCCCCAGGAGTGTGGCCCACCTGGAATCAGGGCAGCCCCAGCCTTATGCCTGCTGGGACTTCTGCAGGTGGGCAGGAAAAGAGGGTTGAGAAACAGGAGCAGAGTGGAAGGCCCTGGGGGAACCGGTCCAGCTGCAGGTGGTCACAGCAGGGGGGCAGGGGGCTGTGCTTCTACAACCACTGCAGTCTGGGGAGGGGCAGGACCACCCATGTAGGCCCAAGCACCAAGCCACCACCCACTCCAGGCACTGTGCTTCCCTTAGTGACTGGGCCCGAACAGGTGATGGGGTACGGGAGCTGGGTCCCAGGCTGTAGCCCAGCAATGGATGGGTGAGCAGGGGCAGAGCCCCGGCTCTGGGAAATGGCACCTGGGGGGCTGTACGGGGACTCAGGCCAAGGGTGGGCCTGGATAACCAACCTTCTCGCAGCCACAGCTAGTGATGTGCCCAAAGCCCCCACCACCCATGTGTTCTGGTCAGAACCAGCTGAGGACCAGGGATGTCCCTGGTCCGCAGGAGAGCTCAGATGGAGCTGAAGGGGGCAGGGCCAGGGGCCAATGAGCCCCAGTCCAGGCTTCTCAACCTTGGGCCTCTTCCCAGAGCCTCTACATGCCACCTGAGTCTGGGGAAGGATGTCACACGTGTGTGGCTGCCCAGAGGACTCTGGCATAGCCCATCTGAGACTCCGGCTCTAATCCTCCTACACAGACCAGAGAGTGGATACAAGGATTTTACCTGTATCCTGGTCAAACTCATACAATCATAAAAATCTTCAAAAAAAAAAAAAAAAAGACTGCCTATTCCAAATACACAACTGCCAGCACATGCCCCACCCCCAAGTCCGGAAGGGGCCTGTGCCAGCGAGGGGTCAAGTTCACAGCTCAGTCTGGGCCGGCGGCTCAGCTGGTTAGAGCATCGTCCTGTACACCAAAAGGCTGCGGGTTTGATTTCTGGTCAGGGCACATACCTAGGTTGCAGATTCAACCCCAGTGGGGGCAACCGATCGATGTTTCTTTCTCTCTCTCTCCCCCTTCCTCTCTCTAAACATATCTTTAGGTGAGGATTAAAAAATCATAATGAATAAATAAATTAAATAAAACAATAAGCATTGCCTTAAAAAGTAAGTTCACAACACAGTCAAGTTCAGACCACCTCCCTGCGTCCCCTCCTTCACCCCACACACTCCACCTCTGCCACAGGGCCAGGGACCCTGGTGTCCATGTGCACCGAGGGACCTGAGGCAGCTCTGTGCGCCTGGGCAGACAGCTCGTCTTCCCGTCAAACCTCCCACACCCACCAGCATGGAAAGGTTCCAGAGGGAAATTTCGGAGGCAGGGAGGAGTAAGTAATATGGGCCGGTTCCCAGGAATGCAGGAGACATATCAGTAAGCTATGAAAAGTTTCCCTGCATATCATGATTTTGTGCAATTTCCTAATTTCCCCATGAGGGTGACTATAGCAACAAATACATCCTCATGTAGAAAAAGACCTTAGAGCCCACAACATGCTACAGTATAAAATGCCTTCGACCGGCCTTGGGTTCTCTGCCTGCATGGGAGAGGTGGATGGGGGAGGTGGATGGGAGGGTTCCTCTAAACAGGTTGGCCCAGGTTGGAAACGAAAATTATTTTCAGAAGATGCATCAACCGGAAACCAGGGTTCCAAACTTCCTTCCAGAGCGCGCTGTCCCCCAGACACGGCTCACAGTCTTCCTGTCTTTCAGATCTCGTACCTGGGCTACCTGCTGCTGTTCAACTACGTCATCCTGGTGCGCATGGACCGCTGGCCCTGCCTGCAGGAGTGGATCGTCATCTCCTACATCCTGACCCTGGCGCTGGAGAAGATCCGAGAGGCGAGTGCTCCCAGGGCCCGCCCCACCCCACGGCCACGCATGTCAACTCAGTGGGAGCGCTTACTGCAAAGCCACACCACGCAAATCACAAGTGCTGTGGAACTGTCCTTTTGAGGTGTCACCACCCCAAATGTACTCCACTCCCTTGCTTAAGATTTAGCTGCCTTCGCCCTGGCCGGTTTGGCTCAGCAGTTAAAGCATTGGCCTGCGGTTCTGAGAGACCCGGGTTCGGTTCCCGCTAAGGGCATGTACCTCGGTTGCAGTTTGTCCCTGGCTCTGGTCAGTCGTGCGGGTGGCAGCCACTCGATGTGTTCCTTTCACATCGATGTTTCTCTCTCTCTCTCTCTCTCTCTGGTTCTCTCTCTCCCTCCCACTCTACCTGAACAAAAAATGGAAAAATGTCCTCGGGTGAGGATTAAAAAAAAAAAAAAAAAAGATTTAGCTGCCTTCTGCATCCGAGTGTGAACTTGCAAATTAAACACAAAGCCCAATAAATGGCTCTTAGTAAAAAGACAGGTCTGAGTCCCTATAAAAGCAACAGCCAGTGCCGCCAGATTCCTGAGACAATCCGGTTACTACCATGGGGTCCAGCTGGCTGGTTTATGGGAACTGAAACTAGACACAGAGCTGTGAGAAGTGACGTTTTCCCTGTAACTGAGGACTCAGAACCACCCCGTCCTGGCTCAGACCCCTTATAGCCTTGATGGGGGTCCCTGTGCCAGTGGCTATCAAAGGGGGTCGCAGGAGGGCCGTGAGGGGGGGCAAGCGGGCCAGGCTAGGAGAGGGAAGGGCTGAGTGAGTGTGGTTTTTTTATTTTAGCTCATTTTATATTTGTATTGATATTTTAGAGTGAGAGGAAGAAAGAGGGAGAGAGAGAGAAACATCGATGAGAGAAACTCTGATCACCTGTCTCCGGCACGCCCCCTACTGGGGATCAAGCATGTGTCCTGACCAGGAATCCAACTGGCAACTGGAGCATGGGACGATGCTCAGCCACTGAGCCACACCGGCAGGGCGCGAGGTGTGGTTCTGGTGGACTTGGTCTTGCCTGGTCCTGTAGGGACTCTGAGGGTACTGGACACTGTGTAGTCTGTCCCACCTTCAGTGAAGGGATGAGTTTTGTGCTTATATCAACCAGTCATTGTCACCTAAGGGAAAGGTGGCTCCAACTGCCAAGGGGGGGCAGGTGGAATCAGAACAGCAACACCTGCAGCGGGTGGGGGCGGGGCACGCCCACCTGGTGAAAGCCTCCAGGTGCCTGGGTTCCCTGGAGAACAGAGGGAACCAGACTGTCCACTAACTGTTGAAAAAGAACAGACACCTTCTCATGCATGATTCGCATCACACAGGTGGCAGAGGAAATACAAGCCAGGTAGTTCCTTTTCTTTCTCATTTCATCCGCGAGTTTTAATTCACTGTATCCATGTCTGAAGACAAAGTTTATAGCCAAGACACCGTGCACTTGAACTGAAAAAGCACACAACGGGACGGCATATTCCTTCTCCAGCCGAGAGAGAACCGACACTATTGTTGTGCAATCACTACTGACCCGTGCACCAAACTGAAAAAATATGACTGGCAGCTTCTTCCCGGTAGAGTGAGTTTGATGCTGGTGGTCTAACGAGAGCCTGAGAAACCCAAAGGGTGTCAAGTCCAAACCGTGCAGTGTCTCCTTCTACTCCTCCTCTTCCTTTTCTAGTTGGCTTCCCTCAAACTGAGACAACCACAGTGCCACCACGATCCTGCTGGCCACTGGTCATGGGCTAAGACCCTGTTCTTGACCCCGGGAGCTCACCCTCCAGTTACAGGAAAGAGGGTGGCCATCAGCCAGTGCAGATGGGTTGTTAAAACTGTTAAATACCTTCTTTGTTGGCCGATAAAGAGTTGTCACCCCATCCCATCCTGGGGTCCCTGGGACCTACCCAGAATCTTTAAACTAAAGGGGTGCCACCTGTCGCGGCAGCCCCCACCCCACTGTACACCTCAGCTGCATCCACGGGGCTTGCTCTGGGTGCGCCTGTGCGTGCTGGCTGCTACGTATTTTCTATTTTACTCTGAGGAAGTAGTGATTTTTTTTTTTTTTTTTATCCTCACCCGAGGACATTTTTGCATTTTTTGTTCAGACAGAGCGGGAGGGAGAAAGAGGAAGAGAGAGAGAGAGAAACATCGACGTGAAGGGACACATCGAGTGGCTGCCACCCGCACGACCAACCAGGGCCGGGGACAAACTGCAACCGAGGTACGCGCCCTTAGCGGGAACCGAACCCGGGTCTCTCTGTACCGCAGGCCGACGCTCTAACCGCTGAACCAAATCGGCCAGGGCTGATTTTTAATCAGTGACTTTCAAAGGATAAGAGCTCAAATAGGAGAAAATCAAGGTTAACTTTCCTAAGTTGCAAAGGGATTCTGGCGAATACATATGGCCTCCCCTGGCTCTGCCCTCTCCATGGGTGGGTTGCCCTTCCGGGGGACCACACGGGTACATCTCGGCTCCAGGGTTTTCCTCCTGGAACGTCAGCTCATAGGCACATGTCCAGGGAATTAGAAAAGAGATCAGGAGGCAGCCGATTTAACAGCCGCCAGAGGGTATCATTCAGAAGGCATTTCCTGAGAGCTTGTGAAACGCTGGATCTAGGAAAACAGGGTTCTGTGGAATTTCCCTTTCTAGATATCTCTGCCGCCTGGGCGGAGAGGAGTTCGGAGGTCCTGGGCGGGGAGGGACCCGGATGCCCTGGAACGCTCTGCCGCTCCCGTGTGTCCGAGATCCGAGATGCCGCCTCCCACACAGCGCTCCCTGCTCACTGTCCTGGGCCTCTGCTTCCAGATCCTCATGTCAGAACCAGGCAAACTCAGCCAGAAAGTGAAAGTCTGGCTTCAGGAGTACTGGAACATCACCGATCTCGTGGCCATCTCCACGTTCCTGATTGGAGCAATCCTGCGCCTGCAGAAGGAGCCGTACATGGGCTACGGCCGCGTCATCTACTGCGTGGACATCATCTTCTGGTACATCCGCGTCCTAGACATCTTCGGTGTCAACAAGTACCTGGGGCCCTACGTGATGATGATCGGAAAGATGGTAAGTGCTGACGCCCCATGAGTCACCACAGAAGCCGTGGCTATGGTTACGATGAGTCCAGGCCGTGGGGGCAACTTGGTTAGATTTCACGTGGTCTTTCCTTTGCAGTTGATTTCTTACAGGAAGTGACTTTTGCTTTAAGATACCTAGTTCTCCTATATGTTAGTAACTTAAATCCAGTGCACAAGCATGAGTCGAGGGCCGACACACACACACACACACACACACACGCACACACGGCCAGAGACAGAGGGCCCAGGGCCTTTCCCTGCCTGGATTCCGGACGACCTTCGGCTCACCCGCTCTGGCCTGGAAGGGAAACAGCAATCGTGTGATGGGGTCAAGACAGACCTTTGTACGATCTCTTCCAGAACAGGGTGGAATATGAAACGAAGCCTGAGCCAGCCAGTCTTCCTTCCATCACCTGAAATAGCTTCAGTGTTAGGACTGGTCCCAGAAGAAAGGAAGTCTCCTCAATTTAGGAACGATTCTTTCGGGGGCAAGTGGCCTTGAGCGAAAGGATCTCTGGTTTGGCTTATCTTGGCACGGGCCCTCATCTTCAGGGATGTTTAGGGTTGGAAATGATACCAGTCCGGTGTCCAGAAACCAGAGTAACCACTCGGTATTCGTATGGTGAACGAATGAATGAATACCAGTGTGTATTCTCACGTCATTACCTTGTCACCTCCTTAGACAGCTCCTCCTCCTCCTCAGCTTTCCTTACAGATGCACATGTCTTCCCGGAAGTCTTCCTTGCTCATTTACAGTTGTAGTTACTAGAAGAATATTTGTTTGTGGGCAACAACAGAGGAGAAGCAAAGAGGAGACAGCAAAGCATTGTTCTAGAATAAGATGTGAGCACTGCAGGAAGGAGGAGCAGCAGCCCGAGGGTGGGATGGAGAGAAAGGAAACAGGTTTTCTTCCTCCTAACTGAACACTGAGGAAGTCTCTGGGGACAGCAATATCAGAACCACGTGAACTTGGCAAATGAGGTAAGACAGTAAGGGACACATTTTCTTTCCCCTCAGATGATTGACATGCTGTATTTCGTGGTCATCATGCTGGTGGTGCTGATGAGCTTCGGAGTAGCCCGTCAAGCCATCTTGCACCCAGATGAGGAGCCTTCTTGGAGATTGGCCCGAAACATCTTCTACATGCCCTACTGGATGATCTACGGAGAGGTGTTTGCAGACCAGATAGACCGTAAGACTAGAATTCATAGTAAGATTCTCTTCCCTGCTTCCAAGGCAGATGATCAGGTCCAAACGAACGGCAGAGCATGTGTCAGTTTGGGACTAAATAGACGCCAAATGGTTTTATGGAGAAGTACGTAAGTGCAGGTGATCAAATGTAGTTTTTTGAGACATCAGTCATTCCTTCGACTCTAAAAACTATTCACTGGAATCCTGAGTCTCAAGTCCCTTTAGCTGGATCTGGTGGACGTCTCAACCCACGACTGCGGTTCCTAATACATCTTCAGCCTGGTCTCTTTCCACCCCAAGACAGAGCTAGTCACCTCCTGTGTATGAAACGCAGGGTGGTCCGTGTATCTATGGCCACGAGGTCAGACTGATAACTAGTTCACACCGTGCCTCTATCTAGCGTGTATAGCAGTGAGCTGACCAGGGTGCTGGTGTCTCGTGCTGTCTTCTCCTTCCAGCCACCTAAGCTTTTCCACACAGGTGTCAATTTCTCCTTTACCGATGGAGTGCTATTTTTTTAACTATCAGCAATAGTCTGGATGCTAGCAGAGGAAGGGAGCCGCAGCCCCACGTGGATTTCCGGGAATGTGGGCCCCTGCTCCTCCTCAGGCCCAGCTGGTTGGGGTCTCTCGGGTTGTAGAGAAGGAAAACTCAGATGTCCTTGTCCCCAGACGGTCAAAGTCCCACCTGTGGCGGAGGCTCTTCGGTCCAGCTTTCACGCTGACACCGATATTTTCATCCGTGCGCCTGCGTTACCGGAAGACATCACGTACAACAGCCCGCCTGCTGCTTCCAACCATCAGCCTTTGGGGAGCAGAAGGGCTTTTGTATTCTTGAACTTATTGGGGTGACATTGGTTAATTAGATTACATAGGCTTCGAGCATACAGTCCCATAATGCATCCCCTGTACACTGTATTGTGTGTTCAGCACCTCAAGTCAAGTCTTCCATTACCATTGGGAAAAGACGGGCTTTTGGGGTCGTTTTTGTTAATCCTCACCCAAGGATATTTTTTCCATTGATTTTTAGAGAGAGTGGAAGAGTGGGAGGGAAGGAGGGAGGGGGACAGAGAGAGAGAGAGAAAGATAGATGTGAGAGAGACACATCCATTGGTTGCCTCCTGCACACTCCTCGACTGGGTTCAGGGATCAATTCTGCAACCCAGGTACATGCCCTTGACTGGGAATCGGACTTGAGACCCTTTGGTGTGCAGGCCAATGCTGTAATCACTGAGCCACACCTGTCAGGGCATGAAGAGGGTTCAATACCCTCCTGTGTATGAAACGCAGGGTGGTCCGTGTATCTATGGCCACGAGGTCAGACTGATAACTAGTTCACACCATGCCTCTATCTAGCGTGTACAACGTGATTCAGAACATGTTATTATCACAAGTATCTCCATGTCAGTCACTGGTAAGCCAGAACATAAGACCTAATTTGGTTTCAAAGACTATTAGCGAGGTAAATGTAAAATAAAACCACTGAGACCTGCCTGGTTTGGCTCAGCGCTTAGAGCGTCAGCCCGCAGACCAGAGAGACCCAGGTTCGGTTCGGTTCCCGCTAAGGGCACGTACCTCGATTGCAGTTTGTCCTCAGCCCGGTTGGGGTTGTGTGGATGGCAGCCAGTTGATGTGTCCCTCTCACATCGATATTTCTCTCTCTTCCCCCATTTCTCCCTCCCACTTTATCTGAAGATAAATGCAAAAATGTCCTCGGGTGAGGATAAAAAATAATTAAGTAAATGAAACCACTGAACATAAAGGCTGCAAAGCCCTGGATCCGACGTAAGTCGTCATGTTCTACCGTCACCCTTCACATTGAACTGGGTAACGGAGGCGGTGGAGGTAAACTGGGAGCTACACTACTTTTTACACTGTTTTCAGTAACACCATTAGTGTAGGGTTTTGATTCTTCGATCTGATTATTAGGTACTTTTCCTGCACACACTTGTGCCTGTGAGGTGTTCGTGTCGGGACGCGGAGGGTGCCTGGCTGGTGATCGGTACATTCAAATGATCACCAGCCAGTGGCCTCATGCCTTCTTCACAGTACTTTTAAGCTTTTGCTATTGCTTATGACATATGGTAAAATAAATACTCATGAGATATGTATACGTTTCCTGGAGTTAATAACACGCACAATTTTTCTAAATAGATCCGTTTCCAAGCGTGAATCTGTAATTCCCCAGCTCTAAGACCCTGCATTTCTTGTGCTGTTAAATCATTTCACTGTTCATTCAACTGTCATCTTATTTTCTTTCTTCCCTTCCCGTCGCAATGGAAATAAAACCCCGCTGTCCAATCGCGCGCAGTCTACGCCATGGAAATTAACCGTAAGTGCTCACGGCCTGCACGGCCCCGCCCCTGACATGTGCACCAGGCCCTTCCTCAGCTGGTCTCTGTGCCTCGACCTGGGGACACACACTTCTCTAGTTTTCCAGTGCCGACACTTTCTTAGACTGTAAATAAGCAAGAAGCACATCGACTATATATTGATGGAGATTACTTCACTAATCACTGTTGGGATCATCCTGTGTTTTCTCCACGAAATAGTTCCCATATGATCAAGGTGGCATTTCCAATGAGCAGGGAGAGAAAAGATTATTTTTCAAACCTGGCACCAGAACAGTCGACTAATGGATCTGGGGGTAGAGGGACCCTTACCTCCTACCCCAGAACAAGATTATTTTGAACGTCAATTATGAGTGAAACCAAAGAGACAGCGCAAGCTGGCGTTGAATAATAGAAAACACAATAACTTTCTAATGGACAATAGTAAAGAAAAAATCCACAGAGATGGAGGGAGCTGCTGAAAAACTAAGAACTTTTATCTGGAGAAGCACAATAAAGAAATAGGAGCATGTCTCTAAATGTGACAGGTTAAGAATGACTCAGTACAGAAAGGAGTTCCTCATCTTTATATGAGCTGACATATTTCACAGAAAAAAATCATATTAAAAATTCAAAAGGTCACGTAATAACCTCTGTAAGTTATTCGTTTCTTTTCACTCTGTGTAGAAGCAAGCACAAAGGGACTAACTCTTGTTTCAGCTCCGTGTGGGGACAACCAGTACGACGAGGAGGGCAAGCGACTCCCTCCCTGCATCCCGGGCGCCTGGCTGACCCCGGCCATCATGGCGTGCTACCTACTGGTAGCCAACATCTTGCTGGTCAACCTGCTCATCGCAGTTTTCAAGTACGTATCAGCTGATGAGCTTGTGCTGATGACTTACTACTTGACAGGTGTTCTGCTTGACCCCAGAACAATCCCTGACTGCCACTGCATTCCCACACAACTGCACCAGGGTTTTGAAATGGGTGGACGTTTTGCAGTCTTTTTCGTTCAACCTTCATCAGTCCTAATGTACTCATCAATCAAGAGCTGAGTTGAAATGGGGGAAAGGGAACCCTGGTGCACTGCTGATGGGAATGCAGGCCGGTGCAGCCACTGTGGGAACACTATGGCGTTTCCTCAAAAAATGGAAACTGAAACTGCCATTTGACCCAGTGATCTCACTTCTGGGAATAGATGCTAAGAATCCTGAAACAGCAATCAGAAAGAATATGTGCACCCCTATGTTCATAGCAACACTATCTACAATAGCCAAGATCTGGAAACAGCCCCAGTGCCCATTAGTAAGTGAGTAGATAAAGAAGCTCTGTTATATTTACACAAGGGAATACTATGCAGCTGTAAAAAGGAAGGAACGTTTACCTTTCGTGACAGCATGGAGGGACCTGGAGATTAGAATGCTAAACAAAATAAGCCAGTCAGAGAAAGACAAATGTCACATGACCTCACTTAAATATGGAATCTAATAATCAAAATAAACTGATGATCGGAATAGAACCAGAGGCATGGATACATGGAACAGATTGACAGCTGTCAGAGGCAAGGTGGAGGGGGGTGGCAGATGGGACAAAGAAGGTGAAGAGAATAGCCAAAGAATATATATGCATACCCCACGGACACAGGCAACCATGTGGTTACAGCCAGAAGACACTAAACAACAAAGATAGTACCTAACCAACATCCAAAATAACACAGCTTCGATCAAATATGTTCCACGAGCAATCAATTCTGTTATCAAAAAATAAAGTAGTCTGAAATGGAAGTGTAAATACTTCAAAAGGCTTAGTTGAATGGTTCCTACCTTGAAATATAGGGAATAAAATTCCCTGAGCATAGGAGACTGTAGACTGCAGTGTGATGTTGCAAGAAAGCAGTAGGTAGCAATTTCAATACTTTGAATTACTAGGTATGTGAGTAAAATGCCTTGGAGTGCAGATGATCCCCACGTTGACAGATAAACCAAAGGCAGGGTTACGTAGGAGCTAGAACTCGGTGGCCCTAAAAGGCTATTTCATTGTGCTTTGTCACTTCGCTATAACTGCTTGCTCTGGAAAATCAGAGGATGGAGTATGACTAAGTAAAACTGTATTCTTTTAAAGCAACACCTTCTTTGAAGTCAAGTCAATATCCAACCAAGTGTGGAAATTCCAGCGGTACCAGCTGATCATGACATTTCACGACCGGCCGGTCCTGCCCCCACCCATGATCATTTTAAACCACATCTACATAATTGCCATGCGCCTCAGCGGCCGCTGCAGGAAGAAAAGAGACGGGGACCACGAGGAACAGGATCGAGGACTGAGTATGTGCACAGCCCTTTCACTTCTAACTCAGGCTGCTTTCCAGAGAGGTTCCCAACGGGACACTCGGAACACTCGTGGGAACCTCAGGAAACTGCTCGGATGTGTGAAAACAACACCCGGGCCCAAATGACATTCTTCACACGATGCTTCTCATTTTGTGGGGTGGCACTGTGGTTTCGTTAGTTTGTTAGTAATCACCGAAAGCCTGCTGGTAAAGAGGTGGGAAACTGAGAGAGGTCTTGAAAGCTATATCAGTGTTCCTTTCAAAATGTTTTCATGTGTTGCATCTAAAGATGATGAGAAATAAGTGCAGTACACTGACTATCCGCAAAATACATGCAAAAGGTTTCGCAGAAAATAGCACTTGAGTGCCTCTCCAAATAGCTGTAGTTAGGTGTGTGCTAAAGAGGGAGCCATTTCGCTCCGCTGGAAAGATGACTGTTGCCTGCTACGAGGTGTTCTTGTGGCATCAATGCCTGGACTCGTGGGAACCCGGTCCACGCTGAGGCTGGCCCGACCCACCACGAGGCGGGGAAGCAGACTGCACGGGCGTGGCGGGCTCTCACTGGCGCACCTTGTCCCCGCAGAGCTGTTTCTCAGCGAGGAGGAGCTGCGCAGGCTGCACGAGTTCGAGGAGCAGTGTGTGCAGGAGCACTTCCAGGAGAAGGAGGACGAGCAGCAGTCGTCCAGCGAGGAGCGCATCCGCGTCACCTGCGAGAGGTGCGCCACGCGCGACCCCTCCTCGGCCGCAGGTTTAGTGCGCTCCTGCACCCCGTTCGGAGCAGGGTGCCCAAGTTCATTTAAATTTAACTCCCGGCTGGTTCTCTGGTGTATTCAAACTTTGGGTTTTTATGTGTTCTCCCTTCCCCCCCAAATAGGGGCCAGTTCGTAGGGGATGGTTGTGTGCTGTACCTAGAAGTGAATGAGGACGTTTATGGCAAACAGTCCAGGCAGAAACAGAACCCAAAGAAGCCTGATTTTCTCGCCCACCAGACACCCAGCATCAGCAGAGAGAGCAGCAGCTGCAGGGCGTTCTCCTGTGGCTGCCTTGACCTCGGGTGGTCTCCCTTAGGAACCGACCTCATCCTGCCCGCGGTCTCCTCCCAACCTTTCACTCATGAGACCAGGAACTGCAGGAGGGACACAGGTGTCAGTCCCCAAAGAGGGTGGAAACCTCTAAACCAGGGTTGGGTCTGTGTTTCAGACACATCTACCTCTTGGATGCCAAGAGAATCAGCATCATCCACACCTTAGTGTTTTAGTAAATGCAGAATGAATGAATGTGTGAACCAACAAATCAAGAGCAAATGGAGGCAGGTCAGGCAGGGACAGAACGGGGAAGCTTCCCCCCCAAACTTTCTAGTACAGCTCTCCCTGCAGCTGGGAAAAATAAGGACAGGAACAAGAAATCTGCACTACCCACATCTTTTTAATCACACAATTTTCCAGACGCTTATCACTTAATAAAAGCCATTCAAGCTTGTTCAAGTAATTGATTAGAAAAACAACTGACATTGTTCTGGAAGTCTCCCCAGGGCATGTTCAGGCAGTGACTGTTGTTGTTGTTAGTCCTCACCCAAGGGTATCTTTTTCCTTTGATTTAGAGCAAGTGGAAGGGAGGGAGGGAGGGAGAGCGAGAAACATCTACATGAGAGAGACACATCAATTGGTTGCCTCCCTCATGTGCCCCCACCAGGCCCAGGGATCGAACCTGCAACCCAGGTATGTGCCCTTGACTGGGAATTGAACCCATGACCCTTTGGTGCTTGGGGTGACATTCTAACCACTGAGCCACACCAGCCTCTGGCAGCTGCAGGTCTCTGGCCTCTCTCCCCTCCTACACCTACCTATCTTGTGATCCAACCAGCCAAACTCACACCAACTTTTGGCCTTAATAAGATAACATTTTCAATACAATCTGAAACACTTCCTTGGTATTTTAACAGTGATCGCTAAGCTTTCAAGATATACAAATTATTTCTTTACAGAAAGGTGAGGTACCCCCAGCGTGATGATTTGGAAATTTCCACTTTGTAGTTAGACATTAACTTGGATTGAATCACAGTCAGTCATTTACAATGGAAATTGTGTTCTGTTTCCCTCTGGCTTTTACCCTGCTCCCGCCCCCAAGCATTGTTTGGATTCTTACCATTCCTGGACCCAGGCTCCAGAAACGTGGTTGTCGGGTGGCTGCCCCTGGGGCTCTGCACACACGTAATAGGAACGAAAGTGTGCCCGGCAGTAAAACAGGCTCCTTCCGGGTTCCCCTGGCTGAGACCACCACCGGCGGGCGCGTTCCCACCCGTCCAGTTCCTTGTCTAGGCTGAGTCATAGGTGAATACCAGAGACCAAAACGAGGAGGTTTGGGGAGAAGCTTAACCAGGACAACTGAGGAGCAACAGAAATACAATGAATTATTTTAACCTCATTTTTGGCATCAGTGATTTTAAAATCCAACTTTCCACCACTCAGACGTTTCTGCCATCTCTCTAACTTGACATCTTGGCCGGTTTTGTTTTCCGAGTCACCACCTGCTGGTTTCCCTGTTGTCTTCATTGTGGCATCACCAGCACCCGTCAGACCGCAGGGTCTAGGAAAGGCAATGCCCTGTGGGCGGCAGGCCCTTCCTGGCCTCCTGCTGTCTGGGCACCTTTCAGAACCTGGACCAGCGATTTGCATGATTCAGTCCAGCAAACGTGCTCACACAGGAAATTACACACCGGTCATTCTCCACGCAGGGCGCTGCTGCTCCACGCGGGTGTTCTCCCTACAATTACTAAACTTAAAAGGCAGCCCCGTAGGAAGAAGTCGATGGGGATTAAAATAGCTGGTTGTGAAATTTGGACTGGATTAGCCAACTTTATGATCTATAGATCTGCACTGAAATTACAGGGCAGGAATGGTCTTAGAACTCAATATAGAATACCATGGGATCTTGAAACACGGGTTTCTTCAAGTACAAACTGGACCTAGTCGTTCCACTAACCTTATGTTTTTATGTGAACATTTAGCTCTGTCATTAAGGAAATGTTCCCATATAATTTCTGAGGTGCCTTGCAGGTGAAGGGTGCTAGCTGCCCGTGAAAAGCTGACTACATATAAAACAGGTTTTAATAACTGGCTTACTACAGAACTCCCAGCGTCTAAGCTCTGTCTTCAGGAAGGACGCACGGGACCCTGACCATGACAACAGGAATTTGGACCTTATAGCCCTGGCCAGTTTGGCTCAGCGGTTAAAGCGTTGGCCTGCGGTCCGGAGAGACCCGGGTTCGGTTCCCGCTAAGGGCACGTACTTCGGTTGCAGTTTGTCCCCGGCCCTGGTTGGTCGTGCGGGTGGCAGCCACTCGATGTGTCCCTTCACGTCGATGTTTCTCTCTCTCTCTCTCTTCCTCTCTCTCCCTCCCACTCTATCCGTACAAAAAATGGAAAAGTGTCCTCGGGTGAGGATAAAAAAAAAAAAAAAAAAGAATTTGGACCTTATATTTAACAGATAAGAGTCTATGAAAGCCAGTGAAATTATGCCATTCACAGGTATTCTCTTGGAAGTTACCACAGAAGTCCCCCACATCTGCCTATGGTTGGACCACTCTTTGAATGGAACGGAAAGTGCTATTTACAATGCTGTAACTCAAAATGCATTTCCGTTCAGCGACTAAAGTTTAGTGGGGTAACGTTCAAAATCAAACACCCTGACTAAGAGCTATATCAACACACAGATAAGAAAGCACGTGCGGGTTTGCAGTTACACCTACTTCATCTGGTCAAGCCGTTCCACACCTGCATAGCTTTTACCGCTCACGGAGCCCTTTTATTTACACGATTTCATTCCGTTCTCACAACGTTATCATGCTACCACTGTTGTGGAAGTGTAGGTCAGAGCAGATTAATTAAAATCCCAGATTTCTGGTTGGTAAAGGGGGGTCCAGGGAATTAGAAATACCGGGGAGATTGTAGAGAGGGAGGAGCTTAGGAAAGTAACCCCATAAAGTCATGTATGAACTGCAGAGCTCATCCCCGATTTGAGTATGCATGTGTGGGGGTGGAACTGTGTTTTTATTTTACTTATTTTTTCAGTAAGCTGTAGGGCATTCTGCCGTACCCAGCTCCACCCCACCCAGCTCGGTGGTTGTCCTGAGAATAGCAGCCTGAATTCCTGGTACCAGTGGAAGCAGAAAGGACCTCATCCACAAAGGATTGTAATTATTTGTGTTATTCTGCCTGGTGGTTCCCGGAAAGACTAGCTCAAAAGGCTTGTCTTAATTTCCCCAGACTTGGAACTGGCCCAACAGTTAGCTGGGGGCAGAGATGTGGGGTATTTTTCAAAAACATTTACAGGAAAATGTTTTTAGTCCCTGCTCCCTTAGGTGATAGATACCAGCAGCAGACTAACTAAAAAGCTGGGATGAAAAGGCTGAGAAATGAGATGTCCAGAGGGCTTTGAAAACCGTGACATACTCCTGTGACACACCTAGAAGGCCACGTACTTGCATGTTGGGAACATGCTCAGGAAAGGCCTGAAGCTCTCAGTTCTGGCTGACCTTGACACTCTGTCCGAGCAGAAAGTGAACACACGCCTGGCAGAGTATTCGTGTGGGTACACAAAGGCCCTCAGCAAAGACGGGGACATATTTTTATTCCAGAGGTTTATGGGAATCTCTGTCTAATCATTAGCTGACAGCTAAGCTAACAGGACAGAAATTCCAGTGGTCACACAGAACAAAGAAGAGATTTTACAGACTTATTTCAGGAAAATCACTGAACAAACAGTAACAACTACAATAAGAAGCAACAATAACAGCCCTGTCTGGTTTGGCTCAGCAGTTAGAGCGTCGGCCTGGAGACCAAAGAGTCCTGGGTTCAATTCTGGTCAAGGGCATGTACCTCGGTTGTGGTGTGTCCCCGACCCCGGTTAGGGTCGTGCGGGTAGCAACCAATTGATGTGTCTCTCTCACATCGATGTTTCTCTCTCTCTCTCTCTCTCTCTCTCTCTCTCTCTCGATGTTTCTCTCTCTCTCTCTCTCTCCCTCGATGTTTCTCTCTCTCTCTCTCTCTCTCTCTCTCCCCCTCCCTCCTACTCTATCTGAAGATAAATGTAAAAATATCCTCCGGTGAGGATTTTTAAAAAAAGAAGAAAAAAGAAGCAACAATAACAAACCCCGAAGAGGACAGAGATTCTGATATCCTGAGTTGCCATATTAAAATATTCAAACTATTTGGCCCTGGCCAGTTAGGCTCAGCAGTTAAGCGAAGATCAGCAGACTAAGAGTCACGGGTTTGATTCCAGTCAAGGGCACAGACCTCGGTTGCAGTTCATCCCCTGGCCCTGATTGAGGTTTTGCAGGAGGCAACCAATCGATGTGTCTCTCACACCAATGTTTCTCTCTCTCTCTTTCCCCCTCCCTCCCACTCTATCTGAAAATAAATGGAAAAATAGCCTCAGGTGAGGATTTAAAAAATAATAATAATAAATAGAATAAAAAATATTCAGCTTTAAGTAAAAACTACAAGTTGTGCAAACAAGAAAGTATGGCCCCCACATGACAAAAAGGGCACTCAATAGGAATTGGGCCAGAGGAATCCCAGATGTTGAACTTCCTAACAAAGACAATAAATCAGCTATTTAAAATATGTTCTAGCCCTGGCCGGTTTGGCTCAGCGGTTAGAGCGTCGGCCTGCGGTCCTGAGAGGCCTGGGTTCGGTTCCCACTAAGGGCACGTACCTCGGTTGCAGTTTGTCCCCGGCCCTGGTCGGTCGTGCAGGTGGCAGCCACTCGATGTGTCCCTTTCACATCGATGTTTCTCTCTCTCTCTCTCTTCCTCTCTCTCCCTCCCGCTCTACCTGAACAAAAAAAAATAAAATAAAATAAAATAAAATATGTTCTAGGAGCTAAAGAAAACCATCTCTAAAGAGCTAAAAGAAAGTATGAGAATAGTCCCTTAGCAAGTATTTATCAATAAATTCTTAAGCCACTTAGAGCAATCAATGGTCAACAGCACTATATGTAACTATATTTTTTTAATTTTTTTTTGGATCAGCATTTTTATTCATTTACTTTTTAAATTTCAACTGTGAATCGATATGGATCAGTCCCATTTTTTTCTTTTTTATTAAATTTATTGGGCCGACATGGGTTAATACAATTATATAGGTTTTAAGTGTACAATTCTACGATCTATCATCTGTATATTGTATTGTGTGTTCACCACCCCAAGTCAAGCCTCCTTCTATCACCATTTATCCCCCCTTTATATTCTTCTACCTCCTCCACCCACCCCCCTTTTCCTCTGGTAAGCATCATGCTGTTGTCTGTATCTATGAGTTTTTAAAATATATATTTTTTTATGCTTCTAACAGTAATTTTTAGCAGTGTATAAAGGTTGGAAATATGCCCCATGAACTCCATGATTCTCAAAAGACTGTAAAGTTATGTAATAATATAATAGTAACGTTATTTTTTGTTTAGTATTGGATTAGTCTCCCTTGAATAAACCCATCTGTTTGTTTCCACCAGAGTTGAAAATATGTCAATGAGGCTGGAGGAGATCAATGAAAGAGAAAGTTTCATGAAAACGTCCCTACAGACTGTGGACCTGCGTCTCTCTCAGCTGGAAGAATTATCTAGCAGGATGGTGAATGCCCTGGAGAATCTCGCAGGGATTGACAAGTCTGAGCTCATGCAGACGCGGTCGCGAGCCTCCTCCGAATGCGATGTCACCTACCTCCGGCGGCAAAGCAGTATCAACAGTTCTGACTGCTGCAGCCTGTACCGGTACCATTTCAACGCAGAGGAGCTGTGTGAAGACACCTCTGTCTCCATGCCACTGGGGACAGCATTCAGGAGAAGAGCCTGCTCCTTCCGTGTGAAGGAAGAAAAGGACCCCAAAATGCACCTGATACCAGAGCGGCAGGCCAGCCTTCACCTCGCACCCAGCACAAGCGTCCTAGCGACGCCAGGGGACAGCCGACTCCCATTAGACAATGGAAAGCATGCTTCAGAGCCAAAATTAGGCCCAGAGATTGGGATTTCAGCTGAAGGTGATAAAAGGCAGGCCGACTCTAACAGAGCGGAAACTATATCCGCAAGTTTAAATCAAAGAGATGCCACACCTGGACAGAAGAAATCAGATTTTCAAAACGCGCAGCTAACAGTGGGAACCAGAAAGATAGAAGGCGCTATTTCCTGTCCTCTGGAAGGAACAAAACTGACACGCTATTACCCGGATGAAGCACACAATGCCTTTCAGACCATAAAGTCTAGAAGTTTTGTATATTCCCACAGAAAAAAGCTGGTCAGTGGGGTTAATAACCGGAGTGCAGAGTACGGTTCGATCCTGGGTCAAGCTTGTCCCCCAACAGCGCAGCAATGGACGACAGAATGGAGATACCAGGTTCAGAAGATCACGCGTTCTCGCAGCACTGACATCCCCTACGCGGTGTCAGAAGCCGCCACGCAGGCGGAGCAGAAAGACCAACGGGCAGACACCGCCGATGAGAACTGTGCTTCTAACACTGCCCCTCGGGTCTCTCATTTGTCGCTAGCAGTTACTGAGAGATCTGAAAAGGAGAACTTACTGACTGTGAAACCAGACCACACTTTGGGGTTCCCGTCTTTAAGGTCAAAAAGTTTACACGGCCACCCTAGGAATGCTACAGCTGGTCAGGGCAGATTAGACAGATCTGGACATGCCAGCAGCATAAGTAACCTGGAAGTCATGTCCGGAATTAAAACGGAGGAGCAGAAGGTTAAGCGAGAGAAAACTTCCAGGGAAACGGATTGCTAATGGGTATGGCTTCCCTGATTTTTAAATCAAAGCCACTGATGAGTGCCATCTTGGCCATCTAAACAGTCACAGGGCAAAGGAAATTACCTACAGGGAAGGCCACTATCCCCCATGATAGAAGAAAAATAAGGGAACCAGAGCCAGAAAGATAGGAGAAAGAGGACAGAATAGTGACGTTCGAGGCAAAAGGAGATAGCCAGCTACTGTGAACAGACAGAACAGAGTTCAGGACTGGTAAGAGGCCTGTAAGACCAGTGCTATGAATTGCATTGTGTCCTCCCAAACTCCTCTGTTGAAACCCTGACCCCAATGTGACTTCATATTTGGAGACAGGGCCTTTAGGAAGTAATTAAAGTTAAATGAAGTCATAAAGGCTGGGATCCTAATCCAACATGATTAGTGCCCTTAAAAGACCTCAGAGCATTCAAGCATTCCCAACCCTGCTCCCTCAACAGCCAGGTGAGGACACAGCCTCCGTCTATCCCTCAGATGAAGAACTCTCACCAAAAACCTACCTTGATCTTGAACTTCCAGCCTTCAGAAGTATGAGAAACCAATTTCTGTTGTTTCCAGCCTGTGGTGTTTTTGTGATGGCAGCCCAAGCGACTGACACAATTAGATATCTGAAACTGTCATAAAATTTAGAGTTATGTCAATAACAAATCTGGAACTCAGAGTTTTCCCACTTTTCAATCACGTGGTCACATATTACAGTTACAGATTCTAAGCAAACCTATATGGGAAAACCCAAACCCAAGTCATTTAATAGTAAAGAAACACCCACATATTGCCTGAAGAGTATGTGTGGACAAAAATCCATTTTTTCCAATTTGATTGAGATATGACTGACATATGTCACTGTGTTTGTTTAAAGTATATAGCATCATGATTCCACTTACATAGATTGTGAAATGATGACCACAATAAGTTTAGTTTGAATCCATCATCACATAGATACAATCAAAAGAAGAAAAAAAACTGTTTACCCCTTGTAATGAGAATTAGGATTTGCTCTCTTAACAACTTTCATATACGCCATACAGTAGCGCTAACTTAGTCATCATGTCATATGTACTTTACATGCCCAGTACTTATTCATTCTTACTTATAAACTGGAAGTTTGTATTTTTTACCCACATTTCTCCAGTTCCCTGGCCCCTTCCCAACCTGGTAACCACAAATGTGGTCTTTTTCTATGTTTGTTTTTTGTTTTGTTTTATTTGGTCCATGTAATGTAGAGAAATCACAAACTATTCATAAGAAAAAAAAATATTTTTTAATGTTATGTGCACAATAGTGTTTTTAACACCTAACACCCGGTGGACTTGCATTTTAAAACACAGTGGTGGTACCTGAGCAAAATAGAATCCTGTGTCACTCAAACAAGTGAACAAGAAAGACCAGTAGGATTCTGAATCAGGATAAATTATTTGCCGGGGCCAAAAAAGCAACCTTTGGAATCATTAAAAAATATATATTTTCACCCCACCGGTGTGGCTCAGTGGTAGAGCGTTGACCCATGCACCAAGAGGATGCCAGTTCGATTTCTGGTCAGGGTATATGCCCAGGTTGTGGGCCAAATTCATAGCGGGGGGCATGCAGGAGGCAGACAATTGATATTCTCTTTCATTGAGGTTTCTCTCTCTCCCACTCCCTTCTCTCTCTCTCTAGAAATCAATAAAGAAAAAAATATATCTATATATATTTTTTCATTTGCAACACTTGTCACTATGATTCATACGGCCACACTGGAGCTTTCTTGTGACATTAATCGTGAAACGGGTTAGGGTTTTATTCTTTAAAGCCGAAGAAGGGTCACAGTCACCAACACGGAACATCATCAGCCCTCTCCCAACAAAGACTGCTCAGCTCAGAAGTACCCGGGGTTCAGAAATGCCCAGTGCTTGATACGGGGAAATCCGTCTGCTCTTTGCAAGGAATGGGCAGATTACGGGGTCCATCGCCTATGGAAACCCCCACTCTGCCGGGGGTTTTGATCCTCGGGCGGCTCCCTCACATCTGTACATGTGACATGAGCAAGGAAGGAAAGGAGGTGACTTGCTTCGCACTTCTTTCCACATTGACGTTTAACAAGGAGGGTAGACGTTAGCAGACGAAATCGAGGGGTGCTGGGCTGCCTGCCAACGGCATCAGTCGTGGTCCCCAGCGCCCCGCCAGTGTGGGTCCCCGGGGTGCGGGTGGGCGGTCAGCCGGGCGGGTAGGACACCGGTGTCAACGCGTCGCGCAGAGACGACAACGTACCGGCTGAGGGAAGACAACCTTCCCCAGGTGCGAGACCTCGCGTTTGGGGCGGGTCACCGCCGGCTGCACCTGTCCCCGCTCCCAGAGCCGGCGCCTCACGCTGGGCGCAGTGGGACTGGCGGACGCCGAGCCCCCAGAGTCCCTTCCAGGCTCCAGGAGCCCGGGCTCCTCTCCACGACTTCAAATAGCAACGATCGCGCGAGCTGGGTGACGAACGTGCAGCAATCAGGGGAGCTGTCCCGGGAAAAGAGGGACAGTCGCGACAGGGAAGGCCCTGAGCCACGGTCACAGGCCCTTCTCCAGCCGCCGCCGCCGTAAGTCCCTGGGCGCCGCCATGACACCTGCGGGCCGCCGTACGTCCCTGGGCGCCGCCATGACGCCTGCGGGCCGCCGTAGATCCCTGGGCGCCGCCATGATCCCTGCGGGCCGCCATAGATCCCTGGGCGCCGCTATGACCCCCGCGGGCCGCCGTAGAGCGCCCTCCTCAGGCTGTGCTGCCAAGATGGCTACCGGGCTGCGCTCTGCACCGCGCGCCCGCTGAGGAGCTCCCGGCCGCGGTGCTCGGCGCTGGCCGTGCGTTACGGCGCCGGCGCGGCCTGGAGGCGGAGAGCGGCCAGCCCCGGCCCTGCGCGCGCCGTCTCTCGGGGCGGGGCGCTGGGCCCCTTCCGGGGATGGGCCCCGGCGCCCGCGTCGGCCCGACTCTGCCCCGGCTCCTCCCCGCTCGGGCGGGCGCTCCGCCGCGTCCCCGCCCGTCAGTGCGCCCGGCCCGGCTGGCCGCACGGGGAGCTCTAAGCCGGCGGGCGTCCGGAGGCGTCAGCGCTGCCGCTGGCCCGGGGCGGGTGCCGGGTTGCGAGCGGGCCGGGGCGCAAAGGCGGCCGCACCATGTTCTCCTTCAAGCCGCCCAGACCCACTTTCAGGTCCTACCTCCTGCCGCCGCCCCAGGTAAGGGAGCCCCTCTCCGCGGCGCTTCCGGGGAGCCACCCCAGCCCCTGTCCGCGCCACGCGGGGGCCCGGGTCCCCAGTGGCTCCGGAGAAGCGCGTGGAAGGGCGCCGCGGCCGTGCTGCGCCCCGAGACCCGCGGTGTCGTCGGGGGCAGGACCCAGGGAGCGTCCACCAGGGGTTCCGAGCCCGGCGACGGTCCCCACGGGGGCCGCCCACGTGACTGCCCCGCTCGTGGGCACCTGGCGGGATGGGTCACCCGCCTGTCCCGAGAGGGGAGCACCTGGGAGCAGTTTCCATCTTTTCCTGGCCAACCCCCGAGTCACTAGCGAGCCGATCGCGAAGGCTCCGGGAACACGCGGAAGAATTAGACAGGGAGGGAGGGTGGTGTCTGTCATCCCTGTGTCATCGCGTCGGAGCAAAACTTGGCTTCAGTGTCTCACGGGGAGAAAAAGGGTCCGTCTTGATGTGTGTGGCTGCTGCGTTTCAGACTGACGACCAGATGAACTCGGAACCGAAGATTAAGAAGCTGGAACCGGTCCTCTTGCCAGGTAAACGTTCGCGTCCCAGCAGGTACTTCCTTGAGGGTGCTGGTCCGCCTCGCTCCACGGGCGAGCCCCGCGTGGTTAACTGTCCCCTCTTCTTACTTCACCTTTGGTCTGGTTAAAGCATCTGCGCACTCGGGGGTCAGACAAAGTAGCTGAGAACTAAATGTCATCCTCACAGAGGAGTGACTCATTGGTGTTCGCTCCCTGAAAATGTAAGCGTCGTCAGGAATCGTCAGGAATCGCACCCCTCCTTTCCCTGTCTCCTGGAAGGCTCTGTTTTTTTTCAGCAGACTCTGAACAGGTGGGTGGTGGAAGTATTCTCTGCCCTTGTCTGTGTGCAACTTCATGCGTTAATGCTTAGCGGTCAGGTCACCGGGTGAATAGTACAAAAAGCAACTTTTGTTGTGTCTGGAGGTCTCTGTACCAACGGCACAGCTTCGTGAACTTTGAATTGCTGACTTGGCAGTTTTGGGTTTTGTTTTTGTTTTTGAAGGTGCGAGCTGTATTTGCAGATTTACTTGGTTCAGTGTGGGGCAAGGCATTGCCCAATAGAGGTACTGCTGACGTTTTGGCGCCCATAATTCTTTGTTGTTGGGCTTGCTCTGTGCATTATTGGATATTTTATCAGCCTGGCCTCTACCCACTAGATGCCAGTAGTACCCCCTCTTCCACCTCCTAATTCAGACAACCAGTGTGTCCCCAGCATTGCCACCCTCCCCCTCCCCCAACCTCCACCCTGGGGCAAAATTTCCTCCCAGTGGAGAAGCACTGGGTTAGAATAAAATTTACTTTAGGGAACCTTAGACGTTGATATAGGCATTGCTAGTAGATAGTTTAGTTTTCTCTTCTAGAAGACTCAATTTTTTTTAATTGATTTTAGAGTGAGAGGAAGGTAGAGAAAGAGATAGAAACATCGATGAGAGAGAACATTGATTGGCCGAAGGCTTCATGTACCCCCTCTGGGGATTTGGCCCACAACCTGGGCATGCGCCCTGACTGGGAATCGAACTGGCGACCTCTTGGTGCAGGGTCGACACTCAGCCACTGAGCCACACTGGCGAGGCGATGGTTTAGTGTTAATGCACATAAAAGATTTGATTGGTATTTCAAATAGTGGAACAATCGTGTAATCATTACGAAAATTTGCTGTTCACTGTGACTCTTGGGATAAGTAGCCAGATACTTGGGGAAAGTTTGTTTTACCCGAAATATAATCAAATACCAGTTTGTATGGCTACTATCAACATTTAAAAACCTGTCATTACTTGATACTAAATCTAGTAACATGATTTGACTTTTATAGGTAGTCATGGAAGAAATATGGAACATTTAAACTTTGTGCTCCAAAATTTTAAATATTAAGTGGGAACAAACACATTAAAAACACCAACCAGCTCTGACCGGTTTGGCTCAGAGGTTAGAGCGTCATCCTGTGGACCAGAGAGTCCTGGGTTCGGTTCCCGCTAAGGGCACGTGTCTTAGCTGCAGTTTGTCCCTGGCCCTGGTTGGGATCGTGTGGGTGGCAGCCGGTCGATGTGTCCCTCTCACATCGATATTTCTCTCTCTTCCTGCATCTCTCCCTCCCGCTCTATCAAGATGGATGCAAAAATGTCCTCGGGTGAGGATAAAAGAAACAAAAAACACCAACCATGTTATACACCCATGATTTAAAAGTTGTTTTAAACTTTATTGTGGGAGTTAGTCAAAATATGCTTCCGTGATTTTGTGAATGCTTTTTATCCAAGCTGTGTGTACTAAATAATCCTTTGTACTTTTCCTCAGAGTGAACAATAGAACTACTAGGTGACCTTTGCCCCTTGTGTATGCTCTGTTTTTGGCTTAGTCACTCCAGGAGTTTAAAAGTCAGCTGTGGGAAATCACTTCTCTTGTGAGCTACTGAACTTTGGCTTCCTTTGCTTTAAGTAGGCCGTTCTCAGGCTTTGATTTTCTCTTCCAGTGATAGGATTTGACACTGACAGTGTGGTCTTAGCTATAAATACAGTACTTGATTTTTAAAAATTAGCTTTTATATTTAAAATGTGCTTATGAAAAGTGTTAATATCAGTAAGCTTGAAGAACTTTACCTTGAAGGATCATCCATTCTGTGGAATTAATTAGAAACTTACCTTTCTACTAAAATGTCAGTTTTCTGGGGAAGGTAAACTTGTTTCCTGACTTAGGTGGTTTACACGTCCTAGAAATCACAGCTGTATCTGGATCTTCTGACCTATGCTGATCTTTTGCGTTGGCTCCGTTTGCACATAGCTTGCATTCTGTTTGCACGTCACCTTTTCCTCACAAAACATTTAGCCAGCCCTAAATTAGTGTGTCTTCTGCCTTCTCATCCTGTCCTTCCCACATTCTTCCCGGTTTCTTTCCGTCTGGCCACCCTGTCGTGGTCTCCGTTTCTTGCTTCACCTGTCAGGTCGCTTCTCTGACTCCTGCTGGAATCTCCATTGCTCCTTTGCTCTGCAGCTTACTCGTGAGATCCGGAAGACAAGTGGAAGTAAGTGAAGCCTTGATGACCTGGCCTTCACCAGTCAGAAACCACAAGAAAACTTGGCCAGGTCACCTGTTGCTTTACATAGGCACACGGAACAAGAAGTAATTGTTCCGAGATGTGGTTTTGCATATTATGCTTTGGCATAGTGCCTTGGGTTCAAGGATATCCTACTTCAGTTGCCCAAAGTTTGAACTTGTAATTCAATAAGCAGATGAAATTAGAACACAAAAATCATTGTTTAGCCCTGGCTGGTTTGGCTTGCAGTTAGAGCGTCGGCCTGCGGACCAAAGGGTTGTGGGTTTAATTCCGGTCAAGGGCATGTACCTGGGTTGTGATTTGGTCCCCCACCCTGGTCGGGGTCGTGTGGACGGCAACCAATTGAGGCAACCAAACATCTCACATCGATGTTTCTCTCTCTCTTCCCACCTCCCACTCGATCTGAAGATAAGTGGAAAAATATTCTTGGGTGACGATTTAAAAAAAAAAAATCATTGTTTATTTGTGTGCAGTTACAGAGTTCTCTGTTGGAACTTAACAAACCTAAATTTAAAATGAGCCTCATCTTTTATAAAGCAGAGAAAAACAAGAAACTGACGAGTAATTTAGACTGTGATTTGTGCTACTGATTGTCAACTTGCTTGGTTCATGAAGCTCCTTAAGATGGAGATTGTATCGATTGCACTTTGTGGCTCTGGTGTCTAGCACAGTCTGCACTGATATGTTGATTGAGTGAATGGCTGAGTGAAAGAACCCCTCAGACCGCCTGCTCAAATTGCTGCATGGCCATGCACACACACACACACACACACACCCATGCACACGCACGCACGCACACCACTTCCGATTGAGCAGGAAGAGGAAGACTGTGTTTCACGCCGTCTCTGCCCTTTTCCGGAGCCACACTTTTCAAGAAAGTTATATCTGCGCCTAGAAGTGAAATACAGGGCCCAGTGAAACTGTTCGCTTTGCCTAGGCTTTCTCTTCATCTTTCCGTCATCACATGAATCTCATTCTTGTAATGACTGTATGATACATGTATCACCCCAGTCCTTTAGAAAGTAGGGCGAGGATGAACTGGAGAGTGTATGTGCAGCATGATAAGATCAGCTACTGCCAGACTGCTGTTTTTTTGTTTTAGCTGCTAGATCAGTTCATTGAGCATGTGGGCCAGACTGGTGCCTGGCCTGGAGCTGGACGGGGAAGTGCTAGGACAGCGGTGGGCCTGGGTCCTCAGCGGGGCCGGGGGCAGCTCCACGCTGCCTGTGACGGGGGAAGACCCAGACCTGTGTTCCCAGTTCCTACCAGGGCCTGGCTGGCCTCAGATCTGGGTGAGGTCTTTGCCAGCCCTAGGTCAGATGGAGAAAATTAAGAAAAATGCAACTTTTTTTTCATAAAGGTAAATGGATCTGATTTGAAGGATTGTGCCGTATTCTGAGATTATGCTGTTCAACTTTAGTGCAGGTAGGTTTTTTTTTTGTTGTTAAATGATGGTAATAGTAGCTGTGGCTTTTTTTAAAAAAGTTTTTAAGTTAGCAAAATAAAAAGTTAAGAAATCTGTTGGTTCCCTGAATAATTTTTGTAGTTTACCTGATTTGTGGAATCTGAACTGGAAATCACTCAATTAAATTATTATAATATTTTAGGTACGATTTAGCATCAGTTTTTCTGTCAGCCTGGGAGGAGTCTCCGCTGTCCTCTGAAAAATTCGCCCACCGTCTTTTAACGAGCGGGTCTTCTTCATCTCCATCCAGCCTTGTGTCCTGGCGTGACCACCCCAGTCTGCCAGTGTGCCACAGGGTCATCTTAGGTTGGTGCTAAGTGCTACCTTGATGGTGATGCTGCACACGATGACAGTTCCAAAGAATCTGTGCAGAAGAGCGAAGCCCTGTCCTGAGAGGCAGAAGGAAACACCAGGGGAGGGCCCCACTGTCTTGAAGTCCAGCTAATGCAAAAGCCACAGACTGCTGCTGTTTACTAAGCTAGTTCCGGGCCTGTGTCTGATGTTTTCAGCTAAGATCTGTAACTGATATATCGCCCCGCTAGCAAGGGCAGAACTGGAGTTTTGAGCCCCTCTCCCAGGCTGTGCCTTTAAGCACTAAGCAGGAGGGCCTGCCTGGCTGCACAGGTGACATTTGGGTGTAGATTTGTGCTTGGAACTGGGCACAGTGGCTTGGGGTCAGCCGAGGAGTTCTCCAGTTAGGTCAAAAGAGCTCTGTCCTTTCCCAGCGGTGGCAGAGTTTGCCCAGCTTGAGGAGCAGCCTTCAAACCATTTCAGAAGTGGAATGTCTTGGGAGGCAGAGAGCTTCCTGTTGCTATTCGTGCTGAAGCAGAGGCTGGTGGAGTGCCAACTGCTTTGTCGTGAGGAGGTGGGATCTGCAGGGAGTGGGGCTTGGTGACCTCTCTGCTGACTCTGGGACCTGATCTTCAAGGCTCCATGAGGGGGCAGAGGGAGGAGGTCCTGGAATGCTATGGCTGACAGCGAGGTAATTGTTCAGCAGGTACCCAGCTCGAGGTCCATGCTTATGGCAGACGAGTTAAAAGCTGGAAAAGATAGGATCCTGCCCTAGACAGTTTCAGTTTACTGGGGCAGTGCTCAGTACAGGAAGGCAGAGGTGGTAAGGGCTTAGAGGAAGGTCACCAAAGCCAGATCTGGGGGAGGGGGAGGCAGGTCCGGAAAGGACTCCTGCTCTGCATCTTGAGTGCCTGCCAGGCCTCAGCCCCTGTGCTCGGCCGTGTGGCAGCTCTGCTCTCCCCTCTTCCCATCTGCTGTGCCCACAGCATGTTCATGACTGAGGTTCACTATTCGATTGATAATGAATGCGCGGATTGTCAGAGTCTTTTGTAGTCAGATCAGAACAGCACACAGCCACGGGGCCAGCTGGAGAATGAAAATGGCCATTATTGGATGGAAGTCTTGTGTGATTTTTACACGTTCATTACACGTGTGGACAATTTTTTATGTACTGCTCTTGTTTTCTGCCTCATTGCCAGTCTTGTTTCCTCAATTGGATTATGTGTCCCTTAGGTAAAGACTTTCTCTTTCAGATGTTTTATGTTGTGTAATACCTTTTGTAGATAGGCTTTAGAGGTGATTGTAGACTGACTTGTGTAGTATTTTGATTCATAGGCACATTGCTTCAGACAGAGCAAAGGGCTCGGAACCATGAACGGTGCACCCGACTGCAATCTTAGCATCGGCTTGTGCCTCACCTCGGACTGCCTGGGTGGAGCTCTCCGCTCCCTGGGCTGCTGCTGCCCTGGCTGGGCCAGCATTTGCTTCCTCCCTCCTTTCTCCTCACCGTCAGTCTGTGCCTTGCAGCTCCTGCTCAGAAACTGTTCAGGAGCCTCCATGAGTAAAATCCTGCTTAGACAGGACCAGATTCAAACTCTTCAACCTCTGTGATTTGCTAGTGCTCCACCTTGCTGACCTCTGCACTGTTTCTCTGTACAGCAGTACCCCCCAATCTGCATTTCACCTGCGTAACTTTCAACCAGTCTGAAAATGCTACATGGGACATTCCAGAAATCAACAATTCATAAGTTTTAAATTGTGCACCAATCTGAATAGCGTGATGACATCTCTCACTCTCTGGCTCTGTCCCTCCCAGGACATGAATCAGCCCTTTGTCCAGCATCTCCATGCTGTGTATCACTGAGTCACAGAGAGAATTGTTTGGAGAGTATAACTGGAATCTTCGTGAAGTGGTCGGTGTTTGGGGCTTGTCAGGAAGCAGGTTCTGTCTGTTCCTGTTAAAGGGTTTTATACTGATAGAAATAAACAAAGTAGATCAGCACCCTAACTTTGCTGTCATTGATCCCGGAGGCGGATAGCTTAAAAATGTCTCTTGGCCCTCGCCGGTTTGGCTCAGCGGTTAGAGCGTCGGCCTGCGGTCCTGAGAGACCCGGGTTCGGTTCCCGCTAAGGGCGCGTACCTCGGTTGCAGTTTGTCCCCGGCCCTGGTCGGTTGTGCGGGTGGCAGCCACTCGATGTGTTCCTTTCACATTGATGTTTCTCTCTCTCTCTGTTCCTCTCTCTCCCTCCCACTCTACCTGAACAAAAAATGGAAAAATGCCCTCGGATGAGGATTAAAGAAAAAAAATGTCTCTGGGCCCTGGCTGGTTTGGCTCAGTGGTTAGAGCATCGGCCTGTGGTCCGGAGAGACCGGGGTTCATTGCCCGCTAAGGGCATGTACCTCGGTTGCAATTTGTCCCCGGCCCTGGTGGGTTGTGCAGGTGGCAGCCACTCGATGTGTCCCTTTCATGTCAATGTTTCTCTCTCTCTCTCTCCTTCCTCTCCCTCCTATTCTAGCTGAATAAAAAAATAGAGGAGTGTCCTCGAGTGAGGATTAAAAAAACAAAAACAAAAAAAACAAAAATGTCTCTGGGTCGGGTGAAGTTTTAGAATTTGAGATTAAGAATTAATGATAACTGCCCTGGCTGATTTGACTCAGTGGTTAGAGTATTGGCCCGCAGACCAGAGAGATCCGGGGTCGGTTCCCGCTAAGGGCATGTACCTTGGTTGCAGTTTGTCCCTGGCCCCAGTTGGGGTTGTGTGGGTGGCAGGCAGCCAATTGATATGTCTCTCACGTCAATGTTTCTTTCTCTCGTTGATGTTTCTCTCTCTCTCTCTCTCTTCCTTCCTCTCTCCCTCGCGCTCTATCTGAAGATAAATGCAAAAATGTCCTCGGGTGAGGATAAAAAAAAAAGAATTAATGATAACTAAGCGTTAAATAAATGATGGAAAATTATTCTTTTCAAAGCATAATTTAAATTTTTATTTTGGTTTCTTGTTTTTATTCTTTAATCTTCTCTTTTAACTCTAAAACTATATTTTAAAGTTTTATTACCAAGTTGTTATTTGATTACAGAGGGAAACTCAATTTGAATTTATGGAGTATACTTAAATAGATTGAATTATTAATTTTAAGGTTAAAGCTGAACTCTTTTTCTCATTTCTTACAAAATAAATCAAAGACATTGGTTTGAGAGATCTAGTGTGTTAATAAAATGGAACGATTCCATCAAATAATACTCTGAAGGGGAGGGTATGGTTTATTTCTTCAGAATGCCTTTTAACAAGCAGGGGCCAAGAGTGCAGACCTGGGTTCAGCTTTTCTGGTTGAGCCGTCTCAGGCCTCTGAGCTCATTGTGCCTCAGTTTTGATGTCTTGTAAGTGGAGCAAAAAGTCTTGTTGACACTTAGTGTCGTGAGGGTGAAGGTGCTCACTGTTCTTACTGTCACCATGATGAAACGGTCCTTCTAGGTCACATTATAGTGTAGTTGTAGCTCACGCTGTGATGTTTTTCTTTTTTTAAAGGAGAAATTGTTGTAAATGAAGTCAGTTTTGTGAGAAAATGCATTGCCACGGACACAAGTCAGTACGATTTGTGGGGAAAACTGATATGCAGTAACTTCAAAATTTCCTTTATCACGGACGATCCAATGCCATTACAGGTACGCTCCATCTGTGTGCTATTTGTGTCAAGGCTTTGACCCTAAAAATAAGTTAAGGCTTATATGACCATTGCAAGGTTATTGGGAAAAGAATTAACGTGACCATAACTTTTTATTTCAGAAATTCCATTACAGAAACCTTCTTCTTGGTGAACATGATGTCCCTTTAACCTGTATTGATCAAATCGTCACAGGTATATGTTATTCTTTACTTAGTCCATAAAGCTGATTCTGCCCTGGAAGAATTGCTTAAAGATACTCAGATACTTGTGTTGGAAAAGGGTTGTTTTCCCTTTTAAAAAAAATTTTTTTTTCTTTATTATTGATTTTTAGAGAGAGAGGAAGAGAGAGATAGAAACATTGATGAGAGAGAACATCGATTGGCCGCCTCCTGCATACCTCCCACTGGGAATCTGGCCCACAACCTGGGCATGTTCCCTGACTGGGAATCGAACTGGCGAGCTCTTGGTGCAGGGTTGACACTCAACCACTGAGCCACATTGGCCAGGCTCTTTTCCTCATTTTTTTGAGTCCCAGGAACATTAATGAAAGACAGAGGTCAAGATACCTTTTTTTTTAATCCTCACCTGAAGACATTTTTCCATTTTTTTGTTCAGATAGAGTGGGAGGGAGAGAGAGGCAGAGAGAGACAGAGAGAGAGACATCGACGTGAAAGGGACACATCGAGTGGCTGCCTCCTGTATGACCCAACCAGGGCCAGGGACAAAATGCAACCAAGGTACATGCCCTTAGCAGGAACCGAACCCTGGGTCTCTCTGGACCGCAGGCCAGTGCTCTAACCACTGAGAAAAATTGACCAGGGCAAGATATTATTTTTAAATGGAGCTATAGCCCAGCCAGTGTGGCTCAGTGGATTGAGCATCATTCCAAGGACTGAGAGGTCCCAGTTCAATTCCTGATCAGGGCACATGCCTGGGTTGCTGCCCAGTCCTTAGTAGGGGGCGTGCAGGAGGCAGCCGATTGATGTTTCTATTTCTCCCTTCCTCTCTCTTTAAAAAATAAAAACATTAAAAATAAAATGGAGCTATAGAATATATACCTTTTTATATTTTCTAGTATTCGTTCTCATTTAAGTTAAAATTTTAATCATAAAATGTATTTGGATGGTGGCATGTGGTATGCAAAGAATCATTTGAAGTGTCTTCAAAAGCGAAGTTAAAATCCATCTCCGGAAGTTCTAGGCACCAGACAAATGAATGTGAGAGGCCAGGGGAGCGACGCTCAAGTGGTGGGGGGCCTTCCAGTGGGTATTACTCAGAACTTGTTAAGGTCTTAAGGAGTGAGTAACAATAAAGAATTTTTTCACATGTTAATTTTTTTCTTTTTTTTTCTTTTCTTTTTTAGTAAATGACCACAAGAGGAAGCAGAAAGTCCTAGGCCCCAACCAGAAACTGAAGTTTAATCCAACTGAGCTAATCATTTACTGTAAAGATTTCAGAATTGTCCGATTTCGCTTTGATGAATCAGGTCCTGAAAGTGCCAAAAAGGTAATCCTTTCTTTGGTTAAGCTTTATCAGGTTCTGAGTTTTGCATTATACTTACCAATTTCAGTTCTATATGGAAGTTTCTCAGTTGCTCAGGGTTTTCTTTAAGGGGAAGTAATCAAATATCTCTTTAAGTAAGGTCAAAGCCAAGGATGTTAATAAAACTATTTCCTTGGATTAGTTTATGGCTGCTTTAAAAGATTCTATATACTTTTTTTTAATCAGCTCCTAAAGTATTAAAAAGTATCATGTGGAGATTAGTGTATCTTTTACATAAGACAATTACTGGCTGGCTTTTTTTTTTTTTTTAAAAAAGATGGAAAAGTTGGAGGTGTCTTGTCATTGAGGTTTGGTAAGACTTATAATTCAGTACCTCAGAACGTGATCAGCTAACTAAAAGTTAGACCTCGTTACATTGAGTCAGGCAAATGTATAGTACTGGGAGGGGTCTAATGAATATTAGTGCTTTAAAGAAGCCTTAGTGGATTAATCTGAGTGACAGTCCTTAGGGGCAGCTAAAAGCCAGGGAATTCTTAATTGGTTTGTTTTCCCCTGCCTTCTGGGGAACGTGCCTGTTCATGGAGTCAGAGTCAAGGACAGACGTCCTCACTTTGACTCCGCGTTGTGGCTTTGGGAGGAGTGGAGCCGGTGGACCCCGGGCCTCCTGGTCCCGCCTGGAGCGCAGCAGACGCAGAGAATAGTAGTGGAGTTCCTCGGAGAAGCTCGCTTCTGTGTCTGGAGGCTGGAGGGACAGTCCCAGTGGAGCCTAAGTGCTTTCTCGGCAGTGTGGCAGCTTGGCATCACCAAAAACTGGGGGTGTGTTTTCCATGAGCACTAGACTCACTGCAGCAGTTTCTGTTGGTATCAGAAGGAGGATGTCAAAGTGATCTCCAGGCAGCTGCCTGCCTCTACCTTGGTCAGGAGGTGGGGACCTTATTTTTAGAACTAGAGCCAGCAGTTTCTTCACAGGAAGACTGCATGAGATGAACATCTGAAAATGCATGGCCACTGGGACTAAGTTATCTAGCAGAGTGCTGGTGGGATCGTTTTCGAGTTGAGTCTGTAAAACCACCTTTCGGCAGGCTGCATTATTGGAAATTCAACTAGTTCCCTCTGAAGGCCCTTTTCAGCTGTTCGGTTCTGTAGTTCCTGGTTTGGGCATTTTACTAATTTGACATGCCCGTTCTTATATAGAAAGACTATAGAATTAATTAGGGAATAGACTGTATGTAAAGTATTTTAGCCAAGTTACTACTTTGAACTTAAATATCTGCTAGTAATTTAATCAATTAAAAGTATCAAGAATCTGTTTATGAAAACCCTGACTTCAGAATGTATAGAATGTCAAGAATACGGACAGCTCAGGGCTGATGAGACTGACTTAGAACAGAATATTTTTTAAAGAAAGAACCTGATACAGCAGCTCAGTATTCTTCCAGAAAGTTTACATCTCTTCCACTCTGCTGTATTTTTCAGATGACACCATTTCAGTCATTGGAAATCACAGTTACTTGGCTTGGTTCTTGAGCCATTTAGATTACTTGTCGGTCATTTTTGATGTCTGAGACAGTGTGCTGAGTTCAGTTGAGAAAATTAACCATGAACAAATGAAAATTAAGTATCAGTACAAAGTAGCAACATCAAAGATGTTCTCATATAAATGGTCAGTTGCCAGATGAATGACACACAGAGTCGGGGCTCTGGAGACTCAGGGTTCCCTTGTCTGTTGTGCTGCTTGTAAGTGGGGAGGGGTCATTGAACTAAACACACAAAACAGCTAATCCAGCTTTTTGTGCCCTTTCCCAAGACCCATTTTCTGGCAAAATCTTTTCCCCACTGTCTTAAAATAGAAAAAGCATGTTACCGCAAACCCAAAAGAAATACTCTTTTTGTCTTTTGTATAGTCATAAGGCGAGACATGCAGGAAAAAAATATATAAATAGAACTATTTTTTCCTGATTTACATGTCTTCAAGCGCAGAGGGTCACATGTCGCTGCCAGAGCTTAATTCTTTCATGAGTAATAACAAGAATTCTAGCTCACTTTTATTTCAAGGGAAAGTTTCACCTAAAATTAGGTAAGTTGGGAAGCTACAGATTGATTATCTCCTGGAAATTTTGAGTGCTGTTTTCTCTGGGACTGCTTTGATTTTATATATTGTTTTAAAATGACCAGATGCATGTTCAGACTTCTCTGGTGGGTCAAGTATTGATTACTTTTGAAATACTGAGAGTATTTCTATTTCTGTCTGAAATATGAAATCTCAAAGTGCTAAATTGGCTCACATTTTGGTAACTGCTGCGCTCAAGCCCTCCACAGTGCAGTCGGTGTGCGGGACGGTGTTCCGACAAGGCTGGAAGGCTCGTGCTGCTGCAGCGCCAGCCTCTGCCCGCACGGCCCTTGGGCCGTCACAGTGCATCAGGGCCTTGGGAAAGGCCCAGAAAGGAACCCGACGGGCACAATTGGACATCAAGCTTCAAAGCGACTTTGAGCCACCTTTTCCTTTTGAAGGACCTCTGCTCAAAGAAGGGTAAAAGAAAAAATTGTAGTGATTTATCACTTGTAATATACATATCACTTTATATTTATCATATATACATACACACACACACACTCACACATAAAGTTGGCAAGTGAAATATGTGCCCTTTGTCTCCATTTATTCTCTGATTCGTTGGCTATGGGCCACTTGTCTAGGCATCCTTTCTACAAGTGAGAATTCAGCTCATCTGTTTAGAAGACAGTTGGCCTTCCCTGCACTGTCATTTCGCCCTGAGTCTGAGGCTTGTCTCTAGGTGGCTGTAGACCACAGGAGCAGAGGAAGCCAGTTCGCTCTCTTCTAGGACAGGGCGCTCTGACTCCTGCTGCGCCTCCAGCTGGTCCTCAAGGGGAAGCCGCCGTGGGCGTCTGGCTGCTACCCAGACAACACCGCCTGGTCCAGAATCACTTCCGAGGTGGTTTAGGTGGTTTTTCCTACAGTGAAATATTTAATGTCTTTAATACCAAGATTTTCTTCATTTCCTTTGATAGCCAGGGCAAATTAACTATTTCAGAGGCAGTTTTTAAAGACATAGAGTTTTCCTAAAAAATTTTGATGCTTAAGGGAGTACGTTAAAAAATTAGAACAATTTTATATAGAAGTGAGACCTACTTTTTAAAGTCTTCCAGACGTAGTGATGGGAGTAGGAATGTGGACAGAGGCTTTTAAAAAGGTGTATGGAAAAGCTCAAGGAAGAGGACTTCTGGCTTGCTTTCTCTTCTCAGAATGTCCTGGACTAACAACATGAACGCAGCCCCAATAACTCACGTTGTGTGTGCCTTTGTCTGGGATCCCAGAGACCCCTTACTCAGGTCCTGTGGAAACGAGTCGTGCACATTTGTAATCCCACTACCAAACAGCTAGTTCAAGCAGTGCCCCTGCCCCCGAAATCCACCACTGTGCAAGAGATCGCACCGAGGTCCGCTTCAGTGTTTCTCAGGCTTCTGTACGTGTCCGTGCTGGTAGACACGCCGCTGGTTCCAGGCCCTTGTATATGTGATGTGCTGTGTTTAGGGCTTTTTAGAAACAGGCCACGTTGGGTTGTGCCTAGAAGATAGTTTTTGTTTGTTTTTGCTGTATGGCCATAGAAAACCTATTCTGTAATCAGTGTCGTGTGACTTTTGCAAAAACAAGGCCAAGGACTGCTTTCTAAAGGTCTGAGAGAGAGAGTGATGCAGTATTGGCTTGGAACCTTTTCCTTGTTATATTAGTAACTGATTTTGTCTAAATGTGAAAAATAAAAGGGAATTGGGTTGCATCTTCAGAAAGCTACTTCAGGGCTTCACTCGGGTCTGCACAGAGAGGTCTCCTGATCTCTGAAGAGACCTCTCTTACTAACCTGCTGCCTTCTTCCCTCACTGGAGTGCTTCATCTCCCCTCCCCTGCTGGATTCTCCTAGCACTGAGAGTGGTCTCACTTCTGGTTTTCGTATTTCTCTTGTTTGTTGTCTGCCTCTCCCTCAGGAATGGAAGCTTCATGAGGGTGGGTTTGTGTCTGTCCCGTTCCCTGCAGCTTCCCCAGGGCTCAGGTCACAGGGCTCAGTGACTGACTGTTGAGTGAAGAGATGTGGCATCCACCCTTGAGAAACTGAACTTAGTGAGGGAAGGAAAACAGAGAACTGTTTTTTGGTTTTTGTTTTGTTTTTTTTTATCCTCACCCAAGGACGTTTTTCCATTTTTTGTTCAGATAGAGTGGGAGGGAGAGAGAGGAAGAGAGAGAAACATCGACGTGAAAGGGACACATTGAGTGGCTGCCACCTGCACGACCAACCAGGGCCGGGGACAAACTGCAACCGAGGTACATGCCCTTAGCGGGAACCGAACCTGGGTCTCTCTGGACTGCAGGCTGACGCTCTAACCGCTGAGCCAAACTGGCCAGGGCCACACTCATAACTGTTATGTGACTACCTTGGAAGTGCAGCTACACAAGCACAGCTCACTGAAGAAACACTTTATGTTGGAGCTGTTGTTATACAGAGAGAACAGAGGGTTTCTGCCATGTGCTGTGAAATTGGCTCGGTGTGTGAAAGCCTGTCAGGAGATGAGAGCTGAACAGAGGTGGCAGGTTCAGGGAAGCCTGGTGGGCTGAGCAGTGGGGAGTGACTTCCTGAGCAGAGTGTGGCAGAGAAGACGCTGGGGCCAGGTCAGAGTATGTGCGGAGACGGGATGTTGGGAAGGGGCAGGGTGTGTCTGGAGAGGAGGGCCAGCTTGTCAGGAATCAAGGAGATGGAATTTGTTACGGAGCTCTCTGGGACCGCAGAGATCATCCAGAGAGTGGAGTTGTTAGTCAGAATTTCGTCTTTGGAGAATTAAGTGTCGTGGATTTTTTTTAAGAATGTAGGGCTGTGGTAGTGCAGAGAAGTGGGGCGAGAATGAAAAATAGACTTGAGAAAAGCACAACGGAGCTTATAAACTAAGCATGGTGCCCAGGGGAGCAGGAAGTGGTGGGGACGGTCTCAGGGTGCAGCTTCAGAGAGACTGAGCAGGTTAGGGACAGGACGCAGACAGAGAGCTCCTGAGTCCTGTTAGTGGGGCTCCCGCCGAAGGCTCCCATGGGCATTGACAACATAGAGGTGGTCTGCAGGTTTGGAGAAGTTTGTGGTTTCTGTTCGTGAAAACTACAACTACTACTAACTTGTCTTCTTAGTTACGTGTTTTAGTAACACAAGAAACATTTATTCTGTAGAAGGCTTTTTAGTTATATTTCCAACAGGAAGCTGACACCAGCATGTCAGTTAGTAGAATTTACATCAGCCTACCCCAGACTAACAATTAACGAAACTTCTCTTGCTTGCTCACTGGCAAAAGTATATCATGCTGGCTTAATGCTTTTCCTTCTAAGTGATATTTACTCTTTTCATAAGGTTTTCTCCTATTCTTTCCTTGTGTATGTCTTAAATTTCTTTCTTCTTGCTCATTTAAGAGTTTTTCTGCCACCATCTAGTCCAGGACTTTGTAAGCATAGGGCATTTTATCCAACTGCAGTGAAGAGTAAAAAGAACCAGATTTCATGAATGGAGCTCCTCCAGAGGCCCAGCATGCATTAGGGTTATTAACCCCTCCCACAGTTGCAGATGTTGTCATCATTTTGCAGATGTGCACACTGAGGCTCAGAGATGAGTTGACTTCACACAAGTTGCATGGCCAGTGCTCACTAGAGCTGGTTAGTGTGTAAGATTTCATCTGTTTGATGTGAAAGCCCACACTGTTCCACCACAGGTGTAGTCTCAAACAGTTTTACTTAAACACGGGTTTTGGGGTTTTTTGTTTGTTTGTTTGTTTGTTTGTTTCTTATGTACCTCTTTGAGCCACTCATGTATTTTAGGGTTTCTTGCTCATTTTTATTTCTTGTGATTATAGATTTTCTGTTACGTTTACATTTTTTAATCCATGATGTGTGAGCATTAACACTTTCATTCCGTATACTGAGCTTCCACATTGTTGGTTCTAAGGTATTGCAGTCCACCAAAAACGAAACTTCTTTCTTTGTTTCAGGAGTGGGGGCAGCACTGCCTTGGGAGAGTGCTTCTTTAGTTCTCAGGTGTCATTTACCTGAGTCCACTGACCTCCCTATGACAGGTCAGCTCAGCGGCACTTGCTGATTACTTCCCTCTACTCACCAGAGATCAGACAGTGTCTTGGGGACACTGCAGTGAAGGAGACCCCTGCCTTACGGATCGCTCACACCTTAGGTCAACAGGAAACGTGTGAACGAGTATCTGGTCACTGCCCCAAGATGCTCCCAGTAATCAAGGCCTTATTGTACATTTCATTTAACCAAGTGTGTTAACATCAAATTCTAAATGTAGAATTTTTCCTAGGTATGCCTTGCAATAGCTCATTATTCCCAGCCAACAGACCTCCAGCTACTCTTTGCATTTGAATATGTTGGGAAAAAATACCACAATTCAGGTAAATATGAAAATATTAAATATTGTGACTAACTTTACATTGTGTCAATTTTATTCTTATGTTTCTCAGAAGCCTCCTACTACCTGAGCTTTAATGATTGTTAGTTTCATGACTGTTAGAGAAGGGGCACTGTGTACAAAGAGATAGTGTTTGTCAGATTATTTCTTAAAAAGTGACCAGGAAGAACCTGTGAGCAGCTGTAAACAGGAATCATGTCAGTGTTTTATTGCAGTTGTCGGCTTGTATTTCATGGTGAAGAAAGATACATTCTCCCCTTTTTCATAGGTAGCTTGAAGAAAACTGGCAGAAAATTTAAAGATATTTGAAGTGCATGATCTTTTCGGGCAAGGTGTGATTTCATGCAAGAGCTGAAGTGGTTCAACTTTTTAGTGGACTTCATTACGACAGAGTGGGATTGAGGGAAGGAACGTGAGCCCTGTCCAGGACAAGGATATTCCAGGCAGTTTTCATAAATGTGGAAGAGTTCTGTTCACATTTGTGTCAGCAGTGACATCACCAAGGAAAAGTCTAGATGGTCATGTCATTGTGCACATTATGTTTATATACTGATATAATTTTAATCACCCATTATTTATTTATTTTTATTAACTAATTTTTGTTACAGATGCTTCTCCTTTTTCCCCCATTGACACCCTCCTCCCGATCCTGTCCCCTGCCCAGCATTGTTGTCTGTGCTCATTGGTTATGCGTATATGCATATAAGTTCTTTTTTTTTTTTTTATCCTCACCCGAGGACATTTTTTTCATCTTTTGTTAAGATAGAATGGGAAGGAGGGAGAGGAAGAGAGAGAGAGAAACATCAACGTGAAAGGGACACATCGAGTGGCTGCCCACCCCCACGACCCAACCAGGGCCGGGGACAAACTGCAACCGAGGTACATGCCCTTAGCGGGAACCGAACCCGGGTCTCTCTGGACCGCAGGCCAACGCTCTAACCGCTGAGCCAAACCGGCCAGGGCTATGCATATAAGTTCTTTGGTTTATCTTCCCAGCCCACCTCCTCTGAGGTTTGTCAATCTGAACCCTACTTCTATGTCTCTGGGTCTATTTTGTTCATCTGTTTATTTTGTTCATTATATTCCACAAATAAGTGATATCATGTGGTGTTTGTCTTTCTCTGATTGGTTTATTTCGCTTAGCATAATACTCTCCAGGTCCCTCCTTGTCATCTCAAAGGACAAGAGATCTTTCTTACAGCTGCATAGTACTCCATTGTGTATATGTACCACGACTTTTTTATCCACTCATCTATTGATAGGACACTTGGGCTGTTTCCAGATCTTAGCAATTGTAAATAGTGTTGCTATGAACATAGGGGTACATATATTCTTTCTAATTGATGTTTCAGGCTTCTTAGGGTATATTCCTAGAAGTGGGATCACTGGGTCAAATGGCATGTCCATTTTTAATTTTTTAAGGTAACACCATATTGTTTTCCATGGTGGCTGCACCAGTCTGCATTCCCACCAGCAGTGTACTACAGTCCCCTTTTCTCCACACCCTCGCCAACACTTGTTGTTTGATGATTGTTGATGGCGGCCATTCTGGCAGGTGTGAGGTGATATCTCATTTAATATTTGGAAAAACCGCAATAGAGTGAAGCCGCGCAAGTCGAAGTGCGAAGTGGTCAGGGACGACTGTATGTAAATAAAGAATCCTACTTCACGGAAATTCATTTATCGCAGTAGAGTCTGGAACTGATTAACCGTGATAAACGAGGGCAGACTGTAGTTGTTTTAATTTGCATCTCTCTAACGATTAGTGATGTTGAGTATTTTTTCATATGTCTCTTGGCCATTTGTATGTCCTGTTTGGAGAGGTGTCTACTTAGGAAAAGTCTAGATGGTCATGTCATTTTGCACATTATGTTTATATACTAATGTAATTTTAAACAGCCATTTTTAAAACCTCATAAAAGAATGGAGAGAAAATGGAGAGTTCGTGTCTTACATTAGCCCCTGTGGGTTAGTGACTGCTTGTCAACGTGCTTGCTGAGTCACGTGGCCCCTCGCTCTTCAAGGAAGGAAATAAATCAGTTCCATATGTGCATTGAAAGACCCGTTCACCCAGCTTGATCTGGATGGGATCTTACAGAATTATTAACTGTGCTGGTCTTTACATTTTGTTGTGTCAAACATATGGTAGTGGTGTAAATAATCTAGAATGAAAGTGTGTTCCGGTATTACTATATTGTAAACACATTAGAATGTAGGAGTAGTACCTAGTATCTGCAGATGCATATGGTATAAGTATAATTCCACTGCTTTAAAAGACACTTGGAAAGTATCTATCTTTCATGGATGACATGAAAGTCATGCTTTACATAACGAGTTGCTCTTTTCTTACGGCACTAGATATATAGAGATTGGACCACAAAGTGTTTGTAACTTAATTTCCTTACCAAAATATAGCTAATTATAACCTAGACATGAGTGATACAGTTGATTTTTCTTTTTAAGTTTGTTTTTTTAATGTAAAGAAAGTCCACTTACTGTCTGAAAGTGAAGCAGTGTAGACCCTACACTGTTAGTTAGGCGAGTATCCCTTTGGGTCATCACCACACTGTAGACTGATCATCAGGGCACTGTCGAGAACACAGCTGAAGTGGAAGTTTCAACAGGTGCGAGAGTCTCTGATTCTCGCTTACATTTCTGTATGGTCCTTTCCTGATAGAAACAGTTGAGCCCAGTGTGCGGATCTGTGACGTCTGCAGGACTGGTGCTTGAGCTCAGCAAGTCCGGTACTTCATATGCCTCGGCAACTTGATGCCTGCTCCAGCGACTTCGCGGTTTTCTCCATCCAGTCCGTGTGGCATCTCTGCGTTCATTATACCTTTAGTAGTTTGCTCAACACATAGCTCTTCTGCTGAATTTTCTTAGGTGCATCAATCAGTTCTCTAGATCTTGTATATAGTTCTTTGACAAGATTGATAATTGATACTTAATATACTCAGGAATGTTTTATTTACATCCTTCAGACTCCTCTTCCCCTAGCAAGTACTTCATAAACATAACACTTGTCCAGTGTTTTGTTAAGATTCCTTGCAGGGTAATGATCTTTAATATTCTTCCATGCTTTGCACAAGCATAAACTGTACCTTTCAGATCAAAAGAAGTCTGAGATTTCCACACACTGCAGTCAGAATTCATTAATCTGTGAGTGAAAGATGCCCAACAACCCACTCTTGAACCTCTGGATGACATCTTGATTCATGGGCTGGAATAATGAAGTTCTTTTTGAAGGCAGGTAGGGGACAGAGCTGTTTCCACAAATAAAACCTGAAGATGGAGGATGTCCCCTGCAGTTATCTAAGAAAAGTATCCTTCAGATGGCCCCAGGCATTCTGAGGTTTTCTCTCCTGTTCAGCATCACTTGAGTAAAACTGTCTGAGAAGCTGAGCCCTCGTCCAGGTCCTCCTGGGAGGGTCCTGAAGTTCAGAGGGATGCACAGTCCCCACACTGCATCCAGCCTCTCCCAGGAGGCCCAGCCCAGGAGAACAGTGGTTCCCTTTGTTCCCTTTGACTGGAAAGGAACCATGAGGACTGTTTCAATCAGTCAGGTTATTATTGGGCAAGTAATGTCCAAAAAGCACAGGCTTATCTTTGTTAGAAATTGATAAGATGTCAGGTTATGTTTCTAAAGAATTGAAAACCTCATGAAGTGACCTGCGGCCACAGTGCTGACATCTCCAGCCCGCAGCAGATGCCGTGCCTGGAAATACTGTGGATGCCCAGCAGGTGGACGTTTCAGTGAGGTTTATCTTCTTTTTCTCCTCAGGCGAGGACATTTTTGCATTCATCTTCAGATAGAGTAGGAGGGAAAGGGGAGGGGGAGAGAAACATCGATGTGAGAGAGAAACAGACTGGTTGCCACCCACACAACCCCAACCGGGTTGGGGACAAACTACAACTGAGGTACGTGTCCTTAGCGGGAACTGAACCCGGGACTCTGGTCCGCAGGTCGATGCTCTAACCGCTGAGCCAAACCGGCCAGGGCAAGATTTATCCTTTTATTAACACAGGTCTTGATACTTAATTTTCCTCCAAGTGCTTGTTGGAAACCGCTTGCAGAGTACACAGTTCATTGGAAACAGTTCATTGGAACTTTAGAAGTTTGTTGCTTGTCAGTTCTCAGATTCTCAGAGTAGCTATAAATGTTGTGCTTGGTCCTCCTGTCTCCTGAATACTAGTGGTGCCTAACCAGCCACATGCATCTCAGAATCCCAGGAGGAGCTTCAGGACACACGGCTGTGCTGGCCCTGCCCCAGGCCCACAAGTTCAGGTCTCCGTCAGAGCCACCGTGTGGCTCACCTCTGTGAACATTTCTGTGAGCAGTTCTGTTTCCCTTCCGCACGACATCTGACTTCTGCAGCACTGGTGAGGTGATAGACTTTCTTTTTGTACGTGAACCACTTTTATTGTCTCTGCTGTTGCTTGAGGCCATTCTACGTAGGTATGGGGTCTCTGAGGTGCTGTCAGCACGTCTGGGATGGGACTTCTGGACTGTCACACCATAGGCAAGGCCATGGGCACCCAGAACCAGGTTTCACTTTTAGTTGGCTGAGGGGCTGTGTCCTCAGACCTGTCAGCTAAGCATCAGGGGCCCCAGGTCTTCCTAAGAGGAGTGGCTTTGCAGGCCTGTTGCCGTGGAGCAAGCTACAGGCATGGTCAGGCCTTTCTGGAAAGCGTGGACCTCCATCCAGCCTCTGAAGCCCGGTGGAGAGCCCGCTGCGCGTTCTGCAGCAGCTCTCACTGGGGGAGGTGTGCAGCGCAGGCAGGCCTGGAGCCCGGAAAACAGCAAGCTCTGTGGGCGCTCTCACTGCAAGACCAGCGTGTGCTCAGCCCAGATCCCAGCAGCCTGACCTCGCGACAGGACACATGTCCCGTTTAGACGTCAGCTGGGAGCACTGCCTGGCTGCCGACACAGCTCTTTGACATTTTTTAGTGTGTTTTTTCTACTTCCTTGGTTGCAGTTGTGTGGCAAGGGCCTGGTTTTAATGCAGAGGGTGCTTGCTGTGAGTTTCTGATAATACTTTTTATCAAGTTAAGGAAATTGCTTTTATTCTAATTTGTTAGAGTTTGTTTCCAATCACGAGCAGGTGTTAAACTTGGTCAAATGTTTCTGCACTTCAAGCCAATCATATGGGGTTTTCCCCTTTAGCTTGTTCACATGATGGACTACTTAGATTTTCCACTATTGAGTATCTTTCTGTGGTTTTGGTACCTGGGCCCACCGCATCCAAAGTGGGCATGCCTGGCGATCTAAGGCTCTCCGTTCTGGAGACAGCATGGCTCCCGAGTGACCTCCAGTGCTTTTGTTCTGTCAGAGGCTCAGACGGGGTGGGCTTCCGGAGCATATGTGCTCGGAGTGAGCACGTTAGTTTTTAACAAGTTCTGCCAAAATCAGAATTACTGGGTAGTTCTGAGGCGCTTCCAGTACCCTGCATGGTACTGACACCCTTCACAATTCAGAGGAGCACCGATGGGTAATGAGGGTGCTCTTATCTGCATCGCCCAGTGCAGGGCCCACAAGCCACGCGTGGCTGCTGCACTGAGGAGCTGCGCCTTACATTTTACCTCATTTAATTTCAGTTTCAGTGGTCACTGTTTAGGGCAACACAGATCGAGAGTCTAGGCCCCATCTAATTTTCTAGCCTCTTTTCCACCACCCCTTGCGTCCCTAATGCTCTAGCTTATTTAATTATTGATGTTGTACAGTTGTATCATGTTATTATGATCTGTGTCCAGCAAGTCTGCCTCCTCACCGGCCACCTAGCAATGTGTGGCTCATTCCTCAGGACTCTGTGTGGATGTGGGCACGTCCTGCACCAGCCTCTGTCTCCCTTGAGAGCCAGGGGCTCCCTCTGCTGCCCTCTCAGTGACGTGTGCATCCAGCGCACGTGGACAGTGTTAGTGCTTCTAAGCTAGACAGCAAGTCTGAATCACTTTTTCTTCCTCGTGCCTTAGCACATGGTCGGTTCTCAGAAAAGACCTGTTTCTCACCAGTGTTAGTCAGCAGTGTTGGAATGGGCATGGGACAAAGGATGGTTTTCCTGGCTGCAGAGGAGCATGGGAGTCAGGGAGAAATGGGAAGTCAAGGTCAGGTCAGCTGTGTGAGGGAAGCCATTTAGGTTTGCTTGATTCAGTTGGACAGTGAGCACGATGGCAAATTGGGGGCAATGGGATAGCATCCTGAAGGCATGTTCCTCGGGAAATGGTCATGTAGCAGGTGCATCACAGCTAGTCGGGTGTCAGCTGGGAGGCCTGCCACCCGTGCAGCCAACAGCAAGACACCGGGCTGGGAAAGGTGTGCCATCTGTCACCCAGATTGGCAGGGTAGGGGAAGCTGACTGTTGGGATACCTTCTTCCTCTTGAGTCCCTCTGCAGGCCCTCCCTAGGCTGTGGCATGCTCCCAGGAGAGAGCAGCGCTCCTTGGCTAGAAAAGGCTCCTTGCTACGAACTTAAGGTCCAAATGCTTTTCTACTGAAATTCCCTATGGACTCTGGTACTCCAGTGGAGTCCAGGGAATCCCCGTGAGCTGTCACAGGAAAACTGAGCAGATGTAGAAGATAAGAATTTTATAATGAGCCATAAAAAGGGGTTGAGAAATCACTATTAAAAAGGTGATGGATTTGATGGCCTGAGGACAGAGATGGTCCTTGGATGCATTTATTTGTCTAGGCGAAGCATGGAGAAAAAGAGCAACAATTTGGATTTCCCACAGACTGGGGAGAGGGGTGAGGGAGGATCATGAATGGTTCCCACAGACTGGCAGGGGCAGAAGAAAAGTAGAGGGAGAGGAAGTATGGGCAGCAGGCATCGTTCATCACTGGGGCAGGTGGTCAGTAAAAGGGAGGAGGGAAATGCCGGAGGGTCCCGAGTGACCAGGAAGGTCTTCAGACCCAAGCGGACCTGTTGTCTGTGAAGGGATTGGAGGTGGAGCCAGGAGGACAGAGAGCTGGAAGGCGCCGAAGGCGGGGCACGGGGAGCAGGGCTCTTTGGTCAGGACTGCTGGCAGAGGAGGCTCTTGGAGAGGCTGAAAGGACAGACGGGGGATACCACCTCCGAGGGTGTTTACGACAGGAGGCACCGAGGGGACGGGGGTGTCGGACGACGTGGCTGTGAAAACAAATCTGATAACACTGCCTTTTCTTATAGCCAACCAAGTCAGTGGGACGCCCGCAGGGGCCGGCGGTGGCAGCAGCAGCCAGAAAACTCCCCTCTTTGAGACTTACTCAGACTGGGACAGAGAGATCAAGAGGACGGGCGCTTCCGGATGGAGAGTGTGTTCCATTAACGAGGGCTACATGATATCCACTTGGTGAGTCGGAGTTCCCCACGCCGTGTGCTTAGGGATAACAGCAAACCCTGCTGTCGGCGATAACGTTCAGGTCAGGGTCAGTGGAACGCTCGTTTCTAAGAATGCTTTAATGGATGTTTATGCTGAAGGTAGGGTTTTGTTTTTTTTCTTAACATAATGATAACATCAATATCCATTGACAGATTGACAGTCATTCCTTACTGTCGTTAGTAATCCGGTCAGTGTTTAAATGTGTTTACGTCTTGCAAATGTCTTGTAGTCGGCTTGTTCAGTCAGGAACACAGTGAACTTGTTTGGTATGACTCGTAGCCTTTTGATGGATGGTAGTCTCCTCCCACTCTCTTTTACAACTGCCATTTTTCTTGTGGACAGAGCCTGGTCATTTGTTCCGTAGAATTTTCCACTTTCTAGATGATGCTGGTTTTATCCCAGTGGCCACCTTCAGTGTGTTCCTCTGTCTCCTGTACTTCTTGTAAAATGTTAACTCATTCCAGAGGTTTAATTGAGGATTTATTAGATTCAGGTTCAGGGTTTTGGCAAGAATGCCTCAGTGGGTGGCGCTGTGTGCCTCCCGCTGAATCACATGGGTCTGGGCACCCCTCTGATGCTGACTGACAGAGGGCCCAGCGGCAGGCAGCCTGGTCCATGCAGGTCAGCGTTCCCCGTTTATGTAGTGGTGTTCACCAGCAGTGATGGTCAGTTCCAGATCCATTACTTCATTAGGATTGCAGTTGGTCATATCTGATTCTATCATTCTTTCTATCACACCTTTCTCTCAGCTCTTTAGTACCCTGAAATACAGTTTGTACAACCAAGGCAATACCTTGAACAACTTGGGGGTTAGGGACACCAAACCCTGCACGGTTGAAAATTCTGTGTAACAGTCAACTCCCCAAAAACTTAGCTACTAATAGCCTACTTGACCAGAAAAGCCTTACTGATAAACAGTGTTAATGTGTATTTTGTATATGTATCTTATACTGTATTCTTAAAGTAAGCTAGAGAAAATAAAATGTTTCTAAGAAAATCATGAGTAAGAGAAAATAGAATTACCGTATTCATTGAAAAAAATCCGTGTGTAAGTGGACCCCTGCAGTTCAGACTATGTTGCTCAAGGGTCTACTGTGTAAATGTTTACTTTTTCCTTTACTAACCAGTTTTGAGAATGATGAGCCAATTTCCTAGAATTCTCCAAAAGTGACCAGGAAATTGTTTTTTAAATTTGTATGTTTATATCATTTAATACTCATGGATTTGGCTGGTCATGTGGAGGAAAGAGCGGAGGTATCTTGAGGTGCACTGAGCTTCCCACTGGTAACTGCTGTCTAGTGAGGTCCTAGAGTCTGCCTGTCTTTGGGGTGGGGAAGGAGAGAAAAGAGGGAAGGCTTCTTGGTAGGTCTGTAGGTTGGTTGGTTTGGTGTGCTTGGTATCTGCTTACCTGTAGCCTGTTAGGCCGTTGTGTTTTTCAGAAACGGCAGTCATGTTGATAGTCTTTCTGGGTAGCATTCAGATCCTCCTTCCGATCTCCCCTGCTACACGTATACATTTTATGATTGTCGGCCACATCATACGTGTTTTAGATTGAGAGTCTGGGATCCTCAGTGTCCTCCACACTGCCCACTGTGTGGCTGCTAAGTGGGGGTATATGAAGTGAGGATACACTTGTTTAATTACATATGGGGTCTGCAGGGCACCCTGATCCTGCCTGAAGCACAGGGCTCTCACGGTGTGGTTTGCTTCCTCCCCTCAGCCTTCCAGAATACTTCGTCGTGCCAAGTTCCTTAGCAGACCAGGACCTCAAGATCTTTTCCCACTCGTTTGTCGGAAGAAGGATGCCAGTAAGTGATATCTGCTGGATCGCATGGGTACTGGTGTCCATTGTTCTTCCCGCTCATGCCGAGGCTCTCTCTGCCCTAGCTCTGGTCCTGGAGCCACTGGAACGGCAGTGCCGTCGTGCGGATGGCCCTCATCAGAGACGTCCTGCAGCAAAGGAAGATCGACCAGAGGTGACCAAGGCGTGGCCTTTTTTACTTTGGACATTTTTAGTTGTTGGCAATACCATAAACTCCCTACTAATGGAAACTGGTGGGGAAACGACATAGTTTTTTAGCACCATGCCTTTTAGAAAAGAATTATCATTTCAAAAGAATATGAATATTAAAATTAACTTACATATAAGTGATACTAAATATAATTTGGGTCTCTGGCTCCTAAGACACTCGAGGGTCCTGCAGTGCTGTCGCCTTGCTGTCCCGTTGCCTTTACCGCACTTGCAAGCGCAGTGCTTCCCAGTCGAGATCCTGCAGGATGAGCCAGACTCTCACGGGTTCGTCATCTCAGGTCTGCAGAGTCACAGCAGCTCGCATGGGGGTTCCAATCAGCCATCACAGGCAGGTCTGGCAGCGTCAGCTCAAGTCACCAGTCACCTCCATGTCCTTCAAGTACAGAGCGTTTCTTGGCCCTCAGAGCAGCGGGCGCCACCACGGCCAGTCTCCCCTCCAGAGCTCCTCCTCCCTGGCACTAGGTGCACGCCCATTCTGCTCTCTCCGAATGTCACTGTGCAGTCTGTCAAAAGCCACTTCCTCTTCCCGCTCTGCATTTCCTTCCTGAAGAAGTTCACCCTCGGCTGTGGCTTTAGTGACTGTCAAATTATATCTCCAGTCTAAATGGACATCTTCCATGTTGAGGTGTCAAAGTCTCCTTAAACTCATCATGTCCAAGACCAAACTCCAGGATTAAGCCACCATGCCCCCTGTCAGCCTGCTCTTCAGAAACCTCGGGGTTCTACCACAGGCCCTTTGCACTAGCTATTCATCTACCTAGAACACTTTCCCCCAGATCTGTGCGTGGCTCCTAGTCATCTGGGGTTTGGCTTCAGTATCAGCTATATAGAGGAGCCTTTTCTGACCGTGGGACCAGAACTAGTCTGTAACCTGATTACACCACCCGTGGCGTTCACCACAGCCTGTTATTTTCTCATGTACCTCCACCAACACCACCAGGAAGGTAAACCCATGAAGGCAGAGGCCTGGCCTGTCTTGTTCATCTCTCTATTCTCAACTCTTAGAAGTAGTGTGTTGGCTCATAGTAGGTATTTAAGAAATGTATGTTGAATAAATGAATGATCAGTGACTAAACGATTTTGTCTTTATTAGGATTTGTAATGCAATAACTAAGAGTCATCCACAGAGAAGTGATGTTTACAAATCAGATTTGGATAAGACCCTGCCCAATATCCAAGAAATTCAAGTGGCTTTTGTAAAACTGAAACAACTATGTGTTAATGGTAATTTCATTTTTTTATATGCATGTGTGTGCAGCGAATAGGCGATACAGTATTGTGTGAAATGCCAGGAAAAGTGATATTCCTTACAGACAGAGAAATAATATATTTAAGGAGAGGCTCATTGAAACACTTATACACATTATTACTGTGTGAGAAGGTCCAGGGCCCTTAGAAAATGAAGCACAGACGCCTTCTGTCTGGGGGAAAATGAACCAAACCAGTCACCCTCAGAACATGAAAGGCGTAGGGTGCTGTTGTGGAAGAACAGCTTGCTCGCTTACGACAGGCTGAGGTCTCGTGCCCAGTCCTGCTCTGAGATGTGTGGCTCGCCAGCCACTCGTGATCTGCGCAGGCTCAGCCCTCTGGTGCAGCCCTGTGAGCAGACGTCAGGTGCTTCCGCTGTGCCCGGAGGGATGGCTCACGGGAAAGCATCTTTGGTGAAGGATGTGCAGAGTGAGCTGGGAGGCAGGGGAGGCAGCCGTCACCACCAGTCTAGATGAGAGCGGGCACAGGCCTGGAGGGTGAAGTGAGAGGCACCTTGGAAGGGTCGGGACATGACTGGGCAGGGCAGGGCAGGGCAGGCCCTGGCAGGAAGGTGCCCTCGGTCCCGCTGTGGTCAGCCACCAAGGCCATGTGAACCATGCGAGGGGAGGGCAAGGCTTGCCGAGAGGAAGCTGAGGGTTGTGGGCTGGGGTAGCTGCTCACACAGACGGGGAAGGCCTGGGCTGACCGGAAGGCCGGGGTCACTAGCTCTTTGGAGGCAGAGGTGGTCCAGACTCTCCCCAAGATTTCCCTGAGAGAGCCCGAGAGAAGGTGGAGGCCAGGGGAACATTGTTTTTTTTTTTGTTCTTTTTTTTATCCTCACCTGAGGACTTTTTTTTTTTTTTTTTTTTTCATTTATCTACAGATAGAGTGGGAGGGGAAGAGGAAGGAAGAGTGAGAGAGAGAGAGAAAGAAACATCGATGTGAGAGAGACACATTGAGTGGTTGCCACCCACACGACCCCAACTGGGGCCAGGGACAGACTACAACCGAGGTACATGCCCTTAGCGGGAACCAAATCCAGGACTCTGGTCCACGGGCCCACGCTCTAACTGCTGAGCCAAACCGGCCAGGCTTGTTTTCTTTTTTTTTATAGAATTGTAGCATCTACTGAAATGTTCATATTATTAAGTGAAAGAGCATGATACTTCCTTCAAGCCAGCTTTTAAGTATTCAAGACTAGCGCAGCACTTAACTCCGATACTGATCATGTAAAATAAGCTTAAAAAGCCTGAAAGTGTGTGTGTGAGAGAGAGAGAGAAAACGTGTATATACAATAATATACCTATATAATTTTATGTTTATTACAGAGCCTTTTGAAGAAACTGAGGAGAAATGGTTATCGTCACTGGAGAGTACTCGGTGGCTAGAATATGTAAGGTTTGTACAACCACTTTCCTTTTTTCTTTAACTTTACATTTTGAAATATTCCTAGACTCACAGGAGGTGTAAAGATAGAGAGCCAGCCCACCCTCTTCCCCCAGCTTCCCCACGGCAGCATCTAGGGTACCAGACTGGTGTGGAAGCAGGAAGTTGACCGTGTGCAGGCTGCGGGCCTTGTTCATGTCACCAGGTACACATGCTCGCGTGCGCGTGTGTGTGAAGATCCCTGTAACCACCACGACCGTCAGAATACAACTCCACAAGGCTCCCTCCTGCTGCCCGTTTAGAGCTGCAACACCCACATCCGATCCTTGTCCCCTGGCAACCAACTAATCTCTTCTCCATCTCCATAGTTTCATCATTTTCAGAATGTTATCTAAATCAACTTCTTCCTTTTCATAAAAGGTTAATGAACTTCCCTGATATAAAAATCAGACTGTTCTCTGAAAAAATCACATAGCTACTGAAGAAATTCATAAAGGTTTTTGAGACTACAAATGTATATAGTAAAAGGTTAGATTTGCTTGATTTCAAGCATGTTAAAAAAAACTCTTTGTAGTGGAAATTGAGTTTGTAACAGTGTTCTTTCCTTTCTCCTCTCAGGGCGTTCCTGAGACTTTCGGCGGAACTTGTGTTCACACTAGAAAGCAAGCGTGTCTCTGTAGTCCTCCAAGGTAACTCACCGCGGAAGCACCGGTCGCCAGCCAGCTTGGCACTGTTGTCCGCGTTCAGGTCAACTCCCTGTCTCAGCCGTCTCTCACTACGACACTGCCACCAAGCACACTCCAGGCTTTGCACATCGCTAGAGTGAGCCCGTGGCTCAGAGACTGCGCAGGAGAAGAGAAAGGAGGCCAGTGTCCTGCCCAGAGCTTCCACTTCCTTCCTGTATTGTGGGGGTGGGCCGCAGGCCTTACGGAATCAGGACCACGCACCTCTTCTCTCCAGTCTCGCCGTCTTTCTGATTCATTCCGTTTTCGTGTAGACGCTGCTGGCTCATGCTAGGCTGTGCCTCTATAGAAACCGTTTGGTGTCAAGCAACTGACTAAATCGAATAGCCAGCAGTGTGAATTTTGTCTAATGTTCGGTAGGAATCATTGCAATATAAAATCAGCTAAGCAAAACATAACTATATATTAAATAACTTTATAGCTAATAGAATTTCTGAGCTTACAGATAAGGTTTAATAAACCATGAACTACCTAATAATACAATAAATTCACATTGCATAGGATATGAAGACACAATGTTGCTGAAGCTTGCAGTAGTATTTTCACCAACTCTCAAATTCAGATGACTTTAATAAAGATATCTGAAGCCCTCCGAGGGAGAAAAAATAGTGATACCCTCTTTCCAGCAACTGCTGACTGATGCCGGCAGTGACCCACGGTGCACGTGGAGCGGCCTCCTCCCCAGCCACTGGCTGTCTCGCCCTGCACACAGTCCTGCTCGCGCATCTCTTCACGTGCTTGCTGGGCTGCGAACGGCTGCACGTCACTCACACTCTTCTACAGATGTGCTTTTCAGGGTGCGCTGAGGTCTAATTTGCACATTGTCAAATTCACCCATTCTGAATGTCGAAATAAATACTGAGTAAGTGTACAGTTTCAGAAATGTTCTGTGTGTCCAAGCCCGGGGCAACCACTGACCTCTAGATTCCAGCTTTACTTTCTCTGGATTTTTCATATGAACGGAATCATACAATGTGTGGTCTCTGGCTTCTTTCATTTCACATACATGTTCTTGAAGTTCATTCATGTAGCAGGTGTCAGCAGTTATGTGTTATTTCCGCATAGGGTTCCGTTGTTTGGGAATACCACATTTTGCTGGGATTCTGATAGAAATCAGTAGAGAAAGCTGAAGGAACACCATCTTACAGTGTCCAGCCTGCCGATCGTGACAGAAATGCCTCTCCAGTTGTTTGGATCTTCTTTCATTTAGTCAGCAGTGTCAGTTTCCAGTGTACAAGTCTTGCGCTTATATATCTTAAGTATTTTACTTTTTATGCTATTGTGTATACAATTGTTACTCTTACTTTCTGGTTTATAATCTGTGGACTCAGATTGTTATGGTGTCTACAACTCCTGTGACCTTACTGAACTCATGTATTAGGTTAAGTGGTTATTTTGTGGGGTCCTTAGGGTTTTTTACATGCAGGATCGTGTTGTCTGCTAATACGGTTATTGCATTTTTGTTTTTGAGCTGGATGGTTTTGTTTTTTGTTTGTGTCTAATTTCCCCAGCTAGAGCTTCCAGTACAGTGTGGAATAGAAGTGGTAAGAGCAAACATCCTGGTCTTAGGAGCAAAGTGTCCAGGCTTTCACTAATAAGGATGAGATTAGCTCTGGGTTTTTGTAGATTCCTTGTATCAGATGGATGTTCCCTTCTGGTCCTAGTTTACTCAGAGTTTTTATCCAGAACGGATGTTGGATTTCCCACACAGATGCTTTCTGTGCATCTAATGAGCTCACCGTCCTTTCTTACTATTATGGGACAGTAACATTAATTGCTTGTCAGATGTTGAGCCAACCTTGCATTCCTGGGATGAATTCTTGCATTCCTGAGGTAATCTGGTTTGCTCCTATTTTGATGATGACCTTTACATCTAAGCATAAGGGATATTGGTCAGTAGTTTTCCTTTGTTTCGCTTTGATATCAGGGTATGACTGGTCTCATTAAAAAGGGCACCAGCTGTAAAAGATGGGAGGGAAATGTTTGCACCTGTTCGGATGGTGGTGGGCAGTCCCATTCCTCTCATTCACCATGTGAAGTTGTCAGTAGAAAGATTATATTGCATTTAATGTCCTTGATTGGACTTGTGAAAAGTTCTGCCACAGACTTTGACGTGGGAAAGCTGTGGGGATACGCCTGGCACTGGGAGCACTCACGCAAAGGCCACCTCCCCGGACACTCGCTGGTGTCAGGTCTGCCGTCGCAGAGCTGCTGGTTTCCCCACGTGGGTACTCTGACGGCGCGGGGCGCTTTCCCTTCCCTCCCTTTCTCAGCGTCTCCTGCGTGGTCATGATTCTCTTTCCATTTTATTGACAGAGGAGGAGGGAAGAGACTTGAGCTGCGTGGTCGCGTCTCTCGTGCAAGTGATGCTGGACCCCTATTTCAGGACGATCCCTGGGTTTCAGAGTCTGATTCAGAAGGAGTGGGTCATGGCAGGATACCAGTTCCTGGACAGATGCAACCACTTGAAGAGGTCGGAGAAGGAGGTAATCCACCTTCGGGGCTGGCGCCGGTCCGGGTGCAGAGCGCAGCCCTCGGGGCTTTCAGTGCTGCACTCAGTACAGTGTAGCCCTTGATCCAGGGCCGCTGACTGGATGAGAGCCCAGGTGGTGATGCATTGATGAAGGTGATGTCGCCATCTAGGTAAAATCTAAAGAGGTGTCTGTTCAGTCTCTCTAAGGTCAGAACTTCTTGAAGAAATGTGTTAAACTCTTCTTCAAAGTAGATAATGAGCATGTTAGATATTTTGAAAATGCTGTTTTGAAATATCACATTTTCTTACAAGGGAGCACCTGTGTTAAGAATGGTACATTTGCCCTGGCCGGTTTGGCTCAGTAGTTAGAGCATTAGACTGCAGACCAGAGTCCTGGGTTTGGTTTCCGCTGGGGGCACGTACCTCGGTTGCAGTTTGTCCCCAGCCCTGGTTGGGGTTGTGTGGGTCACAACCACTTGATATGTCTCTCTCACATCGATGTTTCTCTCTCTCTCTCTTTCTCCCCCCTCCCCTCACTCCCACTCTATCTGAAGATAAATGCAAAAATGTCCTCGGGTGAGGATTAAAAAAACAGCCCTGGCCGGTTTGGCTCAGCGGTTTGAGCGTCAGCCCACGGACAGATGAGTCGTGGGGTTCAATTCCGGCCGAGGGCACTTGCCTTGGTTGCAATTTGTCCCCAGCCCTGGTGGGGTCATGCGGGAGGCAACCAGTCGGTGTGGCTCTATCACATCGATGTTTCTCTCTGTTCCTCTCTCCTACTCTATCTGATAATAAGTAGAAAAGTATCCTCAGGTGAGGTATTAAATAAAAAAGAATGGGACAGTTATCGCAGACTCACTCTGCACCCGGCTGCAGTCCCAGGCGGGTGCTTTTTTCGTCTGCCACAGAAACATTCCAGGGTCCTGTGACTACCTTGACGTGTCAGGGGTGATGCAGCTGCCCAGGGACATGGTTAAAAAAAAATGAAAGGGAAGTTTGAAGGGACAGGCTTGTAACAGCTGGGGTGGAGGGGGCGGGGGCTGCCTTGGGTGCCAGCTGAGCTGCGAAGGGTCCTGCAAAGGTCTTGCTGCCGGGGTTGTTTCAGAGAGCCGGCCGGCACTGTACTGTCCCGTGTTTGGTGACAAGCTGTGTGCTCCGAGGAAACCTTCACTTTCACATCATAGGGCTCCTTGGGATGCACCGGGCAATCCCGGTAGCTATCGGCTTGCTGTGCTTGGGGACGCGGCCTGGGACCTGGAGGCCGATGGTGCCAGCTGTTCTCTGAGACTCCAGGAGCTTCCGGAAGCTGAGCCTGCAGGGTCAATCAGAAGTTGACTTTTGGTTTTGGGTGGTTTTTTATGTCCTAAAGAACTGTTTGCAGGCAAAGCTTAAATAATATTTCTCTGTTCCCCATCCATGCAGTGACACATTACCCGTCTGTGTACTTCTCAACTTTGCACACTTGTCAGGCAGTAAGGGCTGTGCAGTAGGTGTGATGTGCACTACGTTACATCCACTCACGCAGCCTCAGCTCGCCTAGGGGCCAAGTGCTTTCGGCTTGTGTCTCGTTAGTAATTTCTTCCTTGTGTCAGTGATAAATTTGGAGGTAAATGTGTAAAAGGAAGCACACACTAAATAATCCCGTCCTGGTTTGTCCTTGCCAGTCTCCATTGTTCTTGCTGTTCCTGGACGCCACGTGGCAGCTGCTGGAGCAGTACCCAGCCGCCTTCGAGTTCTCCGAGACCTACTTGGCTGTGCTGGGCGACAGCACCCACATCTCCCTGTTCGGCACCTTCCTGTTCAACTCCCCGCACCAGCGGGTGAAGCAGAGCACGGTAAGCGGCGTGGCCACTGCACTTGGTTTCTGCCGCGTTGTTGAGATGGAAAGGAAGGGTAGTTAGCTGCGTATTTAAAATACATGATTTAAAATGATTTTAGCTACTATTTTAAGCCATAATGAATGAGTATTCTGAGTGAATTATCTAAAGACATAAAAACCTATGAACTTGTTTCTTTTTACTTTTTTTATTGATTATTTTGAGAGAGAGAGAAACATCGATCTGAGAGAGAAGCGTTGATCAGCTGCCTCCTACACACCCTCTGCCTGGTGTAAATTATTTAACCACCTTTAATGTTGTGCTCTGTGTTTATGTTTTCACATTTGGGTTGTCCAGTGGGTAATCCAAGAGATCCTGTTTGGGGACATTTACTTTTAAGTCCAAAGGATAAAAGTTGTGCAGAGTAAGGTCACGTTCTTAAGAGCTGTTTGGAGAGGGAGTTTCGGAGATGCAGCGTGGCGTGGTGCTAGACTGACAGCCAGTGGGGCTGGAGGCCGGCTCCTGTGGTCTTCATGGTCTCGGCCAGATACGAGGACCCCGGGGAGTGGTTCCTTCTTCCCTGCTTCTGGGCTGGGGTTCAGATATTGTGTCACTAGATGGGTGGCGTGTGGCTCTCCACTCAGACAGGTGGTGCAGGGTGGACGGCAGTGACTCCCTCCACAGGCAGTCCCATGCCTGACACGTCGTTGCATAAATGTGTGATCATGGGCTTAACTAGTAAGATGCTGCAATTGCAAAATAACTCAGACGTCCGTGGTATCACGTGTGATATCTGACTTCCCAAAATAACGTCCTCATGGCCCTGATGGTCCAGCTTCCTTCTGTCTTCAGGAAGAAAAGGCGCTTGCTCACGCAGGGTGTGACGTGTCCTCGGGCCTGAGGTGCTACAAAAGTCTCTGCTCTGGAGGAAGACCTGTCGTTCTTGTGAGCTGGAGCAGCTCTTGTCCTGAAAATGTTACTTGTGTGGTGTGAGCGGCCCATCCAAACACAGAAATCCACGTGAGAACATCTTCACTTTGACATCTCTTTACAAAGGTTCACACATTTTGTTTTGCAGGAATTTGCTATAAGCAGGAATATCCAGTTGGGTGATGAAAAGGGTTTAAAGTTCCCCTCAGTTTGGGACTGGTCTCTGCAGTTCACAGCGAAGGATCGCACCCTCTTCCTCAACCCCTCGTACGTCGGGAAGAGCACGCCCTGCATGCAGAACGGCGCTGTGAAGTCCTTCAGACGGACAAAGGTAAATGGCCAGGCGCTCCCTGGAAACCCCTGCTGTTTGCTCATGTACCCAGAAGTCCCTTCCCATGGCGGGACTGCCCATTTTGAGGGACATGTACCTTTTATCTGACTTGGCTATAGTCTGGTTTTTCATCTTGGTGCCTGGGGCCCACAAAGCCCTGGGCAGCATCTGAGAGTCAGCAGATCACAGCTCTGGGCCTGAGGCCCCGTTCTTGAGACCCCTGAACTCTGCCTATTACTCTTTCCAACATCGACCAGGTTAGCCTTTTCCCTAAGCCAGAAATCCCCATGCAGGCGGGGTGGAGCCACGGCCTGGAAAAGCTCAGCTCCGTGGAGAAGTGTTGGAATAAGCAGGACAAGGGAAGAAACGGTGTTCTTTTAGGCCGGAACTACCCCAGTTTCTTGTCACTCAGAGTTTATATTTGCCATTGCACCTTTGCTGACTTTCTAAAAAGGGAAGCCCCGGGACAGTAACACGCACCTCTCTCTCTCGCACAGAAAAACTACAGCTCCACACTGAGGCGCATGCCGGCTGCCTTCAAGAACGGAGTCATTGACCGAGAAATCCTCCCTCGGAGAAACTCGTTCACGGCACAGGCAAAGCCAGACCCTCTTCCGCAAGCCGACAGCCAGGACGGCGGCATGGAGCGGTTCTTCCGAGAGTGGTTTTCCAAGCCGGCCGACCTGCACGGCGTTCTGCTGCCCCATGTGTCTGGAACGCACATAAAGCTCTGGAAACTGTGCTACTTCCGCTGGGTCCCCGAGGCCCAGATCAACCGCGGGGGCTCCATCACCGCCTTTCACAAGCTCTCGCTGCTGGCCGACGAGGTGGACGTGCTCAGCAGGACGCTTCGGCAGCACCGGGCCGGCCCTCTGGAGGCCTGCTACGCGGAGCTGGACCAGAGCAGGATGTACTTCCGAGCCAGCGGCCCCCACGACACCTCGGGGACACCAGACTATCTCTCCTCCTCATTTCCCTTCTCCCCTGTCGGCAATCTATGCAGACGGAGCATTTCAGGAACACCACTGAGCAAATTTTTAAGTGGGGCCAAAATATGGTTATCTACTGAGACACTAGCAAACGAAGACTGAAATGGAGTGTTTTCTGAACATTTTGAAGGAGCTAGAGACTTTTTTCTCTGAACTAAACTTGCTAACCTAGGCATTTGAAGCTCTAGTAATTTTATACATAAGAATAACTGTTGAGATTTGCACTAATGTTTAAAAATGTGTTGAATTCTGCTCCCTTCACTATTTTTAGAAGATAGCCATACATTTTGGTTTTGATGCCCTTTTCTGTCATTCTGCGTTGGGCCATTTCTCAGTGATTTGCAAGCAGACATTCCTACACTCTTATCACTGTGACCTCGTGTGAGCAACCCAAAGCAGCTCACCAGGAGAGGGAAGAAATTCGTGTTCGGCATATTTTCCAGAAGCTTCTGCTTTCTGTTGTGCCGATCACACTCACCCGAGGGGTCCGTGTCCCCGCCAGGACTCCCTTCACGTCACTCTGTCCGGGACTAGATCCCTATGTCTTCAAAGCCTGAATTTGCTCTTAACTTCTTAGGACTAACTTTAAAATGTTACGCACTGTTAACTTTAAAAGCATTTGCTATAGAGAATATAATTCAACTTAGAAGTGCCTTTGACATTAATATTAAGGTATGAATAATACAGCTAAATATAATTTGTTTTTGAAATTACGGAGTTAAAATCCCACTGCAGATTGGAAACAGGCTTTTCCCACTAACCAATTGGCAGGAGTTCCCCAAACTACGTCTTCATCCGTCTGTCCAGGCCTCAGGTGGGGGGCAGAGCCCACCCCCAGGACGAGGGCTTTCCCCTCAATATTTCCAACGGTGTCGAATCGACTTGTTGACACTTTCTCTGGTATTAAATAACTAATGAGGTCATGAGTCAGGTCACCTGCACAGAAGTCCCTCCTCCTCAGACAGTGTTCTTAAGATGCTGAGGAGAGAACAAGCGAAATAAAAATGTCTCCTCAAAATCCTGCCATTTTTAATAAATAGCAAGAGAACACCGCCCCCCCCCCACTCCCCCCAACCCTGACAGCGGTGTGGGAGACATGGAGGTGTCTTCCCGGCCCAGCACTCCGGTGTTCGCACGCCACAGCCGGGGCCACGCTGCGGTCAGAGCTCCGTTCACAACGCCCCACACACAGGTCCCGTTTCCTGCTTAACAGACGAATGTTTTCAAATTTGGCTGTTACTCCACTTTATCTTAAACTCCAACCTAAGTTTTAAAAAGATTCTATAGTACAGTGTCTAGATTATTTTTTCTAAAACAAGCTTTCTCAGAAATAGGGTCTACCTTTCCATGTAATGAATAGCTGTTTCTACTTGAATTATTTGCCTTTTAAAAACTGTGTGGTAACGTCTGTGGGCTCAAAGGGACAGAAGTTCCTATATGGTGTCTTAGAACACATCTTGTGGATAAAACCAGTGTTTCTGCCAACTTGTTGCCTAGAAAATACGGGCTCTTTTGTTTATATGATAGCATTGTTGCTGTTAAACATTTTATAGTCCTCTTTGGAAAACTGTCCGATCCCCCTAAAACTCCACAGCCGATGTTGTGCCATTGGAAGAGTGCTAATTAATTACCCCCTTTTCACTAAGCTGCTTTTTTAATTATTACAGATTTTCTAAATTTGATGCATTTAGAGAGGGTGGTGCATTCATTTCTAATTTTATTCCATTCACACATCTATTTCAACTCCTTTGGTAGTATTTTGATTTACAAGTTTGAGAACAATTAGGTACTATTAATACTGTTTTCAAACAGGAAACGTGTATTTTTGTATGATAATCAAATGCAGTGAGCTGTGGTTTTTTGTTGTTTTGCTGGGTAGTTGTTGTATCATGATTATTGTGCCGCAACTTACTGTGCATAATATGAAGAACAGCTGTGCCAGCCTAAGTCCCGGCACCTCTGGGATATGACGGGGGTGGTGACCGGTGCCTAGGGGGTTTGTACCAGAGAGCTTCACGCTCGGTTCCACAGCCCTGCACCAGGGCCAGACCGCCTGGACTTTCTAGTACTGAATCAGAGATGTACCATGTCTTCCTGTTATTTTATGATGGAAACCAATTTTAAAACCAAAAACGTCTAACTTTATTTAAGAGAAGTATATTAATTTGTGCTAACAGAGGGTGAACACTAGTCAACACACCCTCAGCGGTCGGCCTGCTGTGGCAGTCACTCAGGCAGTTAAAACTGGACTAGGAGAGAAAACAAACCTTTGTGCCTAAAACTGAATGGCTTGAGTTGAAGTAGCAGGAAGACAGGTCTTGCTCAACAGGAACAAATGTGAAGGACATTCTGACTGCTAAATAAACTCCTCGGAACTGCTGGTTGTTGTGATCCGTGTGAAATCCTCTACGAGAATAGTGATCGGGAAGTGAAGGCATTTCCTTCCAGCTATCTGTGTGTTGTGATCCACTCAGCATTTCTGCTTCGAAAACAGCAGTGATCTGACATTTCTAACAGCACTGCAGAACGGGCTGTCACTAAGGCCTAACTTGTCATTCCATATTGTAATAAAAAGCTGTCAGTAACATTTCTACAGGCCCAGACCTATTCGGGAGACTGGGAGCCCAGGCCCTGACTCCTGGGCCTTCCTCACACCTTGTCCAGCCTAAGGCTTCCAACAGGTGATGAGCAGCCCTGTTTCAATTGATTCTGTTGACTAGAAAATTCTCTCTAGTCATTAGGGATGTTCCCGAGAAGGATGAAAAGGGACAGTTGCCTTTGATAAAGGCTGTTCACTCCTTTGGTGACAGGCCCGATTAATAAGGGAAAACATTGACTGATGGAATAAGGAACTTCCTAAGAATTTAATTTTTAATTCCCAAAGAAATCAGAATTTCAACCACTTACACCCTTGGGTAATCACAGAGCAAGAAAGCAACATTGTGCTTGCTGCTTCCATACAAGCTGTGAGCCGTCCCGTTGGTTGGGGCTTTTTCAGCGAGTCTAATAACAGATGTCTCCACCTGCTGTGTGGAATGAGTGTTTTCAAGCCAATACCAAGTTCGCGCTCAGGTTTATTACTGGCAGTAACAAAGTCAGAATTCAATGTAGTTAAACGCTTATGCTTTTGAAAACGTTGGCTCCGTGTGTGACCACGTGCTCCCAGTTCCATGGCTCTTAGGTAAGGCCTCTGCTCTTAGCTCCGACGGCAACCACGTGGCAGACCTCGACGTCAGCCCCCAGCTTCTGCAGCTCGTCCAGCCAGATCATCTGCTTATGGGAAAGGCGGTCACTGGGGCCCTTGACTTCCACCAGCTGGAAGAGCAGTTTCCGAATATTAACATCATACAGAAATGGAACGGCCATTCCCATAAGCTAGAGTAGTTCTCACTAGTCCTTTAAACAGTTCCTCCTACTACACCACTGTCAACATTTAAAACTTCTCCTCTTAAAAACAGACTATTAAGCCACAGACTGGGATGAAACATATCTCATAAAGGACTTATATGAAATATGGATGACTCTAGGGATTCAATCTTGCCAACAAGCAGGCAAGAAATGGCCAGACAAGGCCTTGGATGAAGTTGCTAATCGAATTACAAATAGGATTTTCCATTCTGGCTCAGCCGACCTTGCAGCGATGATTCTGGGAGTTCCACACCACCAGGTCAGGGAGGCCTCCTCGGCAGTGTCGAAAGTCTGCAGCCAGGCGCCGGCACACCCCACTGAGGACAGGGCCCCCCAAGCAGGAAACCAGGTCCTGAGCACAAAATACAGGGGTGATCAGCCACTCCCTGGCGACCGAGAAATACTCCCAGTGATCATGAGACGGGGAAGACTCGAATCCCACAGGCGTGGTCCACCGGCACCACTGTGCTGGGCTCCAGAACCACGGGCAGCTCTGCTGAGTCCGTTTTCCTTTGTCTCCTATCACACTTCTGCCCAGCGGGAGCGTCCTGGGAGCAGGGGAGGGAGATGTGGAACGGGACTGACAGAGGCCAGCAGCCACAGGGACAGGGAGAGCGTCCTCACTGCCGGGCCATAGGGCAGGCAAAGGGAAGCTGTCGACCAAGGCGGGAGAAGGCATAACGGGCTTGTATGGCCTGACGTGTTCCTGTCGATAACTGTGGCATCTGGGCTGGGATACCGTCATATACGCACATGTACACCACACAGCATATACATATGCATCCTTGGATACACAGATGCGTGCATGCATGCAAACACATATACACATCCGAGTGTATGTCCTACGGGCAGATTTTCACCTGAGCTTGCTGAAGAGAAGCGAAGCGATCCCAGCTGACGACAGAAGCCGCTGTGCCTTCCTGAGCCTGCCACGTGGCTGCCACCCGGGCTCGCAGGTGCTCGGCGGGGGCGGCGTGGATCAGCTGCAGCCTGGCCTCGATGGCTGGCTCCCTGCTGGTGAAGAAACTGTCCGTCCACAAGTCCAGCGGAAATGCCTGGCGAGAACCAATTCATCAGACTGCACGCCTGCAAAATTTGGAGACTGGCCCATCTGGTTCAACTGGCCCATTTCTTTTTCTCAAGAGGTACGTAAAAATATCTACTCTAACACAAAAGCAATGCGTTACACTGGTTTTCAGAGTAATGATGTGGGGGGAGCTTTTGGGGGACTCAGTGGAACAGGTAGGCACTAGTGAGCGCACCGGTGACGGCACCTGGCATGCACCTGGCCCGACAGGTGCTCCAGAAAGGCTGAAGCTGCAGGTACACGCATTTCTAATGGAACACTGAGAGCAAGTTCGGCTTCAAGTTTCAAACTTCACAGTGGAGTCATCACCATGACAAAAGGCTGCAGGCATGGCCCAGGTGGGCGTGAACCACGGACGTGCAGAAGTGTCTGTTCACCTAAAGAGCACCCGCCTGGGACCTCGGAACGTGGCTGGTTACCTGGTAGGCATTTCTGAAGACGTCTGGTATCCCGTCCATGAAGATGATGTCCCACAGGAGGAGGCCGTACAGTGTGATAAAGGTGGACCCTTCCCCATGGATCCCTTGAGGCAAAGGCACACACACAGAAACATCGGTCTTTTCCTTTTGCTAAAAAACCACCACGTGACCTGCCTACTTGATTTGAAGGAAATCACAGATCTATTTTGGATTCAAATGCCACTGGCGTGCGGTTCCTAGCTCACTCTTGGTACTGCTCGGCTCGTCGACAGGAGCCAAGGCCAGCGTCCGTAACCGTGGGAGAATCCACATGCGCATTACAGAGCCATAAAGCAGCAGTCCTCCGAGTTGAGTGGAAAACCTACGGGACGTGTTTAAAAGGAAAGGAAAGAAGCCCCCCCAGGCTCTGGCGCAGGGCCCTCGGTGCCACCAGAAGGAAGGCTTGTGGCCGCGCGGGGCGTCTCCACCCACCTCCCTGCCCAGCGTCTGGACAAGCCAGTGCTTCTGAGGCTCAGGGCTTTCACGGAACCTCCCGCTCAGACACGCGGCTCAGACACGCGGTTCCGACCGCACAGCGTCAGGGACGTGCCCCAGCCTGCGTTTCCATCGAAGGCGCCACCACTGTGCTGTGGGGACCCTCGGGCCCACCAGGCCAGGTGCCGAGGAGGAGCGGGGTGATCGCCACCCACAAGAGAAGCCCTGCTTGTCCCTGACTTGTATTCTTCCTGCTCATCCAGGATGGAGAGAGCTCGTTCTAGAAGGAATTCTAATCGCTGCTCTCCCCAGCGCCTTCCCCGGCCCCCTGCCCCGGCTGAGGCTGCGCACTGCCGGCAGAGGCGTCCTGGCCCGGCCGCCAACTCCAGCAGGTCGGCCGCCTGCCCTGCCGTGTCCTCCCCACGCACAGGAGCGACCTGGAGCGAAGCCCGTGGCCCCGTCCTCGCAGGCGCTCGGTGGTCGCAACCTTCCTGGTGCCGCGACCCTTTAACACAGTTCCTCTGTTGTGGGTGACCCCCAACCATAAAATTATTTTCGTTGCTACTTCATAACTGTAATTTTGCTACTGTTATGTCTTAGGCGACCCCTGTGAAAGGGTCGTTTGATCCCCAAAGGGGTCGCGACCCACAGAGTGAGAACCGCTGCAGGTGGGGGCACAGGGCGAAGGGAAGGAGATGCCTTTAGCAGCACAGCCAGTCAGATTCTCCCCCCTCCCTGGGAGCCAGCAGCCGACGACAGCACAGGTGCCCGGGGCCAGGGGAGATGCCGGGCGGCGGTTACCTTGGTCGAAGCCGCTGCGTCGGTAATGGGCCAGCGCCAGCTCCTCCACGGAGCACAGGACGGTGGTGGGGGCGGCGGCTCCCTCGGCCTCCAGCACAAACACGGACTTGCCCATCCCGTGCTGCGGGCACAGCCGACCCGTGATGGTCACCTGAGAGGGCGGAGGAGAAGGTCCTCGAGCTCACCTCAGCGCCGTGCCAGCCTGACTTCCCCGAGGACACTGTCCTCCACGCCCCCAAGCCACCGTGCGTAGCACACCTGAGGCCGTGGGACCCGCACCGTGGCCCCTTGGGGACGCAGACAGGTCACACCTTGGCCAGGGAGCACAGGGATTCTGCAGCTGCTTGCCAGGCACCCGGCCAGGAAGGCGAAACTGGCAAAGGCTGAGCCGCTGGCTCGGATTCCCAGGAAGTCGCTCAGCCTGAGCCCGCCCGCCCCAGGGGGAAGGAATGAGACGCAGCAGCGGCCACGCCGCGTCCAGTGAGCCAGAGCTCCCCAAGTCGGAGAGGACGTGACAGCACAGGTCACGGGCTGCACCCACTCAGGAAACCCCCACGGCACGGACTCACGTGCTTCACGTCGCGCACGGTGACCTCCGACAGCTGACGGAAGAGGTGTCCGAGTCCCCGGCAGCGGGGGGACGCTCTGAGGCGCAGCGCCCTCTGATACAGGGACAGGCGGTGGCCCGTCCGCACGGCGGGGTCCGCCAGCCCCTCTGCGATGCACCTGACGGCCTGCCGAGAGCAAGTCCGCGTCAGGGCCGGAGCCCGGCCGCAGCACTGACCTCCTGGCACAGAAACCCCCGCTGGCCAGGGAGTCGGTTCTTCTAACTGGCAATGGACCAAGCGGCCCTCGGAGAGAGAACGAATATCCCGAGATGTCAGCCCAGTGCTCCGAGCGGGCAGGTGACTGGTCCGACTGCAGACGTCAGCAGCACCGGGGCGCTCCTGCCTCGCCCTCCCAGGGAGAGCTCCGCTCCACACCCTCGGGGGGACAAGGGGGTGCAGGGCGCCCTGGATGGTGGGCCACCGGACGGCAGAGGAGGCCCGGCTCGGCGTTCTCGGCCTCGCCGGGGAGAGGACAGGTGTTCCTGCCCGAGCCACGGGCGAGCCCTCCAGCCAGGCCAGGCTCCAGGGGCGTCTCCCAGGGCTGCCCAGACTCCCACCCATCAGAGAAGACACTTAGGTTTGGAAGCGTGAAAGTGAAGTTATTCAGACTTGGACAAATAAACAGAAATACTGAGAACCACAACAGGTTACACATCACACCCGACGGGATGACTCTCATCAGAAAACAAACTCGTGCGTGTTTGGGAAAAGGGGGGCAAACCGGAGCCCTCGTGCATCGCTGGCAGAAAGTGAAAACAACCCAAACGTGCGAAGTTTGGCACGAAAGCGAAACAAGACTCCATGTGCCCAGAGAACCAAGCGTGCACGCCCGCGTCCAGTGGTGCGGTTTGCAGCTGCCGCAGGCGGACACCAGGTGTCCCCCAGCCGGTGGACAAGAGGGGCTCTGTCCCTGTGAAGGAGGGTCCCTCAGCCTTGCGGGGGAGGAGCTGTGGCACACGCTGCCCAGGGACGAGCGCAGGTCGCTGCCGAGCGACGCAAGCCAGCCACCAGAGGACGAGCTGTCTCACTCACGGACACGACGCGTCCGGGACAGGCGAACTGACAGGCAGAGGTCAGCTCAGAGGTCACTGCCAACCCTGCTCCCCGAACTGTCCTGCTCGGGTTCCAACCTTGGTATTTCTTTCAGGGTTGGGAGAACATGGACAGAAGAAGGTTAAAAAAATAAATGTCCGAGCCCTGGCCGGTTTGGCTCAGCGGTTGGCGCGTTGGCCTGTGGACCAGAGTCCCAGGTTCAGTTCCCGCTAAGGGCACGTACAAAAAATAATAATAATAAAAATAAAAAAAAAATGTCCTGATTACATTTTACTGTAATGAAAGCTGTTTAAGGTGTTAGTGGTCTGCTATACTTTTAAGCGTATGAACACGTCAGCGAGAACGCTCAGGCCATCGAGAACTGCGTACCAGTTCGGGGCGTTTCAGGTGCTGGTGCAGGTTGAGAGCCAGCCGGTCCCACCACCGGCCTCTGCTGTCAGGACAGTAGGTTTTCTGGGACAAGAGGTCCTCGAGGTCCTTGACGGCTTCCTGTCGCAACAACAAAGGCAGCTCGTTAGGCTCCTGCACCAAACACAGGCGGGATGGGCCGTGTACGCGCAGAGCCTAGCTCCCCTCCGCAGGGAGGCCCAGGACGTGCCTGGAGGGCCCGCGCGCCACGGCCTCGGGCCGCACTGCAGACGTCTCGCAGACCAGGCACCGGCGCAGGGCCACGGGGGACCCGGTTCTAGGCGGAGTCGGGGCTGCAAACCCACCCGATTCCGGGAACCCAGTGGGTCACAGGGCCCCCGCTGGGAGGAATTTGGGGCAGGCAGGACACCTTAACAGGGAGCTTTCTGGTCTAGATTTATACAGATTGGGGAGTCATTCCTTTTCTTAATCGTTTGTGGTTCACGGCTCTCTCTGAAACATCTCATGACTCTTAGAAAAACACACAGTTGTGGGGTCCACAGAATCCCTGAAACCCATCCCACGGACCCAGGTCAAGAAACCAGCTTTGGCATAATCTCTGTAAAATACAACTTTCCAACACAGAATGTCAAACGTAACAGAAGTTAACTCCAGCAACCTCCCAGTGTTTGTATAAGAAAGGACCAAACTTCGGACTTTCGTTACAATTTATTTTCCGACGGTCCACAACGGCGTCAGGGAAGCACGACAGAGACCTTGGAGACCTCCCCAGTGCCACACGGCATTCGGGAGACGCTCAGCTGCAGAGACTGTCCGGGCCCTGCAGGGCCCTGTCTGTGGCCCTCAGGCCATATTGGTGGACACTCCTCGACTATCCAGCCACGTCCCTACTGACCAGGAGACAGCGGGCTGGCCAACCCTCCACAGCTCACCGCTGACACGTCCCCAAAAGCCGGGCGAAGTCTGTGCTCTCACCTCATACATGTGAAGTCGCTGCAAGATTTCGACGGCCCGAGACAGAATCCGCGTATAGACCCACCCGACGGTGAAGCGCCGGAGAAAGAGGGGCAAGTCCTCGTGGGGCCTGGAACAGACACGGTCACTCGGTTTACTTGCTGTGAGTCATAAGCTGACAAAGCAGACTGAGCGCCCACCTTTGGGAAACAGGCCTATTCTCAGTACTGTCAACTGTGTACCACTTTCCACACCCGGATCTACACGCTCACGGGGGCCACCCTCCCCTGGGTCACTTAGCGGAGCACAATGGGAACCAAGGGCCCTCAGGCCAAACCCAGGACCGGCCACCGGCCTTTGTACGTTCTGCAAACTGATCATGGTTTTCACACCTTTAAATGGTTCAAATAGCCCAGCTGGTGTGGCTCAGTGGTTGAGCATTGACCAAGCACCAAGAGGTCACCGGTTCCCAGTCAGGGCACATGCCCAGGTTGTGGGCCCGACCCCCAGTGGGGGACACGCAGGAGGCGGCCAATCGATGTTCTCTCTCATCGATGTTTCTATCTCTCTCCCCTTCACCCTTCCTCTCTCTCTCTAAAAAAAAAATCAATAAAGAAAAAATAATTTTAATGGTTCCTATAAGTCAAATGGAGCATGACAGCCTGTGGCATGTGAAGCGAGAGGAAGCTCGCGTTTCCGTGCCCGTAGGAGGGCTGCTGGAGCAGGGCCGCTCCTCATCCTCATCCGTGCTCCGCCCGTGGCTGCTCTCACCGGTGGCTGGGCCAGCGGGACCCGAAATAGCGACCCCCCAGCTTTTCCCAGAAGAGGGCTCCCAGCCTCTGTGCTTCAGCAACCGAACCCTCTGGCTCTGATGTCTTTTCCTTTTTTTTCAGTCCTCACCCAAAGATATTTTTCCATTTATCTTAAGATAGAATGGGAGGGAGGGAAAAACATCGACATGAGAGGGACACGTCGACTGGCTGCCTCCTGCATGACCTTGACCAGGGCCAGGGACAAACCGCAACCGAAGTACGTGCCCTTGACCAGAACCAAACCCGGGACTCTCTGGTTCTCGCTCTAACCACTAGGCCACACCAGCCAGGCTTCCTTTTTTAATGGTGAAAGTCATCTGTTAACTTTTCTTAACCTTTTGTTTTGCTGTCTGGTCTGAGAAACGTTAACGCACCTACCACAATTATATTTAATAATGCTACTTTTTCTCATCACTCTAAGAATGAAGGAGAAGTGTCTTAAACACGAAATACATTTAACGTTTATCCAACAAAACAAACGAAGGACCACGCGCTGTGCCCTTGAACTCCGCAGGTAATCATTCAGTTCCGTTCCTTTTTGAGAAGAACACCTCTGTCTGAAGTTCCCTGAGAGAACACGTCTGGCTGCTGTGGGTCCCCCCGGGTGGAATTCAGCTGAGCGACACTCCCAGAAGCCAGCACCCGCAGGTGCCACGACAGCCCACCACTGCTCCCACGGACGCTGCACGGGCTCCGCCCCACGCACAGCCCCGCCCCCAGACGCCTCCTCTGTCCCACGGCACTTCCGTCTGTGCGAGCTCCACGGCAGCTCTGACCACGGGACCAAAGAGGAAAGTTCTTCGTGAAGAAAATGACCCAGTGGTTGGAACGACTTGGTCGGGAAGGAAATTTGGACAGGTACTTAAAAAACAACAATCAGCCCTGGCTGGTTTGGCTCAGCGGTTGGAGCGTCGGCCTGCGGTCCAGACAGACCCGGGTTCGGTTCCCGCTAAGGGCACGTACCTTGGTTGCAGTTTGTCCCCGGCCCTGGTTGGTCGTGCAGGTGGCAGCCGCTCGATGTGTCCCTTCACATCGATGTTTCTCTCTCTCTCTCTCTTCCTCTCTCTCCCTCCCGCTCTATCTATCTGAACAAAAAAATGGAAAAATGTCCTCGGGTGAGGATAAAAAACAAACAAACAAACAAAAAAAACAATCACAGCTCACCTCAGGGAAGGGTGGTGTTTCAGCTCATTCCACTCCTTCCTGGCGCGTTGGGAGAGCTCATAGGCTTCTTTCCAGTCCCCACTGGCCATGGCGGTGGAGATGTCACTCAGCATGTGGGCGGCAGCTGCATACCTGGGGAGGGTCCACGTTTCAGGTGTGAATGAGCACCTACAGGGAACGTCCTGCCTCCCACTGCACCTAACTCAGAAGGGAAAAAGCCAGCTTTTGAAAAAATTTAAATGATCTCAGTCTTTTTCTAGTAATAACTGAACCTGTGACTTCACTCAGGTGGCCTAGAAGAACGAGTCCAGGCTACTCGACTGAAGGACAAAAGCATTCACATTGCACTGCGACATGACCTGTTCCAGGCACAACTGTGACGCTGATCAGCTTCCCGGTGCTCAGAGCACACTCAGTGTGCTCACCAGGTCCCCGAGGCCAAGCACCCCAGCCCCGCAGTCCCGTGGAACTTCCCACAGAGACCTCCCGAGCTTCCGGCTCCGCCAGCTGTCCCCGTTCTCAGGGCCTGTGCAGACGCTCCTCACGCTGCCTGGAGACGGGCACCCAGACCCTGCACGACCAGCTCCTACTCTCAGGCCTCAGCCCCGATGCCACCTCCGCAGGGATGCGGCCTGCCTGAGGCTCGGTCAACAAGGCCGAGCCTCCCCGCCTGCCCGTGATCATCCTGCACCAACACTGCTCTGAGTCAGCTATTTCAATACCTTACACGCGGGACAACATTCAACGACTTTCCTGATATCAGATACCAGAATCAAGTTCCGTTCATTTGAATCATCAGTCATCCTTAAATTGAGAATCAGGAGTGACATTTTAGGAAATCCAAATTTATTTTTCTTTTAAATGGTGTGTTTTCAGGAAATGCAAGTTTTTTTCCCCCTTGTAATACCTATAGAATTTTATTTTTTAAATGTTTTTATTGATTTCTTAGAGAGAAAGGGAGATAGAAACATGGATGAGAACATTGATTGGCCGCCTCCTGCACGCCCCCTGCTGGGGATCAAGCCCACAACCCGGGCATGTGCCCTGACCAGGAACTGAACCGGGACCTCTCAGTCTATGGGACGATGCTCAATCCACTGAGACCAGTGGGTTAGGCTACCTATACAATTTTAACTGAAACCTATTTTTGCCAGTCAAACCAGTCACTAAATCCAGTGAGCAGACCCGTGAAAGTGCCTAAGCTACCACGCACTTGAGTCTGAAGCGTGATCACTGGGAAAACACGCACCAGCCTCGGTGGGGCCAACACCAGGGCCGCGAGGCAGTCTGTTCAGGGTCTGCACTGTAGAAAAGGCTCCCGGCCAGGGTACTTGGGAACACTAGCCGGGCAGGGTTGGAGCTCTAACCCAAACCTCACTGGTCCTGGCAACTGAAACCGAAGCTCCTTTCTGCATTGTCCTTGGAGTGTTAGACATGTACACACGTGAGGCAGAAAGACAACGAAAACCAAGCACACACGACACTGCCCTGCGAACGTGAGCTCCTGCTCTAGCTGGGAGTGACGAGAGCGTGTACGCGAGTTGGGAACACACAGCCGAGACGGCAGCCCGTGCGGTCTGACCTGAGGAGGTCCTCCCTGTCCTGGAAGATGCGGGTTTCCCGGCGCACGGTGTACTGAGGGAAGGCCACGCGGCCCAGGCTGACCAGCAGCACCGTCGCGAGCTGGCTCTGCCCCCCGCAGGCGGCTTCCTCCTCTTCCAGGGGTTCGGTCAAGTTAAAGAGCAGCAGGGCCCGGGAAAACACGGCCCGGGGGCCTTCACACACTCTCAGCGACGGGCCTGCCATGTCCTTGGCCCTGGGAAACAGACGGCACAGGAATAACCTTTCAGCATTTGGAGAGCAGATGTTACAAATTATTTCCAGACAAAACGAAGCTAAGGGGCCTGCGTTCGAAGCCCCAGGGAAATCTGCCCCTCCAGCGGCGCGACCCTGAGCATTTCTGTCTCAGCCTAGTCGCAAATGACACCAGCACTCCCAGGTCAGGGCCGTCACCGCCGCAGGCTAACAGGCTGTCAGCACTTTAACTGCTCGTTACTGTGCGGGAGCCAACAGCACCTTTTCAGAATCACGGCCCCGACGCCCGGCGGATTCCCGGCCCACGTGCAGACGGAAGGCTGTCTGGCCAGTCTGAGCAAGGCGTCCACCAGCTGCTGTTTCTGTCCGTTGGGGTTGGCCAAGTGGAAGGTCTTGGCCAAGGTTTTCAGCTCAGGAGCAGAAAGTAGTTCAAGCACTTCAGAGAGTTCTTGCAACTCAGATTCTGAAACAGGTTAAAAAAAAAGTTTTAAAGGATATGAGCATGGCCCGGCCAGTGTGGCTCAGTGGTTGGGTGTCGACCCCTGACCCAAGAGGTCACCAGGTCGATTCCCGGTCAGGGCACATGGCCAGGTTGTGGGCCCGATCCCCAGTGGGGGGCATGCAGGAGGCGGCCGATCGATGTTCTCTCTCATTGATGTTTCTCTCTCTCCCTCTCCCTTTCTCTCTAAAATCAATAAAGAAAAAAAATTAAAGAATACGAGCATGGCCCTGGCCGGTTCGGCTCAGTGGTTGGAGCGTTAGCCTGCGGTCCAGAGAGATCTGGGTTTGGTTCCCGCTGAGGGCACGTACCTCAGTTGCAGTTTGTCCCCGGCCCTGATTGGTCATGTGGGTGGTAGCTGCTCGATGTGTCCCTTTTACGTCGATATTTCTCTCTCTCTCTTCCTCCCTCTACCTCCCACTCTACTGAACAAAAAATGGAAAAATGTCCTCGGGTGAGGATTAAAAAAAAAAGAATACGAGCATGTTCTAGCTTTACTGACTCTCAGGAAGCTTGGTTAGATGCAAATGAGATGCAGTTCACTGTCGAAATGCCAGTTAGTTTGCCAAACCAGTTATCTAAGGATATGAAAAACAGACGACTCAGAGAAGTTATAACAGAACTTCTCACTAAAAGGAAAGGAAATCGGAATCCAATAAAGACACGTGGGCAGCCACGGTGGTTTGGGCAGCCTCCTTAAAACCTCACTGGTATATTCACTCTCTCGAATCACAAAACCTCCAACTGGACCTCTCTGGAACAGGTCAGAGCCAACCGACCATCAGCTGTCCTCTCTCCCAGTCCTCTGGCTGGGTGCTCTTCTTCAACATACGTGTAGATGGCATGTATTAGGGACCCAGACCCCATTCTGCACCCACAGATCCAGCTCAGTCAGACCCGCGGTCTCTGGCTGGAGCCACTCACAGCGAGGGCCACTGCCGTCTTCCTCCACCCAGCAGATACTGCCGGGGTGGCCCCTGCCTGCCAGGCAATGTGCTGTGGCCCTGGGGACACTACAACGAACCACCCAGTCCTGCCCACGGGGAGCGTACCTGCTAGCACAATAAATAAGCGATACATATATATGACAGGTGGTCGCCACGGCTACAAAGCAAAACAAACCCGAGTGAGGCAGAGTGAACAGGGCAGTGAGGCTGGACTTTAAACAGGTGGTCACGCAACTCTGAGGAGGTCACCCGGAGCGTAGCTGGGGGAAGTGAGGGTGATCACAGGAGTCCCGGCTGTGACAGGGAGGGCTGTGTGGCCAGAGCCAGAGCACAGGGCTGAGCGGATCCCAGGCAAGACTCGGGCTTGGCTGAGGGCAACAGTGAGCACTGGGGTCTGGCTGGCTGCCTAACGGTCATTTAACGGCAGCTCAAGGCTCCCGACGGCAGCCGCCTGGCACGCCCGTTGAAGGCGGAGGTTCAGGGGCCTGCACAGATCTGGGTGACATGGGGACCCAAGTCCCCAGGAGGCCCTCATGGCACTGGAAACACTGGTCCATGAGGGTGCCGGGTCCCACTGCCTGACTGCTCCCTCCCAACCAGGGCCTCCATGCCTCCCGTCGCCCCCGCCCCCACCCTACCCGGGACCCACCAGTCACCCCACCTCCTGTACTCACAGCAAAGACACCTGGCTTTGGCTTGATTTGCTTACTTCAGCCTAAACCTCCAGCATCTGGAACCCAAGACTTCCATCTATCCTTCTCCTGCCTAAGTTTCCAGGGCAACGCTGTGTGCAAGCAGGTGGGTACTTGATGCTGCTGCTAAGACATCCAAGGTGACCTGCTGTTCACATAGGCTTAGAGCAACCACACAGTTCCTGGGACAAGCGACTAGGAACTGCAAGCTGTGTGGGGGGAGGGGTGGATGACGTTTCCAGAGGCAATGTTAGCATCAGACAAACCAGCTTTGTTCTGTCCTGCTCTGAACTGGGGGAGAGCCGCATGTTCTCCCTGGACAGACACAGCAGGGGAGGGCTGAGTGGCTCCTGCTGCGACACACCCACAGACCTGTCCCTACGTGGCCGTGTGGTCCTGACCCTGTGACAGTCGAGACACCACCAACACACCCCCAGTATCCTGGCCGTCTTCACCCTAACGGAAGAATGGCTTTACCATCACTGTCCCAAGATGAGAAACAATGTAAAGTAACACCCAATGCCTGTTCACCAAGCAGCGACCGGGCGATGGCACCCTGCCACCATCACCACCGTTCGGCAGGTTCCTCGTGCCCGATGCCCACTTTCCGTTTCCTCTGGGGCACCGTACCTGTCTGCAGAAAGCCGGCCTGTTTCAGTTCTCCGACCACAGGGGTTAGGTCAGGGCCAATCTCTTCATACTCCAATTTGTGCGTCTTAATCCAGCCGAATTTACGTTGGAAAAGTCTCACATACAACTTCTGACCACTCTCTGCAATCGGGTTAAGAACAACGGGGAAATATTATCTTTCTTCTCCAAGTCAACGTGCAAACGTCGTTTAGTTTTTAAAACCGAGGTAACATGTACTCTATTAGGAACACGTGTATGCTTCTTCAGTATCTTGCAGGAAAACCTTCTCTTCCTGTGGAAGATGTAACTCATTTCACACAGCAAGTCGCCAGGGGACTGTCTCCTTGTCACGAAGGGCAGGAAGGGTGCCCAGATGGACAGCCCGTGGCCAGTTCTGCTACTTGTGAACTGGGTGAGAGTCACTCTTCCTTCCTACGACTTCATTTCCTCTTCTATAAAAGGAGGGGCGCCCAGCTGGTGTGGCTCAGTGGTTGAGCGTCGACCCAGGCACCAAGAGGTGGTGGGTTCGATTCCCGGTCAGGGCACATGCCCAGGTTATGGGCCCAATCCCCAGTGGAGGGCATGCAGGAGGCGGCCAGTGTTCTCTCTCATCGCTGTTTCTCAGTCTCCCTCCGCCTTCCTCTCTAAAATCAATAAAGAAAAAAATATTTTTTTAAAAAAGGAAGGGATGGCAGAAGGCAATAACACAATCTTCCTAAAGTTGAGGGAAGGATTACACAAGATGAGGTACTCAGTGATTGGTTATAAACCATTAAGAAAGTTCCAGTGTTGCCCTGGCCGGTTTAGCTCAGTGGTCAGAGCGTTGGCCTGTGGTCCAGAGACCCGGGTTCGGTTCCCGCTAAGGGCATGTACCTCGGTTGCAGTTTGTCCCTGACCCTGGTTGGTCGTGTGGGTGGCAGCCACTCGATGTGTCCCTTTCACGTCGATGTTTCTCTCTCTCTCTCCCTCCCACTCAATGTGAACAAAAAATGGAAAAAAATGTCCTCAGGTGAGGATAAAAAAAATAAGACAGTTCCAGTGTCGGTAATGATTACTGTTTCAAACTCCTAAGCACCGGGTTCCCATTTTCTACCTTCTCGTCCGGAGAAGCCCCACCCAGACTTCCAGCTGTTCTGTGCTCTGCTCTCAGTTTAACGTGCACCATCCCGCTTTGGGTTGAAAACCATTTCAACCAAAAGAATTTTCAAAAGTTGTCAAGCTTTGCTAGGGCAGCCTTCTCCCCCTGTGACCTCAGCCAAGCGGTTTCACCTGCTTGGTTTCACTTTCCGTGTTACCCAGACTGTCCCGCAATTTCTGCCAACTCTAACATGGTAAACTTATATTTTTAAATTTTTCAACATCTGTTTTTTTTCCTTTGAGGGGCAAAAGCAATTTGCAGTAGCTACTTTCACACAGAAGTTGTAAATGAGTCTCCGTGGACGCCAGGGTACACGAGGACACACAGAACTTGTCCTGGGGAAACTGGTCCTATTTTTCCATTAGATGGAAGTACAGCCACTAGTTGCTCTAACAGGGGTTTGCACGAATGCACCCAGCACCAAAGATGCGACCACAAGTCCATGCGGCATCGTGTCCACGGTCAGGTGAGAACAGCAGAAGTAGAGGCCGAAGCTGTGTGGATACTGATGGAGTTGTGCCCGCCCAGCGCTGCTCACGTGTTAAAAATAAAAATACAAGGAATTCTGCCCTGGCCCATTTGGCTCAGCGGTTAGAGCGTCGGCCTGCGGTCCAGAGAGACCCGGGTTCGGTTGCAGTTTGTCCCCGGCCCTGGTCGGTCGTGCGGGTGGCAGCCACTCGATGTGTCCCTTTCACGTCGATGTTTCTCTCTCTCTCTGTTCCTCTCTCTCCCTCCCACTCTACCTGAACAAAAAATGGAAAAATGTCCTTGGGTGAGGATAAAAAAAAATTAAAAAAAATAAATAATAAAAAATAAAAATAAAAATACAAGGAATTCTATAATCATTCCGCTCTGTGAATTTAAAATAAAAACCTTTCACTTAAACGTGAGTATTCATGTTCTGGATTTTTTAAAAATCTGCTGAGGAGTCCTATTACCCGAGGCCAGGGTGGCTCCGAGCAAACTTTTCCTGCCTGGGGAGGGATTCGGTTCCATCACGCCATCGTGGCCCTTTGGACAAGCAGTGCGTCTGTCACAAGGGTGGCTTTTGTTCCCAACCTGGACCTCTGGCTCAGAGCCCCAGTGGCTGCTAAGGAACCGAGGCACAGACTAATATTTTTAAATGGACCAATTTAGCTCGAACATTTCCATTTCCTCCACACCCAGACTTTAACAGGCAGAGTCCAGGAACCTAAAATGTTGTTGAGGCGGGGGTAGGGGGGCAGGATATACTCAATATGCCTTGGTTTTTTTCCTGTGTTTTCTTTTGCTTCCATTTTTGAGGAAAGGTTGTGCAAAAACAAAACGACCTACCTGAAAACATGTTGAGCCCTGGCTGGTGTGGCTCAGGGGCTGGAGCGGTGGCCCGCACACCGATTCCGGTCAAGGGCCCGGTCAAGGGTTGCGGGAGGCAACCAACTGATGTTTCTCTTTCTCTCTCTCTCTCCCCCCCACCCCCTCCCTCCCTCCTGCCCTCCCACTCTCTACAACTCAATTGAAAAAATATTCTCTTGTGAGGATTAACAACAAAAAGACACTGAACAAAACGTGACCGGAGGACCTGCTGTATACACACAAAGGCATGACCCTGCAGGAGCAGACATCACGGCACACAGTCTCTCTTTCCATTCATATCCTTCCCTAGAGGACACCTGTAGAAGGCCGATTCCTATGAAGAGTCCCGGATGATTCTCAGAACTACACTGACTCCTTGTGGTCACTAGACTACTACTCATCACATCACAGCCCCAGTCAGGATAGCAAATGGGAAACAAATAGACTTAAGATACCTGATAATTGATAAAATTTAGTTACAATTCCCTTCTCGTGTTCATCGAAGAGCATCCTGTCATCTTCGTTCTCAAAGACGGCTCCGAGCACCACAAGGAAACTCCGAAGATAGTAAGGATGACTGGGCAGTGCGGGAGTTGTTTTCCCAGGAGCATGAGAGCTTGACCCCTGCTCCAAAGGAACTGGGCCAGTGATTTCATGCTTTAAGCCACTGTCACCTTCCAGAGGGTGGTTCTGGATGTCACTCCATTTAGAAGCATCACATGCACAACTCTGAGCTTGTGCCTCCGGACTGGACATCTGTGTCTTAGCTTCTGTAACTACAGTCAGTTCGACTTCTTCACCAATATCAGCCTCAGGTTTTCCAGCCCCTTCACCACCTACTCGTTTGGTTGTCTCCTGCTTTGCCAGACTGTCCTCCGATATAGACTGTACTTTGTTCCCAGGGGTTAATTCCCATGAGAACATAGGAGCATTATCTGCAAATGCAGGAGTGAGGGTGGACCTCCCACATTGCTGGGTAGGTTTCTGGTTTGCAGCTGCCATTAATTTAGTGCCTTCTATGGTATTCTCAGTATTTTGTCCCTTAGGCGAGTCACAGGTAAACAGGTTTTCCTTTTGAGAACTGTTCTCCAAAAGCTGATCCTTGTCCTCAATCTCTGAACAGTTATCAACCATCCCGGCCACCGTGGCTGAGGGACTCTGTGGAGTATGACCGGCAAAGTCGTTTTCCTCTATTGATCTTTTCGCCTTTTTGTATCTTCTGGATAATTTAGATGACAGACTTCCCAAAGGAATGACTTTGACATTATGAGGTCTCAGCTCATCCTGAGTTTTGCACACCACATCATTACTTTTAAAGTAGGGACTGGTCTGCTTGTTTAAGCCCGTTTTTGCTGAATCACTCTGGTCAGTGGTTAAATTTGTCTTTGATGGCGACAACTTATCTGGTGTGACATCTTCTACGGCAATATTAGTTATTTCTACAGTGGACACATTTGAATTCATTAAGCCACCATGCCCAGGGTCAACAGGAGTGATGTCATCATGGTCAGCACACATCTCATCAAGGTGCCGGTTTAAGTCATATCTTGGCACCATTTTACTACAAGCCGGGCAGGCAAGTTTAGCAGGTGGTACATTGTTAAAAAACAAAACAATAGACTTAGATTCCTTTTTTTTAGCCCTGCTGCTTGACAAACTTCTCCGGGGCCTTTTTTTCAGAGGCGAGTCCCCTCCTGGCATCATGACTGTTAGGAAAGCTGGGTGTCTCAGGTAATAAAACAAAGGAAATCACTGCAGAAATACAGCAATACTTTGCTTTTACTTCCGGGACTTGAAATAAGAAGTGGGCTTCTATTTGCCTTCATGTTATTCGTTCAGTCAATTTCTTCTTCCTGCAAAATAAAACACATATGGAGTAAAGCCATTTTTTTTTTTTGGCCCTGGCCGGTGTGGCGCCATGGTTAGAGCGCCAGCCCGTGCAGCACCCAAGGGGCTTGGGTTCGAGTTACAGCCAAGGGCACATACCTGAGTTGCAGGTTCTGGATCCGAGTGGGAAGCAACCAAATGAGTGTCTCTCACATGAATGTTTCTCCCTCTCTCCACCCCCTCCCTCTCTCCCACGCTCTCTAAAAATCAAGGGGAAAAATATATCCGGTGAGGATTAAAGAATATGTATTAAAAGGACAAAAACCCACAATTTTTATGAATCCAACACGGGAAAGCGAGCTCTGGAGCATGCATTGTGTTGGCCGCACCTGGCGGGACAAGGAAACCCGGGCTTAGGACAGGCGACCAAGGCGCCAAGTGCCATCTCCGCGTGACCTCGGCCCTGGGTGGACTTGGCACCGGGCGTGTCTAAGACCTTCAAGATCTCGAGCTACCTTTCCAAAGAGGGACCACTGGGCTGCTCCGGATCTTTTTTAAGACCAGTGTATCGGTAACTGTTCCCGACACAGAGAAGAGCCAGGGTCGTGGCCTCTGTACACGTGCTTGGCGCCCCGACTGCAGCTGCGGCCACCGAGCCCGGGGCGCGGGGGAGCCCGGCCGGTCCCTGGGGCCATGTCCGCGCACCTGGGGCTCCGCTACCGAGCCGGGCATCCCCCCCTCCCGCCGCCCCGCGCCCCGCGCCCCGCGCCCCGCGCCCCGCGCCCCGCGCCCCGCGCCCCTCGCCCCGCGCCCCGCGCCCCGCGCCCCGCGCCCCGCGCCCCGCGCCCCGCGCCCCGCGCCCCGCGCCCGCCGCACCTCCCAGCGGGCTCCGCGCGCTCAGGCATGCGCAGCCGATCCCCGCGTCTCGGCTCGCACAGCCCGTTCAGTGGAGCCCGAGCGATCGATCCCCTCTCCCCGCCTCGCTGAAGGTTTCCTTTTATCCATCAGGGGTGGCGGGGCGGGGGTGTTAGGGGAGCCCCGGAGGGAGCCTGGGCACCAGGCACGTGCACTCGCTCGGAGTGCACCCCTTCCCCAATCGGTGGTAAGGGGTTTGTTGGGGGTGCAGTGTCCACGTGAAGCGGCCTCCTGAGAGGAGACAGACACAGGTATGGGCGCTGCTGGGCTTTCCAGAGGATAGGCTGTCCAGGCCTGGGTGCGGTCGATGTAAACAGTCTCAAGGGCAAAGCGGTAATAAAATGTAGTCAAGTAAAGCGGCCCCCCTTATTGCCTGGGATAGTCCCAAGACCCCAGCGGATGCTTGAAACCGCGGATAGTGCCGACCCTGCATGGACTGTTTTTCCTATAACTTCGTCCCCTGTGAACACAGCCAGGCCCGCTGTGTTCACCTTCCATTGTGTTTAGATCACATCTGTCCTCTACCCGACTGTGGATGGTGCTCAGTGGCAGGTGATGAGACCCTCCCCAAGGGGAGGATGTCAGGCACAGGCATAAGAATCCCACTGTTTTGTGAAGGGTGACAGCGTTGTGGGAGACAATCAGGACCCAGAGTGGGGACCTCTGCTGTAGACAGTGGGTGGTGACGGGGGGCTGGCTGCTGTGCCCTCAGCCTGCAGGCCTGCGTGCCCCAGTGGCTGCCACGTGGGCTCAGGACAAGGGCCTCAGGAGCAGGTCCTGCTTCATACCCAGAAAGCAAGATGGCACGTTCCAAAGGCACTTCGGAGTTTGTGTCTTCACACTGAGGAATTCTCAAGTATCTGCCATCCAGGCCAAGAAAAGTTTTCAAAAACTTTATTTATAAAACAGAACAATGACCAAATATAAACGTATGCATTCATATTTACACTAGTTAAAATATATTACAGCTTTAATTTATTAACAGAAATGTCCTGTCTTTTCTTCTTTTTCTTTTCTGTCTTCTTTGCGTCACTGATTTGCATTTTGACTTGATCTTGCAATTTTGAAAAGAATGCCTGAGATGACTTCAAGGCTTTATCTTTACCTTCATCCTGAAATGAAAAAGAATACATGCTCATATACAAAATGTGCTTACAGGTGAAAATCCCCAGTGATGACAACATTCTAAGTGAAAACAGAAAGGACGAGGCAGAATTTTGAGAGCCCACCGGCCAGCACAGGGTGTTCTGCGTGCTCTATGCTGCTGCAGGGGTCTGCAACTTCAGGGAGAGGGAGCAGCAGAAACTGAGGACCCCTGTTCCTATGTGGATCAGAGTGTGAGGCTGCACTCCAGCCAGTCACCAGGGGCCTCTGCACTCCCAGGGGGCGGTGTCACTCCAGTGGACGGCAGTCACCTAAACCTTGCTCCTCCCCAGGCTGCCTCAGCCGGCCCCCGGCCCACAGCTCACCTTGAGCAGCGAGGCTCTGCCCGTCTTGGTCAGCTGCTTTAACTTCTCGGAAGCCACGGCTCTGCTGTATTTCCCTGCTTGGTCCGGGTTGTTCTTCTCAAGGAGTTTCCTCCGCTTTTCCTTCTCCTTTATTTTCATATGCTTCCTGTATTTCTTTTTCCTCCTTTCTCGTTTCTTGTCTGTAGCTGTTTTCTCAGCAGCGGTTTTTATATCTCCAGCTTTATTTTTTTCCTATTCAAAAAGAACCACCAACACACTAGTTAGTCTAACCTGGCAGAACTAACAGTGCCAGCGAAACAAGCCTACAGCACTGGGACCAGCATGAGCTCCGGGACGTGCTGAGGTGGCCCCGGTGCTGAGCTGCTGCTGACAGCCACTGGGCTGGCTACAGGGTCCCAGAGACAGAAGGAAATCCACCTGGTGACGCTCAGCTGCCTCTCGTCCCCTCAGCTACCAGGGCTGTCACCCACACCGGTGGCAGAAGAGAAAAGAGGGCTGTGCTCCTAGGCCAGCCGGGAAGACGGATCCTGGCAGGAGCCATGGTCACTGTGTGAGGCAGGAGCGCCATGTTCACAAGGCAGGACGGCCTGCACTTGCCACGTCCAACCCCTTTCGATATCCAATCGCTCATATTCTAGACCCTGACGCATTCCTAATAAGCATGAAAAGGATGACGGGAAATGTGGATGTTAAAAGATTGCTAGTGTGGAAAGTCCCTTGGAGCATTGGCTTAATCTAGTTTTTCACTAGAAATAAAGCTTTGAGCCTTAATTTAAAAATAATTTTAATAAGCATCAAAACAACTCCAGAAGTTCCGAACTATATGGATGGAAATAAGCTGCAAAAACTCTACATGCTTCAGGGGGAGAATACCACCAATATTCACTTGATAATGACTCCAACTTCTTGCAGGAAATTAGTCTCCATAAATTTTCCACTCTAACTCTGAATAGTTCTTCCTCCTGAAATTCTCCAAACTGTCTGCCTGCCCACTTGCAGCCAACCAGCAACTGCCAAAGGTACCTAAAGACTACTCAGAATCTCTCTCCCGCTTTCAAAAAAACATATCTTACTGAAATGCTTGCCAATCATACAATGACTTATTATTTATTTATGTTACCCAATAAACACACTCTCTTTCCTAAAAAAAAAAAAGATTGCTAGTATATGTGCAATATAAGTAATTTGTTTGGACCGAACACTGCTAGTATTCAAATGGATTATATCACCATACTGATGTTGGCTGTTTCCAAACAGCTTTTATAATATTTATAGTAATTCTCAAACCTGCACCTCATAATCACACCTGCTTATAGGAGTCTAGTACCTGGACATTATATGCACTATTACATTATTGCTTTGATTTACACTTAGAAACTGCTGATACACATTAGGATAAAAACTAGAGACTCCAGGACAATGACATGAAATGGAGATGTGGCCATAACAACTGACTCATCAACAGATAGCTCACATCTCAGCACAGCTCCTCACCTTGACTTCCTCCGGGGCCAGGAGAGCCGCGTCACTCGTGCTCACTGGGGCGACTTCCTCCATGGTTATAGCTGGCAGATTGGACACAACTTTAATCTCTGGAACAGGCTGGAAAAGAGACAGGATATTTCGCAGGGGTCAGAAGTTGTCCTCACATAAAACATGTGAATTGTGAACCTACTCATTTAAAGTCTAATACAGCCCTGGCCGGTTTGGCTCAGCGGTTAGAGCATCGGCCTGCTGTCCAGAGAGACCCGCGTTCGGTTCCTGCTAAGGGCATGTACTTCGGTTGCAGTCTGTACCCAGCCCTGGTTGGGTCGTGCTGGTGGCAGCCACTCGATGTGTCCCTTTCACGTCGATGTTTCTCTCTCTCTCTCTTTCTTCCTCTCTCTCCCTCCCGCTCTGTCTGAATAAAAAAATAAAAAATAGCCCTGGCCGGTTTGGCTCAGCGGTTAGAGCATCAGCCTGCGGTCCCCAGAGACCCGGGTTCGGTTCCCGCTAAGGGCATGTACCTTGGTTGCAGTTTGTCCCCGGCCCTGGTCGGTCGTGCGGGTGGCGGCCACTCGTGTCCCTTTCACGTCGATGTTTCTCTCTCTCTCTCTCTCTCTCTCTCTCTCTTCCTCTCTCTCCCTCCCACTCTACCTGAACAAAAAATGTCCTCGGGTGAGGATAAAAAAATAAAAATAAAATAAAAATAAAAAATAAAGTCTAATACATACAATACTTTAGGGAGATTATTTTAAATGTGAGCTGTGTGGACAGTGAGTCTCGCTAACTGAACGATGGCAGTGTTGGTGGGCTGCTCTTAAGGCACCTGAGTATTTTGGGGTCCACTCTGTCTCCACTCTCCACCGGGAGCCCCAGTTCCTACACTTCTGTACGACATTTCGACCATAGTCAAACACCGGTTCTTTCATCAGTTATGAAGCTATTTCCATCTCCCATGTTTGTGTACATTCTCAATCTTACCTACTGTTTTTTAAAAATTATTTTTATTAATTTGTTTTTGTTACAGATGTTTCTCCTTTTCAATCTTATCTACTGTTTAACAGAATGTTGATTTCTGTAAATATCACCTTGCCCTTCATTATGGGGGGAAAAAGCTCACTATAAGAAATATATGGCCCGGCCGGTGTGGCTCAGTGGTTGAGTGTCGACCCTGCACCAAGAGGTCACTAGTTCAATTCCAGTCAGGGCCAATGCCCAAGTTATGGGCTCCAACCCCAAGGGGGGCATGCAGGAGGCAGCCAATCGATGTTCTCTCTCATCGATGTTTCTATCTCTCTCCCTCTCCCTTCCTTTCTCTCTAAAACTCAATAAAGAAAAAAAATTTTTAAATAAAAGAAATATATGAAACAAGACACCAGGAAAAATGCTCACTGGAACAAGAGTCGGAATAGACTACTTGATCATTTTTCTCATTTTCCAACTATTAAAAACAATCTTTTATAAGTAAAAACCAAATAAAGAGCTGGTCTCACAAAAGCGCAGAAGGAGCTGAGATCACACCTGCTCCACTCACACGCACACTAGTCAGCCTACTCACTGGTTTAGGGATGAAGTGGAAGTTTGAGAGGGCGTCCAGCTTCAGGAAGAGAGAATCCATCATCTTCTGGATTTCCACATGCTCTGGATTTTCTTCTTCCACCGTTTTTTGCTTAGAAAATAAATTCAACAACATCAAACTAAGCAGCTGAAGACACATCGCAGAACAACACGCGAAAGGCTAATTAGGGCATCCCCGTTTCCCATCACCAAGGCTTCAGCACCCAGGAAACACCAAGGTGGGTTTGAGAGGCCGATAACACAATGTACAGCATGTATCGAGAAGAAAGTGATGAGTCCGGGGGCTGCGGCAGCCCTCGCCTCCAACAGGCAGACTTACAGCTCGACGCCCTGGTATCTACTCCTGTCAAGCACTGAGCCGCTCCCACTAGGACAGCTCATTACGAGAGGGAAAGAACAGTGCTGGCGAGGACGTGGAGAAATGGAGCCCTGTGCACTGCTGGTGAGAAAATAAGGTGGTGCAGGCACCGTGGAAACGAGTCTGGCAGTTCCTCGAAAGGTTAAACAGCGTTGCCATGTGACCTGGCCTTTCCAAGTGTAGGTATGTAAACTAAAAACAGGTATTCAAACAGCACATGTGCTCGTGTGTTCAGAACAGCACTAATCGCAATAGCCAAAAACTAGAAACAGCCTGAATGGTCTGATGACTAGATAAACAAACGGTGGTATGTACATACAGTGGAATATTATTCAGCCATAAAAAAGAGGACGAACCGACACATGCCACAGTCTTGAAAACATTACTGTAGGTAAAAGAAGTTACACACAACAGCCCACATAACCGATTCCATTTACATGAACCATTGAAAAAAGACAAATCCAAGTCTGTGGTCATCGGGAGCTGGGGAGGGAAAATGGGGAGCAGCTGCTTTACGGTTGTAGGGTTCTATCTGGGGATGAGGGAAATGTTTTTGGAACTAGACACAACATTGCATGAAATGCCCCTGAACGGCTGACTTCAGAAGGTTAAGTTGATGTCACCTGGTTGAGTTTGATGTATTCCTGCTCATAAATTTCAGCAAGGCTCAGCTTGCTCTTCTCATGGTCCAACGTTAACCGCTTCTTGTATTCATACACATCCTCTTTGGGTTTCTCTTTCCGGACTACATCATCCCAGGCCTGAAACAGGAGAGGCAGGTAGAACGTAAATTCACGAAATCTGTCGTTTCTTTCTAGGCTCACTTAAGAATCTGCCACTGAAATATCGATTATCATCCCAGAGGAGGCAAAATGTCACAAAAAGGAAGTACTTTTCAATCCTGAAATGACTATTCAAGTCACAAAGAAAAAGGATTACGAAAAGCAAAGAAGGCATCACGTAAGTATTCTTTTTTGTTTTTGTTTTAAATGTGTCTCTCTCCTGGTTACCCATTTAACTTCTCTAGTTCCCCATCACGGTTTATTTAAAAGTCAAGATTCAAGTTTGCCTGGTGTCATTTCAAATACAAAGATCTCTGCATATAGTACCCACTCTTCAGACCTTCCCATTTTAAGCATCACACACACCCCAAAGCCATCTTTGATCACACACAGCTTACACTGAAGTTCACGCTAAGTGCACAAAAGATCAATTCCTAAACAGAAGCTCTTTGCTAGGTTTTCAACAATGGAAAAAACCAGACCCCTTGTTTGTCACACCAGATTCTGTGCTAGAGCAAAGTCCTGGGTGCGACACCAGTCACCACACCTGCCACCCTCCATCAGCTTCCCCCCACACCACCCAGCAGGTCAGCGGGCATGGGCGACACTGGCAAGGGCTCTGGCTGCTCCCTGCCCCGTCACAGCACCCGTGTTTCCGGGGTGCCAGCGAAGACGCCTTCAGTGCAGGCCTGGGCTTATAAATGAACTGACACAAAACTTCTACAGAGTGTTATTCCCACTCCCAGAGAACACTCGTGTCATTTCTATAACTGTCGGTAAATTTTAAGTGAAGGTCAATGTCATTTTGCTGACCTGATCTCTTATCCTCTGCTTAATGATCTCTTCCAGTTGAAGGGTGGTTTCCTCTGTAATCACAGGTGCTAGAGGCAATAAAACGTGGACTTATTAGGTAGATATCAACTAGGCCGGCAGTTTTCCAAGGGTGGTCCTTGGGCCAGCAGCATTAATACCTGGGAACCTGTTAGAAATTGAGTTGCCCCCCCCACCTCCTGAATCAAAGTTGGGGAAGGGGACACCTATCCCCAGCCCTGCTGATATCCCCTCCAGTGTCTGAACCACAGAACCCAAGACTGTGGTAGTCCGTGCTGATGCTTTAATCCACGCACCAGGGGATTCTCCGATTCTCCCTAGCACTGAATAAAATGAAAATTCATTCTGACATCACAGGTACAAGAAAGAATCTGGTGAAATGATCAGCGGTTCTGGCTAGAGTCCACAATCCCATCACTGGACAGTGACAGCAGGCACTTTAAACAGACCACGAGCAAAACTCTGATCATGGGTCATCCCGTGGGCGCCGGCAGCGCATCAGTGACTCGGGTGGACCGAGGTTACTGTGGCTGTCGGGGCATGTCCCAGTTCTGAGAGCTACACAAGGCGCTCAGGAGTGGAAGGTCATGCTAATGGCAACTTACTTTCAAATGGTTTTCAGGGGGAAAGTACAGACAGTCACACTCCTAGCAGATACGGCAAAGTGTCAACAATGGGTAACCCAGCTGAGTGGCAGGCACTTGCAGGAGCCCGGGCATGGGCGCACGTACCCATGCGGACTGCGTGGTCGAAGTGCAGGGTCTCCTCCAGAAGGCTGTTCTCCGGCCGCTTCTGCGCTGTCACTTCCCCTTGAAGCTGCCAAGGTTTCTTTTCCAGCAACTCTTTTTCTAAAGACGCAATTTTTTCATTCATCTGAGAAACAGACCAAAAGAGTTATTACACATTTAGGAAATGAAATTAGACGTATAGTTGAGTAAAAGCAACTAATATATTTTTAAATGTTTTTTTTGTTTTTAATTGATTTTTTAGAGGGGGAGAGATAGAAATATTGATCGGTTGCCTCCTGCACGCCCCCTACTGGGGATTGAGGCCCCAACCTGGGCATGTGCCCTGATCGGGAATTGATCCGGGACCTCCCAGTCCAAGGGATGATGCTCAATCCACTGAGGTACATATATATATACACTTTCTTTTTTTAAATCCTCACTCAAGGATATCTTTCCATTTATTTTCAGACAGAGTGGGAGGGAGAGAGAGAGAGAAATATCGATGTGAGAGACATTAATTGGTTGCTTCCTGCAAGACCCTGACCCGGGCCAGGGAATGAACCGCAACCAAGGTATGTGCCCTTGACCGAAATCAAACCCACAACTCTTTGGTCCGGGGGCCAGTGCTCTAACTGCTGAGCCAAACCGGCCAGGGCACAACTAATATATCTTAATTAGCCATATAGCTGAGTAAAAGCAACTAATATATCTTAGAGTGGGGAAGAAGTGTGTTGTTCCTAAACATAATCCTGCTGTGCTCCAGCCCATTTCACTGTGTCAGTAGTGACTTCCTACTTGGTCACCTGCAGTGGGGTGAGGAGCTGCAGATGACCTCTTTTCCCCACTGAACTGAAACGCCAAGTTTGTAATTCACTAAACCGCCCCCCTCCAAACACTCGGGTATATTTCTGTGCTCTACTAGTCAACGGTCCATCTGTTCAGAAGTCACCAACAATTTCAGTTATTAGATCATTCCAAGACTAAGTCATGTTTTCACGACACCAGGATCTGACGGAGCCCGACACTCTGACTCCACACACCCGTCCACGTATCTCTAACTTCTAAGACAACGTCTGTGATGACTATAGAGCAATAAAACGCCAGCCTTCTCAGCTACCTAACTGAATTCTCTTACTTTTCCTAATAGCTTTTCAGTTCACCTGCTGGGTTTTTCCAGTATTATTTGCAAATACGAATGCTCTCATTTCAGTTTCTCTTACCCCTTATCTTTTTCTGTTGTAGCTGCAATGGCCAACGCTTCTATAGGAACGTTAAATAACGGTGGTAAGAGTGGACATTTGGTCTTATTCTTATTTTAAAGAGATGTGCCTAGAATTTGCCACTAAGCACGATGGCACTTACTGCCTAATGTATTTGCATTCTACTAGGAGTGAAAAAAATTAGAAATGGAGACTGAACTTTAGCAGATGTCTTCTGACACATATGGAGGTGACCACATGGTTTTTCTCCTTCACCTGTTACAATCAAGAATTACAAGAATAGATTTCCTAATCCTGAATCGAGAGAATGAGGCCCACTTGCGTGTGTTGGCATTATTTTCCCACTGTGCCATTTTGAATTTTTGCATCAGAGTGTGAGTGTGTGTTGTGTGTGTGTGTGTTTAAAAAATAATACAGCATTCTGCCAAGAAAAACAGGGTAGATTAGCAGTCGCAAGATCCAGTCATGTCAAACATATAACAAATTCCTTAAATCCCCATTACCTTTTCTTGTCTTTTTTCAAAAGAGGATTTAACTTCAGCATCAGACTCTTTCTGTACATTAAAGATATTTGTATCTTCAGTTTCCTCATCATCTGGCAAAGCAAAGGTCACTCTTTTCGAGGTTTCTTTATGTTGCTTATTGTCTTCAGTTTCTTCAAGGTCATCATCTTCATCCCTACAACACCAGAACACTTATCAAAGGGAAAACACCACTTCTCATTCAGAAAACAAAAAGAAACAAATTTTCTAGTAATTCAAGTTTTCTTCTGTGTACCTAATGTAAGTCAACATCCAGAACTTCTAAAGGCATTCAGTTACTAAGGAGCAACAGAAGGAATTATTTAGGTGAAATAGAACAAAGTGTCCAACATAAAGAAAATAAGTTATTGTCCGGCTGGTGTGGCTCAGTGGTTAAGCGTCAACCCATGCACCAAGAGGTCACTGGTTCAATTCCCAGTCAGGGCACATGACCAGGTTGTGGGCCAAATCCCCAGAGGGGCATGCAAGAGGTGGCCAATTGATGTTCTCTCTCATCAATGTTTCTCTCTTTCTCCCTCTCACTTTAAAATCAAGAAAGAAAAAAAAAATTGCTCTGGCCAGTTTGGCTCAGCAGTTAGAGCGTCAGCCCGCAGACCAGGGAGTCCCGGGTTCGGTTTCTGCTAAGGGCATGTTCCTTGGTTGCAGTTGGTGCCCGGCCCTGGCTAGGGTTGTATGGATGGCAACCAGTCAATGTGTCTCTCTGACATCGACGTTTCTCTCTCTCTCTTCCCTCCTCTCTCCCTCTTGTTCTATCTGAAGATAAATGCAAAAATGTCCTCAGGTGAGGACAAAAAAATATAAAGTTATCACACACAAATAACAATAGGGTATTTTTATTGGCGCAAAAAACAAACAGAGCAAAGCTCCTTGTAGTAAAGGTTTGATTGCTGCCAGCAATGTTTACCTGCAGTATGTGATCTGGAGCGACATTTTTAGTTGACTTCCTTCTGGTTATCTTGAGACTACGTGATCTTAGCGAATCTGACTTCGTAGGTGACAACTGTGAGTATACATGTGAATGGGCGGCTCCAGTCTACAGGCAAAGGATCACTCAAAATACTCACGTTTCAGAGATGCTTTCCTCTCCTCCTTCTTCAGCAACTCCTTCCTCTCCTTCATCTGAACCCAGTTCTTCATCAGGACCCCTTGCTATGTCTTCATCACTTTCAATCGGATCAAAGAAATCTTTGTATTTCAGGTTTCGGGAACTTTTTTTACCTGACTAAAACAAACAGACAGACGTTTAAAAAGTTTTCATTAAGGGCCCTGGCCGGTTTGGCTCAGCGGTTAGAGCATCGGCCTGCGGTCCAGGGAGACCCGGGTTTGGTTCCCGCTAAGGGCATGTACCTTGGTTGCAGTTTGTCCCTGGCCCTGGTTGGTCATGCAGGTGGCAGCCACTCAATGTGTCCCTTTCACATCGATGTTTCTCTCTCTCCCTCCCTCCCACTCTATCTGAACAAAAAATGGAAAAAAATGTCCTCAGGTGAGGATAAAAAAAAAAAAAAGTTTTCATTAAGAATAGGGAAGTGCATTAAATCATGGTTATGTGTGGCCCTGGCCAGTTTGGCTCAGCGGTTAGAGCGTCCGCCTGCGGTCCGGAGAGACCCGGGTTCGGTTCCCGCTAAGGGCATGTACCTCGGTTGCAGTTTGTCCCCGGCCCTGGTTGGTCATGCAGGTGGCAGCCACTCAATGTGTCCCTTTCACATCGATGTTTCTCTCTCTCCCTCCCTCCCACTCTATCTGAACAAAAAATGGAAAAAAATGTCCTCAGGTGAGGATAAAAAAAAAAAAAGTTTTCATTAAGAATAGGGAAGTGCATTAAATCATGGTTATGTGTGGCCCTGGCCAGTTTGGCTCAGCGGTTAGAGCGTCCGCCTGCGGTCCGGAGAGACCCGGGTTCGATTCCTGCTAAGGGCATGTACCTCGGTTGCAGTTTGTCCCCGGCCCTGGTTGGTCGTGCGGGTGGCAGCCACTCGATGTGTCCCTTTCACATCGATGTTTCCCTCTCTCTCTTTTCCTCTCTCTCCCTCCTACTCTGTCTGTACAAAAAATGGAAAAATGTCCTCGGGTGAGGATAAAAATAAAAAAAAAATCATGGTTATGTATGTATTGAAGTATTATATAGGGAAAAGTGGCCATCTAATAACATTACCAAAAACCCCCAAGAACTGCTGGACCAGAACAAACTGGAAGTATGGATTCTTTATAACTGCGACAGCGCACATGCTCCTATCTCTAAATCATCTAACTATGATTATTTCCAAAATATCCCTCCCTAAATAAAGTATACAAATGCCTTTCTTTCACTATTACTTATAGTGCTCAATGAAAATACACATTTGAGGAAAAATTCTGAATATCTCTAACACATGTGATTATGGTTCTTTTTTATCTTAAATCCTCACCTGAGGATGTTTTCCTATTTATCTTCAAACAGAGTGGGAGGGAGGGAGAGGGAGAGGGAGAGAGAGAGAGGGAGAGGGAGAGAGAGAGACAGAGAGAGAGAGACAGAGAGAGAAACATTGACATGAGAGGGACACATCAACTGACTGCCTCCCCTGGCAACCAAGGTACATGCCCTTGACCAGAATCGAACCTGTGACTCTTTGGTCTGTGGGCTGACAACCTAACCACTGAGCAAACCGGCCAGGGCTGAATATGGCTGTTAAACTAGAACTGTTCTGTGTTAAGGAAATGATGGCTTTGGATTAATTTTTCTGGTCAATTTCTTTTAACCGATCTAAATATTTCCCTTATGCCCTGGTGAGCTCTGAGGTATTTTAACCTCTTCTCAAGAAACAGAACAGAATCTAATTTGAGGATAGAAAAGTCCTCTTTCTCTCCTCTCCCAAAATTTTACCTTAAGTTTTTGGCTTCCAAACAGTCCTCCCTCATCTTCATCAGAATCAATATCTTCAAATAAATCAATCTCTTCCTCCTCTGCATCATCTTTCTGTTCCTCTTCTTTTTCCATGTTTTCTAAAAAGGTCTCCATGTCAGACAGTTTGAAGAATTTATCATCCACTATGGACTTTTCTCTTGGTTTCTTGGGCACTTTGCTTTGCACCTTGCTCTGCACCTTGCTCTGCTGTTCCAATTTGCTGATATCAAAGTCAAGATCAGAATCCTCATCACTGAAAGCTGGGCTTGTCCTCAGATCACATTTGCCTGACTGTTTCGTTGTCTCATCCCTCTTGGGATCATCACCACTCGTGTCTGAGACTTCCTCCTCATCCACACCTTGTTCTAGGTCCTCCTGGCCGTCAGCCTCCATCTCTTCCCCATCCTCTTCCCCATCCTGCTCTTCATTCTCTGGGAGAAGACTGATGTCTTCATCTTCAATGGTTTCACTAACTGCATCCTCAAAGTACCGTAAAACTGGCCCGTTTTGCAATTCCAGTTGTTGCCAAATCTGCTCATCATCAAAATTGTCTATCACCAGTTTCTGTAAAGGACTTCCCTGGATTCTGCCATTCTCCAGTATTTTATTGAAGTCATAAAGTACTTTTGTTAAAGAAGTGAAGTTTGATGCCAATTCATCTTGAATCCTATTAAGGGAGCAGGGGAAAAAGTTAAATGAGTTTTATCATTATAGGTAATAATTTCACAGACTCTAAAATTAAAAGACAAAAAAAAAGCCCCGTCAAATTTGAATGAAATGTCAATTTGAAGTATAGATTCTGGTCCCTAAGAGTGAACAATCTTGCTGATAAGTCACCTTCATAAATAAAAGTTTGAAATAAGTATCTGTCAACCTGCTGCAGGATTTTAGGCAGGGAATCGGTCACACATCAGTTTGCCTAGAGTTATACTGTGAACGCATCTTACATTCTCAACTCTGCTGTATCATATACTGCTCCATTCATTCAGTCAGCCAATGGTCAACGCTTGCTTTGGCAAAAGTAGACAGAATCTCTGAGGAGACCTACACATAAGGATCTGGCAGAAGAAACTGTGAGAATAAATTTCCTGATATGGAAATGAGTTGGGTGAATCTGAGGAACAGAAAGGTCAGCATGGCTCGGGTGTGGTTAGAGAGGTCAGTGTCAGCAAGGTTCAGAGTTAAGCATTTGCCATTTTAAGTGTAAAGAGAAGCCACCCGAAGGTTTTCAGCAGAGGAGCAAAATGATGTAATTTATATTTTGGAAAGATGGCCTATGGAGGAAAAGGAATGAAAATGAGATCAGAGCACTGGATACAGTAAGTAGCTGACGGTAGACTAGGGTGTGGGGATAGAACCGACAGGATTTGCTAAAGAGCCCTGGCCAGTTTGGCTCAGCAGTTAGAGCATCGGCCTGCGGTCCAGACAGACCCGGGTTCGGTTCCCGCTAAGGGCATGTACCTCGGCTGCAGTTTGTCCCTGGCCCTGGTTGGTCGTGTGGGTGGCAGCCACTCGATGTGTCCCTCTCTCTCCCTCTCTTCCTCTCTCTCCCTCCCACTCTATCTGAACAAAAAATAGAAAAATGTCCTCGGGTGAGGATAAAAAAAAAAAAAGAATGCGATGTAGACTTGAGGGGCAGGAAAACAAAAAGAAGTGGCTTAGTTATGTGTCTGAATGACTAAAGGCAGAGGTGCCATTTACCGAGACAGAGGAGGCGGGCGGTGGGGCACAGGAAAGAATGTCAGACTACAGGGGAGCAGGCAGAACCTACAGTTCATTGTGAGCATATTAGACCTGAGATGGAGAGTACGTGGCTGTCAGTGCTGCGAGCCTGGAACTCGAGGAGAGGTGGGTCTGAAATGTAAATCCGAGGGCCACACAGTCACAGATCGTATTTTAAGTCCTTCAACCAAATACAAAGAGCTTATGCTGGGAAGGGAGAGGAGGGACCGTCCTAATTCTCCAGAAGCTCAGTCAAGGAGGTGGAGGGGGGACAACGACAAGTTAATACTTTCGATAAAGTCTGGGTGCTCCGGAGGTGAAAGGGGGAAAGAAACCAACCTAGCGCCGGGCGGGTGGGTGGAGGGGTGCGGTGTGCACAGGACTCAGAGGCTCTGGGCGCTAATACCTGACCCCGGTGTGATTTCAACAGCACAAGACTGTACAGCTTTTATTTTTAAAAAAATTTTTTGATAGGTTAAAGGAGCGTAAACTACCTGAAACTTGGGGAAAAAAGATCTACGCTTCCCTGGGCCTCCCCCCGACTCCAGAAACGGACGGGCCCGCAGCCCGCGCCCACGCGAGCCCCGGGCGGACCCCGCGCACTTACGTGAGGAAGCGCTCGGGCCGGCCGGTGTTTTTCCCAGCCTCGTCCAGGCACCGCTTCAGGGTCCGCTGGCGCCAGACCCGCTGGGCCATGGCTGTTTAAAATCCCGCACCCGGCGCCGCATGCAAAGGAAAGGGGTGCGCGGAAGTGCGTCACAAACATGCGCCAGCGGAACCTGGAGCGCAGAGGAAAAGGTTCCCCGGCACACAAGTTAGGGACCCACCTCCAGCCCGAGCCAAGGGCAGCGCGGGAACCTTCCCTGCGCTTGCTCAGGGGGCGGGGCGGGGCACGGATAACAGCCATTGGTCAGCTCCAGCGCCCTTGAACAGTCTCCAAATATTGTTTTGCATTCCTGAGAGTCCCTCGGTGGGCGACGCCTCCTCCTTTAAAATGTGTGCTTGAGATGCACTAGGAAACTTCCGTACGTTGTATCGTAAACAAGGGCCAGTAAGCCTGGCCGGGTGGCTCAGGGGTTGAGCATGGATCCCTGCACCAAGAGGAGCTGGCCTGCCCCGGATGCGCCCTTCGCGGTGTATGCCCCACCCCCAGCTCTCGCCCCGCCCCCTCAGCCCCCAGCTCCGCCTCTGGCCACATTGCTCCACCCCTTGTCCCCAGCCCCTCCTCCAGTCATGTTACCCCGCCCCTTCACCCCCAGCCCCGCCTCCGGCTATGTTATTCCGCCCCTTGGCCCCAGCCCCGCCTCCAGCCACGTTACCCCGCCCCTTCGACCTCAGCTGCGTCTCCAGCCACGTTGCCCCGCCCCTTGGCCCCAGACCCGCCTCCAGCCACGTTGCCCCGCCCCTTGGCCCCAGACCCGCCTCCAGCCACGTTGCCCCGCCCCTTGGCCCCAGACCCGTCCCTTGGCCCCAGACCCTCCTCCAGCCACGTTGCTCCGCCCCTTGGCCCCAGACCCGCCTCCAGCCACGTTGCCCCGCCCCTTGGCCCCAGACCCGCCCCTTGGCCCCAGACCCTCCTCCAGCAACGTTGCCCCGCCCCGTCACCCCCAGCCCCGCCTCCGGCCGTGTTATTCCGCTCCTTGTCCCCAGCCCCACCTCCAGCCACGTTGCCCCGCCCCTTGGCCCCAGACCCGCCTCCAGCCACGTTGCCCGCCCCTTGGCCCCAGCCCCGCCTCCAGCCACGTTGCCCGCCCCTTGGCCCCAGCCCCGCCTCCAGCCACGTTGCCCCGCCCCTCGGCCGTGCTCCTCTTTCCGTCTGCGCAGGTCAGGATTGCGCCTGTCACTTCCCAAGATGGCGCGCGTGTTGAAGATGGTCAGTGTGGCGTCTGTGTGCGCCGGAGGTGAATACCCCGCGCCCTCAGGGTCGCCATGGGCGGGGCGCCAGGGGCAAGGAGGCCCGGGGCTGCAGGGGGCGGGGCTGCCGGACCTCCTAGAGCTGCCGCCCTCCGCCCGCTGGTGGCATGTTCGGTTCCGCGGCCGGCTCAGCAGCTTCAGGCTGCAGGTGTCTTCCAGGAGCGCCGTGGGGTAGCGGGGGCCGGGGGTCCTCATGCTCTGTGAGCCTCGCAGCCACGCTGGGAGGGGTGTGCAGTGGACGTGGCGAGGACACCTGTCCTTGGGGCAGGAGGCCGGGGCGGAGGTGATCGGCCGTGAGCTTGTGCGCTTGTGCGCTTGTGCGGTGCATGATGAGAGATGAGGGGACCAGTCTGCAGGGCAACGAGGGGCCAGCCAGCAGGGCACAGCCTGTAAACGACGTGAGCTGCCCTCAAGGTCAGTTGTGGGAGGAGGCCGGTTCTCCACCTGCTGGAATGTAGTAGTTCTTTTCTATGTGAGCAGGGAAGAGAAAAGTAGGCGCATGTGTTAGGTTCCTTGAGTTCTCCACACTTCAGTTTCAAAAAACAAACAAAAAGGGGTGCAGAGAATCAGTGATGACAAACCGGTTTTCTGACTCCCCAGGTCACCCACTTTCTTCTTCTTCTCTCCCTCTGCCTCCTCCACCCTCATCAGAGGCAGCTGTTTTCCTTCCTCTGAAACTCCCCCTCAGGTTAGGAAGGAAGTGCCAAGTGTCTTGTGTCCCAGTGACTCCTGAACATTGGTGATGAGCCCTTCAGCTCAGCACTTGCAAGAAATGCTCCAGGGGTGAACCGTTCATAATGTCAGGTTTCTCTCCTAGAAAGAGAGCCACCTCTGAAGCTTACAGTTCTGCACGTCCTTTGAAGTCCCATGTCAAGCTGAACCAGTTATTTATTGATCACTAAAGTCTCTTAACACAGTTGCCCTGGCAAGTCACCAGGGCCAAGCAGTGAGCCACGTACAAACAGGTGCAGAATAATAACCTCCACACCATCAGTTTAAAGAGGTGACGTGTCCGTGAAAAAATACAGGCCAGCATCTTATCTCACATACCATTGCAAGTAGCCCTTTGCAAGAAACAAAACAAAACAACAAGAAAAATCCTCATAAAAGAGTCATTTCTCTTTTTTTTAAATCCTCACCCAAGGATATTTTTCTACTTATCTTCAGATAGAGTGGAGGGAAACATCGATGTGAGAAACACATCAACTGGTTGCCTCCTGCACAATCCTGACCAGAGCCGGGGACCGAACTGCAACTGAGGTACGTGCCCCTGATCTGAATTGAACCCGTGACTCTTTGATCCGCAGGCTAACGCTCTAACCGCTGAGCCAAACCAACCAGGGCAAGAGTCCTCTTTTTTTTTTTATTCTCACTCAAGGACATTTTTGCATTTATCTTCAGATAGAGTGGAGGGGAGAGAGGTGGGAAGAGAGAGAGAGAAACATCGACATGAGAGAGACACATTGAGTGGTCGCCACCCACCCAACCCCAACAGGGGCTGGGAACAAACCGCAACAAAGGTACTTGCCCTTAGCGGGCACCGAACCCGGGACTCTCTGGTCTGCAGGCCAACACTCTAACCGCTGAGCCAAACTGGCCAGGGCCAAGAGTCATCTCTTAATATCTCTCAGGAAAGCCATCTCTTAGCAGGTAGATACTGCTTGTAGAGCATACACTAAAGATATTAAAAATTGAGGAGCAAAAGAATGGTAAAGAATTTCAGAGGAGCGAGACAATTTAACATCATGGTTTAACAACATTAACTTTGATGTCAGACGGACCTGGGCTTGAGGCCCAACTTTGTCACCTAAGGTGACCTTGAAGAAAATGACTTAATCAGGCCTATTTTCCTTGTCTCTAACTGGGAAAAATAATACCATCTGATTCATAGAATTATTGTGGTGATTTAAGTGCTCACTGGTCTGTGACTATTACCTCTCTTTTATGGCCATGAGGACTCATGGGCAGAGCCGAGCAACAGGGCTGTGTCAACTTATTGATAATGAGAACCTTTAGATAGTTCAGTCATCAATAGTACAGGCTGGAGCACAGCAGACGACCATGTGAGGCTGAATTTTGCCTCCTACTGACCTGTGGTGCATCAGGTTTGTCAGGCAGAGCACCATGCAGTTACCAGTCCTGGGGCAGGACTAACCAGATGCCCGCTGCACGCAGTACAAGAGTCTCCAAGCCTTGGGAGGAACGTGCTTACTTACACAGGGAGCAGACAGACTAAGAGCAGCTTCAGTAGTGGGTGTCAGCCCCCCTTGGCCAACGGGCCTCTCCCAGTGACCCACACAGGACAGTTTGCCTTTGCATACCCCTCTCATACCACAGAAGGAACAATGTCCCCTCCCCCTCGGTAGACAGATATAACAGTGGGGTTGGCCATAGGATGCTCACGCTGTAAGCAGAGACAAAGGAGCATTCATTGAGCCTGAAAGAGGAAAAGATGTTCCCAGCACAAGGTGGTCGGCCTGGCACAGGCTGTGTGGGCTCTTTATTTCTTCATAAGGATGTGTTCAGGCCCATCCTTATGTGGCTGAGTGGGGGTCGAAGGACTGCATGCTTGAGCTGCCTTTCCCAACAAGATTTATGGTCTTAAAGACATAGTGTCACTTTAATTTCCTTGTTATCGAAAGTTTCAGTAAAGGGGAATTAATTTTATGTTAGCTGAAGCTCTGTGATACTAGGTACTGTTTAAAGTGTAAGAAGCGCGCTAAGTGTGAACTGGACCCTGTTGCTAAGCCCCAGCAAGCAATCATATCCTAGGTAGGGTTAAACCCCCAGTAAAATTGCCATATTGCACATGTCTTAATGAAGTTTGACTGTTAAATAAATTGTATATTCACTTAAAAAAAAAAAGTGTAAGAAGCGCTAAAAAGAAAACCTATTATTTAAAGTGTGATCTCCAGTTTGCTATTTCATACTTTTTTCTTAATGATGTAGTTTTACAACATTGTATTTAGACCTTGTACGTGTACATAGCTTTCATTCTAGGGAGAGTCTGGCTCTTAGAGTCCCGTGTGTAGGGGCAGGGGAAGCGGAGTGATACACAGAGAGGCCTCTTCAGTTTCCGAATGAAAGAGGTTTCTTCACATTTAGGAGCAGTTTGGCTTCTAATCCTTCAAAATTATAAAAAACAATTTTTAAAAATCTGTTCTCAAAGGAAATTCTCATTAGTTTAAGTACCTTCTTGATGTTTGCTTCTTTTTCCTCAACAATGAGATATTTTGCCTGGTTGATAATCATTTAAATAAACTGCACATTAAAAAGTACTGTATGCACACCGGTGGGCACTGACATTAGTTTGGGGAAAGCAGGAGGGGAGTGGGAGCGGGGAGGAGGAGGTCAGTGGGGGAAAATGGGGGGACATCTGTAATACTTGCAATAATAAAAAATAAATTTAAACATAAGTAGTCTGGCCCTGGGTGGTTTGGCTCAGTGGTTGGAGCACTGGACAAGAGAGTCCTAGTTTGGGTCCCGCTAGGGGCACGTACCAAAAAATAAATAAATAAGTAGTCTGGCCCTGGCCAGTTTGGCTCAGCGGTTAGAGCGTTGGCCTGCGGTCCAGAGAGACCTGGGATCGGTTCCTGCTAAGGGCACGTACCTCGGTTGCAGTTTGTCCCCGGCCCTGGTTGGGTCGTGTGGGTGGCAACCACTTGATGTGTCCCTTTCACGTCGATGTTTCTCTCTCCTTCCCACTCTATCTGAACAAAATATGGAAAAAGTGTCCTCAGGCGAGGATTAAAAAAAATTAATAATAAGTAGTCTGGTCATGGCTTTAATGAACTCATTACAGACTGTAACACAAAAAGTCGGTTATAGCTAGGGAAGAAGATTGCTTGTCCTCATCAGTAAATGTGCTACTTCAGTATCACACTCAAACTTACCCTTTGTGAAATGCAGAGAATAGCAAGTAATTCTTAATAATGGCAGCTACCCTTTACTTGTTATCAATAAATGTAAACTATTATGAAAAAAAATTTTTTTAAATGTTTTTCTTTTTATTGATTATAGAGAGAGAGGGAGAGAGAGATAGAAACATTGATGAGAGAGAACATCAATTGGCTGCCACCTGCATGCCCCTCACTGGGGATCGGGCCCACAACCTGGGCATGTGTCCTGACCGGGAATCGAACCAGCGACCTCCTGGTGCATGGGTTGATGCTCAACCACTGAGCCACACCGGCTGGACAAAAAAAAGTTATTCTTTATTCTGAATCTAAATAGCTCAGACTTAACTTTTTAATTCCAGATGGTTATTTCAGAAAGAAGTGAGTAATCTTATACAGTTTTGCCATTTATCTCCTCTGATTTATTTTCAATAATTAAAAAAATAGATATGTAACTCTGGCTGGTTTGGCTCAGCGGTTAGAGCGTCGGCCTGCGGTCCCGAGAGACCCGGGTTCGGTTCCCGATAAGGGCATATACCTCGGTTACAGTCTGTCCCCGGCCCTGGTTGGTTGTGTGGGTGGCAGCCACTCGATGTGTCCCTTTCACGTCGATGTTTCTCTCTCTCTCTCCCTCTCTTCCCCTCCCACTCTATCTGAACAAAAAATGGAAAAATGTCCTTGGGTGAGGATAAAAAAAAAAAAAAAAAGATATGTAAATAACTTTTACATCTTATTTGTTTAGTTTAAAAAGTTAATTTTAGAAGCACATTAATGGTAAAAGAAGGTTCTCGGTGACTTTCTTTTTTTCAGGGCTTTTTCCCCTACTTTCGGCTTTTGGTCCAACAGTTCGAGCTTTTACCACCTCACAGTCCTCACATCGAGCGGCAGGTACTGTGTGGACCCTGGGGCGCCTCAATCATGTGGCCGTAGCAGTGCCCGACTTGGAAAAAGCCAGGGCATTTTATCGGGACGTTCTGGGGGCCCAGGTAAGCGAGGTGTCCTCTCTTCCTGAGCACGGAGTATCTGTCGTTTTTGTGAACCTTGGAAACACCAAGATGGAGCTGCTTCACCCCCTGGGAAATGACAGTCCCATTGCAGGATTTCTGCAGAAGAACAAGGCTGGAGGAATGCATCACGTCTGCATTGAGGTATTTCAGTTGTTTTCATGCCTGGTGTTTTCAGTTTCTCTTTCACAAAGTGTCTTTGGCTTTTTGAGACGACATAAGTGTTCCCATCAGAAATTGTATGAAGATCTTGAAGGGGATGGTATTATTGGTGCTACTCAAAGATGGGACCCTAGATATAGTCTCCTTTCCTCTAGAAAACTGCAAACAAAAAAGTGATGTCGTTTATTAAGTCTGGATTCAACAGCCGCTATAAAAGCCAGCGAAGTGCCCTGGCTTGTGTGGTTCAGCGGTTAGAGCGTCGGCCTGCGGTCCAGAGAGACCCAGGTTCGGTTCCCGCTAAGGGCATGTACCTCAGTTGCAGTTTGTCCCCGGCCCTGATTGGGTCGTGTGGGTGGCAACCAGTTGATGTGTCCCTTTCACATCGATGTTTCTCTCTCTCTCTTCCTCCCTTTCTCCCTCCCACTCTGTTTGAAGATAAGTGCAAAAATGTCCTCGGGTAAGGATTAAAAAATAATAATAATAAAAGCCAGCGAAATTGGCCAGAACAGGTTTGAGCTTCCACTGTAGTATTTATCGAGCAGGTATGACCTCCAGCATAACAGAAACACAACCGCTTCGCTGTCAAGGCAAGTAGAATAAGCACCTAAAAGGACTTAATAAAGTAAGAAGTTCATATCCATACTAAGGATTCACGTACTTGTTTTCTATCCTCGAGATTCCGGGAACTTGTTTCTTGTTACATTTTCCATTACTGACTGGTTTTTCAACATCTCAATTGCGTCTGCTAACAATTCCCGAAGAAAACGTGAACTGTTAGACTGGAACTTCGTCATCGGGTCTTCCTGTTCCGATAGCTGCCTTTGGAATATCAGCAATAGCAATTCTGCTCCAGTGAAAAGCCTTTCAGTGGAAGGAAGGACACAGTCAGCAGTTAGGCCCCCGTCCTGGTCTGGAAGAGAGGCGTGTGGGTTTCAGGCAGGCACTTAGTTCCCCCTGCAGACATGGTGAGAACCTACCGTGCCGCTCTCCTGAGCACATGGTCCAGCGTGGACAGGACGGGGGCCGTGTGACGTGAGGAGGGGCAGCTGTGCAAACAGGCAACCTCCGGGCACTGTGACAGGCAGAATCAGTATGTGTCTTCTCTGTAGCACAAATGAGGGAGAGATCGATTGCTCGCGGCAGGCCGAGGCGGTGGGAAGTCGTCTGGTAAGGAATTCCCCGGGTGGGCAAGAGGAGGAAGCTCCTCCAGGCAGAGGGTCCAGCGAGTGGAAAAGCAGAGTTAACGTAACAGCTGCCACTGGGCCCCCTGGCAGCGCACCAAGTACTTGACGTGCGTCATTTTCTTTCATTCTCATAGCTACCCTGGGAGGGCGCTGTTCTCCCCATTTCACAGGTGAGGAAACTGAGACTTAGAACAGCTTGCCCATAGTCACATTAGTAGGAAGTGGCAAGGCTAGGGCTCAAGCCCCAGGGCCCTTGCTGTTAGCCATGGTGGCAGGTCGCCGGCCCTGTGTGAGCTGAATTCAAAAGCTGAGGTGGGGGAGCCGTGATATGTTAGGCAAGGGAACTAACAAGGCCTAGGATTTAATCTCTGTCCCTTTTCTTTTTTCCTTTTTTCTGGTAGAGCAGGAGGGAGAGAGGAAGAGAGAGAGAGAGAAACATTGATGCAGGAGAGACACATTGACTGGTTGCCACCCACACAACCCCTACTGGGGCTGGGGACAAACTGCAACCGAGGTACGTGTCCTTAGCGGGAACCGAACCTGGGTCTCTCTGGACCACAGGCCGACGCTCTAACCACTGAGCAAGACTGGCCAGGGTTCTTTGTCCCTTTCTTAGGAGGTTGATTTCGGCTGCAAGTCTTTACTGCAGTGGACTTGAGGGTTTGCCTGAGACCCCCAGGATGACCAGCAGGATCCCCACCTTTGAATCACTGTCCCCTGCCCCGCAGTATGTCAGCATCAGAGCCCAGGCCTGCAGAGGGAGCGCTGGAGTTCAGTGAAGCGAGAACAGTGCGAGCAGTGACTCAGGAGAGGCGGGGGGAGTGGAGCTGTGTTTCCGGTTGAAATGAAGGTCGACACTAGGAGAAGGTGACTATTTACTAGTGATCCTCACGTAGGTGAAGTTTTCATTTCAAAAGCACTAACCAGGTGGTTTGGCAAGTGGGAGGTTTGAGGATCAGGGAGACGACCATATTGTTGAGCACCTACTATAAACTGCTAAAAGCTTCTTGACTCCATTGTGACCCTTGCCCATGTAACGGCAGGCCTGGGCTCCGTTTCAGATGAGGAACCCACGGCTCTCAGGAAAAGACAGTGGTGCAGTATGATCACAAAAGAAAATACTTAAAAATGTAGTCTATATTATTTAGGTTATAGGAGAAATGTTCACGAATGGTGCGAATTCTCAGCAGGGCGGTGGCTCACGCAGGAAGGGTGGCAGCAGCTTCTCTGGACCACTGGCTTGTCTCGGGGGTGGGGGGTAATGACGGCTCTGCGCTTGCTGTGTTCCCCAGGTCCCAGGGCACTGTAGTTCCGTGTTTTCATGGTCTCAGGCGTGTTCTTTTTTATCTCCTTTTCTCAAGGTGGATAATATAAATGCAGCTGTGAGGGATTTGAAAGAAAAGAAGATCCGCAGTCTGAGTGAAGAGGCCAGAATAGGAGCCCACGGGAAGCCCGTGGTGTTTCTCCACCCGAAGGACTGTGGCGGCGTCCTCGTGGAGCTGGAGGAAGCCTGAGCGGGGCTCGGAGAGGCTAAGCTGGTGGCCGAGTCACTGCCAGTGTGTCCTGAGCGTCCACTCCTTCGCGCCTCTGTCTGCCAATCACAGAGTGGGAGTCAGAAGTCTAGATATGTGTATATTACGCACGCACATAATAGATATACGCGCATGTGCGTGTGTGTTGATTACTTTGGGCTTTTTCCTGATTTGGAGAAAATTTTGATTACTGAACACCCAGGGAATATTATTAAAATCATATTCATGGAAATAAATTATTTCTGTTCTCAGATAGGATGATGGAGTGCATTAGCTGTGTGAAAGGGTGTGAGTGTGAGTGAATGAGTGAGGAGGGACAAGTACACAAAGGAGTGATAATCTCGCCCTGGCCGGTTTGGCTCAGCGGTTAGAGCGTGGGCCCACAGTCCAGAGGACCCAGGTTCGGTTCCCGCTAAGGGCACGTACCTCGGTTGCAGTTTGTCCCCGGCCCTGGTTGGGATCTTGTGGGTGGCAGCCACTCAATGTGTTTCTCTCGCATCGATGTTTTTCTCTCCCTTCCTCTTTCCCTCTCGCTCTATCTGAAGATGAATGCAAAAATGTCCACGGGTGAGGATGAAAACAAAGGAGTGATGATCTCAGGTCTTTTGCTGTTCTGGAACAACTCACGTTCATGAGTTCTGACTTTGTTAGGTATCGACGTTTCTTCCCTCCACACAGGTAAAGTCCCGGAGTTAGACTTAAATTCCATCACCCTTGCCAATGATGGGCTCACAAAATGTACCTACATCTTTTTCTGGTTTCGTAAAGTGGAAGCTGAAGATTATTATTATTTTTTTTTTCTTAATTTTTTTTTTTTTTAATTCTCATTCGAGGACATTTTTCCATTTTTTTGTACAGACAGAGTGGGAGGGAGAGAGAGGAAGAGAGAGAGAGGGAAACATCGATGTGAAAGGGACACATCGAGTGGCCGCCACCCGCACGACCAACCAGGGCCGGGGACAAACCGCAACCGAGGTACATGCCCTCAGCGGGAACAGAACCTGGGTCTCTCCGGACCGCAGGCTGACGCTCTAAACGCTGAGCCAAACCGGCCAGGGCGTGAAGATTATTGGTATTCTTTTCTGTTACGTGCATTCATTGTTATACATTTCTTTTTAATCACTGCTTTTGCGCTATCCCACAACTTTTGATAAGTTCTGTTTTCATTTTCTTTTAAAAATGTGTTTTTATCGATTATTTAGAGAGAGAGGAAGGGCGAGAGAGAGAAACATCGATGTGAGAGAAACATGGATCGGCTGCCTCCTGCACGCCCCCTACTGGGGACCGAGCCCACAACCCAGACATGTACACTGATCAGGAATCAAACTGGGACCTTTCAGTCCATGGGACGATACTCCATCCACTGAGCTGCACTGGCTGGACAAGTTCTGTTTTCATTTTCATTTATTTAGTTCAGAACATTTTGAAATGTATCTTGAGATTTCCTCTTGGACCCACGTGTCACTTGGAAGAGTGTCGGATCTCCATGTGTTTGCAATTTCCCAGCGATCCTCCTTGACCCTGGTTCGTTGTTCAGTGCTGGCTCCCAGTGCCTCTCCGACATGAGCATTCAGCGGTCAGCATATTGTCGAACAAATTAACGTGTGAAATGGTGGCTTCTTAGTCTTGGTAAGTTTCCTTAGAGCCAGTAGAGGCAGCTGAGCCATGGCTTTGGCTTTGAGCACCACAGGGGCACAGCAGGTGCACAGCTTCATCGCCGTCAGTGAAGGTGATGACAATTTTGGGGTGTTAATGTTGCCAAACAAGGCCCCCAGAGAAGACAAATACTCGTGAGCCGTTCCACTGGACACTTGTGTGACAGCTATCGGATCACATCACTTCCTAGGGCGACATAATGAGCACTTTGTACCAGCGCTTTCAAAGGAGTTCTGAATTCACTTGTTCTAGAATCACTGAACCATCTTCCATGTCTTCCATCCCTTCCTTGCCTGCTGTCAAATCTTCAGAGAAGCCAGCCAGACGAAAGCGTCTTAACCAGCAGAAGTGGACGACTGAATTAACAAGCGGCCGGGAGTCGGCGGGAGGAAGCACAGGTGGGCTGCCCGCAGGTGCGTTCACGGAGGGTCAGCCAGCAGCCTTGGCTTGGCCAGATCTGGGTACTCAGTGTTCCCACTTTCTAGAATGTTGATCTTCCAAATCTACAGAAGCTGTAGGGAACCTGGGGCAGCATCTCAAAGACCCAGTAGAATGTTCTTTGGGGGAAAGACAACTCTATTCAAAGCCCAATTCAGGTTTTCCTAAGGTTCCTATTACTGTAACCTTCTTCACCTGAGGTTAGTCTGGGAGGTACCCAGGGTTTTATTTTTTATTTATTTCATTTCATTTCATTTCATTTCTTATTTTATTTTTTTATAAAAATTTTTATCCTCACCCAAAGACACTTTTGCATTTATTTTCAGCTAGAGCAGGAGGGAGAGAGAGAGAGAAACATTGATGTGAGAGATAAACATCAAGTGGTTGCTGCTCACACGACCCCAACCGGGGCCGGGGACAAACTGCAACTGAGGTACATGCCCTTAGCGGGAACCGGACCCGGGACTCTCCAGTCCGCAGGCCGATGCTCTAACCGCTGAGCCAAACTGGTCAGGGCCCCAGGGTTTTAAATTGTGCAGAAGACAATCCTTTGGAATGAAGAAAGAAGATACTACAGTTTCCCTTTATATTTACCTTTTACATCGTCTAAAACTCCTGCTTTTGTTTGCGTCCCATAAGGTCCATTCTGTTTGGATATTTGTTGTGATAATTAAATACACCTGCCTGGGGAGGCAGCCTTGATCTTTTCACCGGAAAGGTGCATACTCAGGAAAGTCTGAAGACCATCACACTCGCTCATCTCTGTGTGGAGGACAAAACAGTTGTCTGGAGTCAGCCAGGCTTCCGCAGTGAGAGAGACCCCCGGGATGTCAGGCAGTCGGGCAGCTCTGTGCCGCTGGGCAGGGGAACCGACAAGTGCAGGTTCTGCTCACAGCACAGGAAGACATTGGGCATCATCAGTGGCTTCTCTGAGTGTCTCCACGGTTTGGTGTTGGCATTGTGGCAGGTGGAAGCTGGACCCAGCGGACCCGGCCACCAGACCCTTCACTCTGGAAGGGACTCTTGTCCCTCATGTGCCCCAATGGGGTTGCTCCGCTGCCTCCTCCCTTCTCTGGGCCCCCTGCCTTGGTAGAAGATTCTCACCTCACCCTAAACATAATTTTTATGGGGGCACAACCTCCATCCCCATTTTATGCTAAACCTTTTCAACTCAACCGAGCTATGAGATTGGATGTGAACATGAACCCATTTCACAAACAAGGGAACGGCTGGGTTCGGTAGAGACCCACTCTGCCGGACCTCCCGAACCGCCACCGCCACCGCGTCTGCTTCCAGGGAGCAAGAGCCACGTGTTTTAGGGGACTCTGTCTGTGTGGGCCGGAATCGACTGCTCTGAAGAGTCCCTCTAACTCCTTGCGGCCCGGGTGCAGTTCCCACGCAGCAGGCACGTGCCGGGTGGGGCAGGGCCCAGAGCAGGGTGCCCGTGAATGAGTGGGGCCAGCAAGTCCCTAACACTGTTCTGGAAAGTGGGGGTAGGAGACCCCATTTGGGTAGGAGAGACTTTCTGCATCTCTCTGCCTGTTTTCCATGTTGCCTTTCCCTGAGCTGCTGGAGCAATGCTCAAGTCCCGATGGGCGGAGAGTGCTGTGGCCTCGTGTGCCCCCTGCTCCGATAGCCGTGTTTCTGTGTCTCAAGGTGACTTCCAAATGTGACACAGGCTTCCCAGCATCCACAGGGTGTGAGTGTGGGTGGCACCACCCTGCTGAGCTCAAAGCCAGAATAGCTGTTAGTCCCGCGCCCCTCGCCACTGGACAAGTATTTATATGCTTATTGTCTACAGAAAGCTACCTCTTGGTTGTAATCCAAATCTCAGTTGTTCAAACGCCAACATATATTCTACACCATTATAAATGGAAAGAATTGGCTTTTGTAAGAGAGGAAGGCTGCCACGTTTTACTGAGATGAACGCCAAGAAGCTCCCCTGAGAAGCTGGGGGAGAACAGAACTTTCCCTCCCAGGTACACAAGCGAAGTCCACAGGCAGTGGACTGGGCTGCAGTCCTCGGAGTAAACCAAGAGGTGGTTTCCAGATGTCTGGCTGCATGGTTATCCCCAAACGCCTCTCAAGGCGATCAGAAGAGAGATTTTAGCTCAGAGAGGAAAACAGGAATGGAACTATAATTTACTAATGAAACATTTAATTGTTTGCAACAAGGCTATGAACATAACAAGGCTGATTGATTGGGAACAGAGAAAAGGGATGCCCAGAGAGCTGAAGTTGGCAGAACCTAGAGTTGACCACCCCAGCCATGTATGCTGGGCCCTGGGGTGGTTTTGTTCCCATTACTGAACGTGAAATTAACCCCCTTTGTCGACAGTCCCTGTTCATCAAACGTGTATGTAAATGCCAGCATTCGAGGTCTACCCGGTGGATATATTTGTCATCCTAAATTAATAGTACAAAATTCTGGCTTACATATCAGTCTCTATGGGCTTAGTTAATGTGAGTTTATCCCTGTAAGAGAGGATTTCTTGGGTATGCACAAATTGCTTTTTTGAGCTGGTAGGCTGGGAGACAGACCATTGTAAATGTCACCTCTAAGCCCGTGGGCAGAGAGCTGGTCTTCAGGGAGCTGGCATTGTTACAAGACAGCTTGATATGATTGCAGCCAGACCCTGCACAACGAAACCAACATTTCATTTGTTTTTGGTTTTGAATGCATCTTATTATATGTTGCCTTGTTCAAGGGCAACACTTTACTTGTATGTTACAAAGATACATACTTGCAACAGAATCAGATTTGCATAGGCACAGCCATTGGAAATTGAGGGTACGACACGACAGGGATGCACCTCCTTAGTTCCTGTGCCATTTTCAGAGGTCGGCCACACATCTGTCTCTGAGCTTGTTAGCAGCCAAACACACAAGAACACAACCAGTTGCAAATCTCACAGGTTCGAGAAGATAAAACCTCACCTGTAGTATAAGACAATCAGGTTTTTCTAGTAGTGAGACGGGAGAAAAATTTCCCTTAGGTTCTCATAGAGAAGACACTTGGAGCTTATGGAAAATGTTCTCATCACCCTCCCCACAATAAATAAGGAGCTCAGGCATGAGAACCACCAGAGGGTGTTACAATCTAGATTTCTGGGCTCCGTGCCCAAGGGCTTCTGATTCCGGAGGTCTGCGGTGATACCTGAGACTTTTCATCTGTAGCCAGGT